ATATCAACATTAATATCACCTTTGTACCATGATAATTCTGTGAGAAGAGTTGTTAGTAGATAAGCGTGTATATAAGATTTGCTCTAGAGAGGTATAATTAAGTGAACTACGCGGTTTCGGTGACGACAGTGTAGGATAATTAGTCTTCTAGGTCCAAAGGAGACAAACTCATAGTTAAGTTGTTCCTTCCATAGATTGTTTTTTACATTAACTTTGAAGCAACGTATAGAAGGAGAATTTCTGATGCTGTTGTCCAAATCGTTTCAAAGATATATAGTAGAAGGAAAAAAGAGTTCTGTAATAGTTGAAGACGAAAATATTGTTCTCTTAAAAGATGGGTATTTCTTAAGTTGTGTGGTACTAAATTACCGATAACATCAGGTTATAAGCCTGTGTGAATCCCAAGTGCAATATCACTGAATATAAAATAAAGGAAAGCATGCGAGCTTCTCGTCTATTTGAGAGTGCTAATCAACCAGTTTCACGATATATGAATTCTGTTTTGTAAATATGTACTGCCCTATGACTATTCTTGCAACTTTTTGCTGAATGTTTTCAAGTATTTGGGAATTAGTTGTCCCGCAGTTGTCCCATACTTCGCATGCATATTTGAGCAAAGATCTAATGTAGGTAAGATACAATTTTGCCAGATTGTTCCTTTTTAAGATGTTTTAGTTTTCGAAGGATATATATATATATATATGAGGAAGAATAAGGGTCGAGATAGGGCCTTCTGGAACACAAGCAGTTGTACCTTTAAAAGAAGATAGTGAATCCTTGATGATTTAACTGTTTGCTTCCTGTATAAGAATTCTGTTTTGTAAATATGGACTGTCCTATGACTATACTTGCAACTTCTTGCTGAATGTTTTCAAGTTTTGAAGAATTAGTTGTACCACAGTTGTCACATTATCACATACTTCGCATGCATATTCGAGGTCTAAAGTTCTAATGTAGGTAAGATACAATTTTGCCAGATTGTTCCTTTTTAAGATAAGTTTTAGTTTTCGAAGGGTCGCTATGTATTTGGTTACTTTGCTTGCAATATATTCTACATGAGCATTCGACTTTCAGTCGTTAGAAAGAATAACACTTAATTGTATATGATGGTTAGTAATTAGGAGTGTTATTGAAAGTAAGGATTGGATTAAACGGTAGTAAACGATTTGTCATGACTAGAACCTCAGTTTTATTAAGATTTAATGACGGTCAATCGGTTTTTCGACCAAACTTCCTTAAGTCTGAATTAGATTCATTTTTGATTACGTTTAAGCCATAGGATGCGTAAGAGAGGGAAGTATCAGCAAAGAGTCTAGATAGGGAAGTGGGATTACAGGAAATATTGTATATATATATCTGGAAGAACCTACATTTATAGTTTGTAAAGTGGATAGTGAATCCTTATTGAAAACTGTTTGCTTCCTGTTAGAAAAATAATACGTATCCACCGGAGAAGTGGTTCTGACATAGGATACCTATTCAGCTTATGGATAAGGTCTTTGTGCTGTACTCGGTCAAATGCATTAGGGTAGTTGCAAAATATAAGAATAGAATATTCATAATTTTCTGTAGAAAAAATTGGTGAGTGATACATCTCGATATAAGCTGATGGGTAGTAGAGTCCCAGGTAGGAATCGTGCCTGGTATTTGTAAATAAGGTCATTTACAATTAAGAAATTGTATATAGACTCATAGACCACACGTTCATATGATTTAACTAAACAGCTAAGAAGCGATATCGGTCTGTAATTAGAGGTTATGCTAGGGTTTTAAAAATAGGCAAAACAGGAGCAATTTTCCAAGGATTAGGTTATATACATAACGACAAAGAATGATTCAATATAAATGACATAGGAAATTTCATTTTGTGACTAATACCGTCATGGCCTGACGCCTTTTTATATTTAATACATTTATTGCATCTGCAATTTTATTGGAAACAATAGTCATTTTAGATACAACTGAATCAGTGCGACTTTAGAAAAAAAAATATATAATTTTTTATCTAGATCATTTACATCAAAGTACACACAGAACTAAACTAATTGTTCAGAAATTAATTGTTTTGTTATTGTCCTATATAATTTCATTAGTAATACGATCTAACAGAGGGGATATTTCTGTATTTGTTCCACCTTTAAGAACATTTCACAAGACTTTCCAATAAATCTTAGGATTGTTATAGCTTTTATCAATTACTGTGTCTTTGTTATCGTAAAATATTTCTTTAGCTCTTTTAATCATATTACTTACTTTATTTATCATATGCTTTTAGTAATTCCTATTGCGTTCAGTGTTACAATTAAACATTATCGTTTTAAGGCTGCCTCTTTTTTCATATTACGTCTGAGCATTACATTCATCCACTGTTTGTCTGTATCTCTAACTCATATTTCTATGGTGGGAATACTTTAATCACAGCACCATTGAATTTATCAGCACAAAGATGCACAATTGGTTAACATTAGACATGTTTATAAATATTTTAGCCGTGGAATACTATTTAGCATTACCTATAGTTCCTCAACATTAACTCGATCATACAGTCACACCTTTCTTTTATATGAATATTCATTTTTACAGTAATGTTTGTGATGATAAATGCAGCATCATGGTCGGTAACATTTCGCTCAATCTGGATAACATTGCAAGAGTATCATAGGACCTACAAGTGTGGAGGAAGTAGCAGTTTGACTAGTTGGTTTAGTAATCACATTTTTCCTCATTGTAATAAGATAAAGTATTTCCTAAATCTTTACTAACATTTTCAATAAGTCAATATTTAAACCTCCTGTGATAGCATCGTATGAAGTTTCTTCGAATGTAATATCGGGGTGAATAGACATAAGGTCTTGGTATAAAAGGGTTATCATACGGTATGAACAGACATAAGGTCTTGGTATAAAGGGGTTATCATACGGTATGAACAGACATAAGGCCTTGATATAAAGGGGTTATCACACGGAGTTAATTAGACGTAAGGACTTTGAGTGGTTATCATACAATAAATGATAAGATAAGTAGGTTCATATTGTATGTATACACTGTCGCCATAGTATATATACCCACTTAAATCCATTTCAATCTGATAGTTGTATTGTAACTTGACTCCAGACCGTCAGTGTGGAAATAATGACAAAACATTTTATGAGTTTTTTTATTTTCAAAACAATTAAGAAAGAAATAGATAAATAAATGTGATTTTGCTGTGTGGCACGAGATCTCTATATTACATACGACTACTTTTGTTTGATTGGCCGGTAGATATAGTCAGTGACATGTGCAGAAAGGTTATTTAGTGAATTTGAATTTCACTTCCATTTTCTGACATTTTTATGAACATATTTCCATCTCGGGTCCAGAAAGGGTGATTTTGTTTTGGCATGCCGGAGTTTGATAAGCTCACTGATCACTGTCTGGCGTTTTCTGGTAAGTGGTTCAACGATCATAGTTCCATTTTTGTTTCGCGTCAGTTTCCATTTTCTCTCTAAAATATTTTGACGGTCATACATGTGTAACGGGGTTCGTCGTTACTTAGAGTTTTTGGCCTAATCATTTGATATTGTTTATATTAGGTTTGTACTTATTGTCATTTGGTATTCTATTTGTCAATTTTATGCAAATGACTATTCGATCTTGTCATTCTCAGTCAGTTTATGTGGCATCAGTGGTGATGTGTGCGTTCGCTGTTGTGTGTAAAATATCCACAGTAAGCAATGTCCTAAGCTTTGTTGTCAATTAATTGCCAATAAGTAGACTATATATAATTTAATATTAAGATATCAATACAATGTAAACAAAACAAAATAAAAAATGAAAAACATGAACGATTCAACTATATCCAAGGTGATGGAAACTTTCAACGAAATATCTAATTTTAAAGTTACTACATGTATGACGGTCAACGGAGAGAGTCGCCATTTATAAGGGGTCTCGCATTCTTGTTCCTTATCATACTGACTGACACTCTAGATGAATAACTAAAACGACCATGGTACGATACGCTCGGGAATGTTTTGAATATGATCTGAAATCTAAGATGTCCTGTAATATTTACATGTAATATTGTCGCTCTGTTTTTATAAGACAACATCTAATCGTTACATCATATCAAAGTTAGTTCTGTAGCCGAATATTTTCTGTCTGTATTAAGTTGTTACATATATAAACTTGTCACTGAAAACTTCTATCGTTTATCATGTGTTGATTTAAATATATTTTATTATCAGTAACAGACAAATGGACCGGAGACAAATTCTAACAACCTATCAACTGTTCTTAAATAAATTACAAATAATTAATATACTGCACGTGATACATATCTATACTATAAACATGAAATTAGGTCATTCATAGACGTGCGTAAGTTTACTAATGGATCATTTTCTCAAAAGGAGACAAAGCTGAGAAGATAGAAAGAACAGACGAGAAAAAGAGATTATATAGATTTGATATCAATTCAGTGCCGACTGCAAACAGTTCCGAATCAGGTTTTATTAAAACTCTTTGTTTGTTTTACAAAATTTTGAATAGATTTGACAAAAGTACAATTAGTTTCATATGAGTAAACATCACTGTCTCCACATAAGATAATTTCTATTCTAAAATCTACGTCTAAATCATACAGAGTATTAAACAATATACGCCTATAATTAGATAATATTCACCTGAACAAAAGAAAGTCTAAAAAATACTAAAATTAAAAACAAGAACAAACAAAAAACGACATATCATTTACAAATTACAGTATATATGTAAAACTATATAAAAAAGAACCCCACACTATCTATGTTTAAACATTTCTTTGAGAACATCGCCGATACTCTGCACTGTCATTGTACGTTATTTTGGTTTGCACTTCAGATCTAGTAAGAGTTGTCTTTCCTGTTGCTGAGGTTAAACGTCAAAGCGGCTATATTTAGATATTAGAGTCATGTGATGCGTGTAAGCGTATATAAATGTAAACATTTGCGTTGTAGCTGAAAGGTTGATTTTGTCAAACAATGCTGTGGAGTAACGCTCTTGGATCTGTATATGTTTTTTCTGAACTACAAATACTCCATCTTCACAAACAATATCATTTCGCTTTATAGGATAGTTCTATTTCGTCGTTTAAGATGAAGTGGGGACTGTCATGTCTGAAAACTGGAGCTACAGGTAAGTACTTGTTTAGCGCGTACACAAATAATAACACTCATTCTCAATAAAGTGCTTCAATGAAAAAATTGTACAGATAACAAACTCTTTTGTGAGTAAATGTTTTCGCAAAATAATTTCTAAAAAAAGAAAGAAGTCAATATGTCTGTTTTGATAGGAATAATATTTGAAAGTTTATTAAATCCTAATTGTTTTGAATCTTTAAGAAAAATGTTTGACTAACATGTCAATACTGAGTTATTTACCTTTTCATTGAGGAAACTTAGATTTTAAATGTGTAAATGTTTTGGAAATAAACTCGGTCACACGAATTCAAACGTGCAGATCTTCAATTCTCAAATGTTGCTAGAGAGAAATTATCATTTAAAACAATGATTTTGTGATGCAATATAATGTTATGACATAAATCATATTTATATAAGTAACAAGAATTTCAATGTGTTATGCAGAATTTCTTTATAAATACATTTCACAATTACAAGTTAAATATTCATATCGTAACAATTTTGAAATAAATAAATGAATAGTGTATTTATATTTTGTAGAAAATACAATTAAAAATACCTTATAATTAAGTGTCGAGGAAATCTCATTTTATGCAATATCTAATTACCATATCGAAGGTTTTTTTTTTTTTTTTGAAATTGAACAAAAAATTGTTTATCTTGTATTTCTATATGCAAAGAACTGAATTCTCCTGTATGGCGGAGAGTGATGGGTATTTTGACTTAGTCTAAACCAGGCATAGGAGTGCAGGGCCGAGGGGCGCTCCCCAACAGGGAGTTTGTCCATCAAAGCTTAAAAAGAATCAGGATAATGCTGTTTTGTTTTTTGTTTGTTTTTGCTTTTTATTAATGATATGTATTCAGCAGCATATTTGCGTAAGTTGAGCTAAAAATTGTCTACGAAGAATTCATATTTAATTAAATTTTATGATTGATTGGAAATGTAGATTGCGGTCGTTATTTCAAATTCTAAATTTTATCACTAGATAAATAAAAACTAAAAACAGTGGGATCGTGCTACATACGATGCGATACCCAACCTGGCCTTACGTACTTAATAGAATGAGAACTAGAGATCATCTGAAGGTAGTAAAAGTCGATGAAATAACGAGTTAACAAAATCACTGGATCTGATTTGAGGTGTAGCCCCAATTATTTTTATGAATACTAACATACAATATCCCCAGTTCGTACCTGATTGAAGTGTCTTAGACTTTAAGACTGTGTGATGATGAACATTACAGTTTATTATTCTCGCAAAAAGTGAACACTTGGGCAATTTTAAGGGATGGTAGCATTGGTGGTTGAATTATTCCATTTATCGAGAATAGCTGAATATAGGAAAAACCCTCTCCTAAATATAGTAACAGAATGTGTATTTTTATTTGTACTACAGAACAAAATAGAACTAACGGAAATCACCTCTTCTATAAATAAAGACTAATTAAGTTTATGGCCTGTCTATAATCTATCGTATTCTTTTAATTTTAAAAATTAGAATCTAGAGTTTTATACAGATTCGAATGAATGAAATTAGAAAATAGAAACAAATAAACGCAAAATATTATTGTATGATATAAGTCAACCAGACTTAAGAAATATACTGAAATATGAATACTTTTTATCGCATTATAGCAGAAATTTGATAAAACGATTTTATAGTTATATCGATATTTAACGCGTTTCATATATGTTTGGTGTTATACATACGATAAAATGTTCCCGCGGCCCCACCACAGTTAGAGACTCTACTACGTAATAGTCATTCAACGGGCGGTCATTATTGTCTGTTAGTGGAAGTTGTGTTCTGAAATGTTTATATATCTGTCGTTTGTAGCACCGCATTGACCGGTTGGCAATTTCTGATTTTTTTCCGAACTCGCGACAATTGTGTACATACTCTCTTCTTATATTGTATCGTCTAAATAACAGTTTTTTTTTTAATATTCCATATATAATACCTAATTATGTATATTACATTGATAATGGTAACAAAGTCTTGCCCCAGAGTATACTGTATAGATTAACAACAGCGCTGGTTTCACTCAACCTTTTCTTACGCATTGTCACTATCCGTAGTTATATTAGTTCTAACAACTTCCGGTGAAAGTAAGTATAATTAATGTATTTTACTGGTCCTTTGATGTAATTGCCGGGCTATCTGGATGGTTATGAGAGTTAGGCGACTTGTCGTTAAGGATAGACCAAATCACTCCCGCACTTCTTTAACTATCGTATAATTTGCATGTAAAATGAGATGTAAAATATGTACTATACTACTTTATTATCATCATCATTATTATTGTAGCGTTTCGGTCAATCAATGGTTATCTTTCACGTTTTACTGTCATATTTGATCGTTCAGGACAAATATATTTTAAGGCGTACGTAACCGTTAACATCAAATGGACAGGTCAATTTGACATCATTAAAGTAAATTAGGTATAATCAACGTGTGGACACACTTTTACAATTCAAAACAAACGTGTTGATAGTGCATGAAATAACCAACAAGATATTTGAATGGACAAGTTAATTAGGTAATGTTTTAAAATGGCACCCCCTTCATCTCGTTTCACAACGGACCCCCGACGACGATTGAAGTGTACGCAATTATATATTGCGTTTACATTTCAACTTTATATATCGTGACTTTTAACTATATGGCTTTACGAATTTTCATACTTTCCTGTTAGGAATCCACAGATAGGAATATGATCTATATAAAATGATTTATTCATGATGAAATTAAAACACGGCTCTGGTTTAAACTTGCATGCTCCTACAAATTAAATATCCGTCTTTATTACAAATATATGACTGGATATCAAATTTTATTTCAGTTCCCTTAAAGGAAGTCCAAAATGTTGCGTTGATCGGTGCTTCTCTTGTACATGTGGATTCCAATCTACTATATTTAAACGAGAGTGATGAACCCGTGGAAGCAAACTTCACGTTTCCTCTGGATACCAGCAACGCTGTGTACCGATTTCAAGCAGAAATCGATGGACGAGTGATCGTTGCAGAATGTCAAGAAAAATCAGAGGTATCGATTATATGGTATTGCAGTTATTTCCCTTTGTATCCATGTTCATCAACATCGAACGAGTCATAAATGACGTCACAATTATATATAGATGTATATTTTACACAGACCTTTTCTTAAGTAAGTGCATTGTAGTATGATATGTATAATACGTATTGGTACCGCATATATAATCTTATTATCATATATTATTTATCGTTAATTTATGATTTATTATTTATATACTGTATATATAGAGTGCCCCTAATGTACTCATGTAAAGACGATATTATTTATTAATTGGAAATTAGTCGAACCGCCTATGGTTTAACTTTCATTTCTAACATAACTAGGTCATTTTACTTATTTGACCACAAAAAGTATTCTGAAATGTCGATTGTTAGGTATTATTTTCTTGAAAACTCATTTCAAACAACTTCTCCAGTTTCATGGGTTCTAACTCAACTATTCAGAAAATGTTGTTCTTTCTTTCGTTGCCATTGGCAACGTATTGAAAAACAAAAATGTTTGTTCCTTCTTCGACGGTTTTTATTTGATTCGTAATATATATACATTGTAATGAAGTTGCCGTCGAAGCCCATGAACCTCTTCTCTAAGCGATGTTGATGACCTAAAATGGTTATAATACTGTTGAATTATTGTAGTATTTTATTTTCGTTGGAACCATCAATTCCACGCATTCATATATCCACGAGTTAGTTGAAATTGATTCATTATATATCTATATATTTTCCACAAAATTAATTGTCCATAAACACAACATTTTTTTCTCGAAAAACCATGAAAATTGAGCCCCGTAAAAAGATACGAATTTTACAGTACATGAAATACTTTTCTTTCAGGCTCGCGATACCTACCAACAGGCTGTTGAAAGTGGACACACAGCTTTATTGCTGGAGGAGCACGATGATACGAACGATGTGTTCGTGTGTCGTGTCGGTAACCTGCCACCTAAGGAAAGAGCTTTATTGAAGATATGTTATGTGTCTGAACTCCCGCATGACCCAAGTGGAGCTCTTAGGTTCACACTTCCGACCGTGCTGAATCCACGGTATGGAGTCGAAAGCGATACAGGTAACGTCAGTCACTGATGCCTTCGGAACATATACGTACATCACATTCAGTATCAAAGGCGTGTTTAAGGTACCAGGACGATGTACTAAGCATATATATTAGTTAATCATATGCAAGCAGACAAGTGTTTTTATTTGTCTCTCATTCACTTTAATGTTTAATGATAATCAGTAATCTGGAACAAAAAATAGAAATGACTTGTTTTAATCTATATCTTCCCATACTGAACTGCCATGTACTGCATTTCAACAACACAAATCATATGAACTTATAACCAAGGCACATTCATAAAATATTGTCATAGAATATTTTTTTTATTATATTGGAAAACATCTTTTGAAATACGAAGTGTGGGACTTAGAAGATAATTGTAACAAAAGATAAGCTAGGAATACAGTCACACCAGACGTGGTCACACCATACGTTCTGCGCCAGAAAAAAGGCAAAACATCACATCTGATCATTGTCTTTTAAAACTGACTTATATATTTGATGTTATTGCAAAGAGAATTCTTGAAATTATGATTTTTTTAGGACCGGTGAACACAAGTACAGATGTCGTCTGCGTCAACCCCGGAAGTTACGAAATGAATTTAGACATCACCGTTCAGAGCCAGCACACTATCTTGAGCATCGTTTCGGAGAAAGACCAATTACAACTTTCCCCCAGCAATGACCAACACGTGTGGAAAGTATGTCGTCTTGTGTAAATTTACTTATTACGTCATTCATTTGAATGCTAATTAGTTCACGTGATAGGGGAATTTTTGTACCCCAGAATTGTTTAAACGAAAATCGTTTTGAACAATCGGTAATATAAAAGTGAAGTGAAGGGCGCTATAACAGGTCTTCCTTATTAACCAAATGACATTATATGGAGAGTTTCCTCCCTGGATCGTATTTCTAATTTATCACAAAACTGCCATATCATCAGTTTAATGGCACACATTGTATAAATTGTGACGTCACAAATTCATGGCGTCAAATACCTGATGACTTCAACAAAGAAGAGAGATACGCTATTAAAATAAAGTCATTTTAGATTTTATACCAGGTATACAAATTGTTTTTTCATGAATGTTTGCATAGGTTTTAAACTCATGTCATCAACAGAATCTTACATTAGGTTTTTTTTTATGTGAGGTTTAAGAAAAGTCATGACTTTAGTTTTTGTTAATTGTTTTTATTTCTTGGGCTTGATAAATGAAAATTTCTTTGACACGTGTAATACATCTCATCATCCTCGATACTCAGGGGTTACACTCACTTTCGCTCTCTGCGCCCCTGAAACATGTCATCGCAAAATTGACGGTTCCATGTGACACACTTTGTAAACATGACTAGTTTGATTATTTGATGTACATCAAACGGTATATTGTAATGGTTTTGAAGTTGTGTGCCGCTCCTTTGTAGCCTTCCAAAGGAGCATATCAGCCTGTTATTGGTCAGGGGTTTTTTCTCCTGGAATCCATTAAAAATTACTTCGTTTGTTCCTTCAATTTTGCAATGACATCTTCCATGGGTGCAGAGAGCGACAGTGATCGTAACCCCTGAAGTATCAAGTATGAAACTTCATATGAAATGAACATTCCTTTACGATATTCTTTAATACTCTGTGTCATGTATTTTTTTGAAAATAATTATTTTTATGGTTCAACACATATTGACCAATCAGAAGACATATTTACTAACTTCTGATTACTTGTATTACGAAAATATAAGTAAATATTCAAAATCTCGGATATTTTACTTTTTGCTTGATTACTCCGTATTTGAACAGAGCGAAAACCGGCGATGAGGTACTGATCACATTTCAATGTTAGATATATGAAAATTACAAGATTTCTTGACTTGTGGGGCACGTGCACCTCCCCGTCTTGATCTTGATTTTTTCTTTCGATTACTTCGGATTTTCCTCATTTGCCTCCTAGAAGGACGAAACAGCTGTATAATGTAGCATCACTGACGAGTCCTAGAAGGACGAAACAGCTGTATGATGTAGCATCACTGACGAGTCCAGCTGTAGAAGCATCACTGACGAGTCCTAGAAACAGCTGTATGATGTAGCATCACTGACGAGTCCTAGAAGGACGAAACAGCTGTATGATGCAGCATCACTGACGAGTCCTAGAAGGACGAAACAGCTGTAAGATGTAGCATCACTGACGAGTCCTAGAAGGACGAAACAGCTGTATGATGTAGCATCACTGACGAGTCATTGAAGGACGAAACAGCTGTATGATGTAACATCACTGATGAGTCATTGAAGGACGAAACAGTGTTATGATGTAGCATCACTGATGAGTCCTAGAAGGACGAAACAGCTGTATGATGTAGCATCACTGATGAGTCCTTGAAGGACGAAACAGCTGCATGATGTAACATCACTGACGACTCCTAGAAGGACGAAACAGCTGCATGATGTAGCATCACTGACGAGTCCTAGAAGGACGAAACAGCTGTATGATGTAGCATCACTGACGAGTCCTAGAAGGACGAAACAGCTGTATGATGTAGCATCACTGACGAGTCCTAGAAGGACGAAACAGCTGTATGATGTAGCATCACTGACGAGTCCTAGAAGGACGAAACAGCTGTATGATGTAGCATCACTGATGAGTCATTGAAGGACGAAACAGCTGTATGATGTAACATCACTGACGACTCCTAGAAGGACGAAACAGCTGTATGATGTAGCATCACTGATGAGTCCTAGAAGGACGAAACAGCTGTATGATGTAGCATCACTGTCGAGTCCTTGAAGGACGAAACAGCTGTATGATGCAGTTTAATTCATTGTTTAGTTCTACTGTATCTAACTCTAAAGTTGTAGTTAAAGGTATTGTTCAACTGAGTATCTTTTGTACAATCTTTCTATCGTCAGGCAAGTGTCAAGTTCGGTCAAGGAACCAAAGTTGATCATGATGTTTCTGTCTTGATCACGTACAAGGATATGCACCAACCGCAAGCGATAGTAGAACGAGGGGTCAAAGATCAAGGTAAGCACCTGGGCAAGCGTTATTGAACAAAATCAAAGGATATTTGGCAAACAGGTAAATCATGTATAGTCCCTCTCCCTAGATTTAACAATAGGTCATATTTATTGTATGGATGCGAAACTTCAATAGGAGTTTGATTAAAAGTACTTGCATGTTCAGACAGAGATTTGATAATGTATATGAGGATCATTATAGAAATGTAACGGGAAAAATATGATGAATTGTCACTCCATTATATTTACAACAGAAAACAATAAACAGACGCAAGTGTCCTCGCATTTCAATCAGAGGTTAGAATGAGAAATGCACTTTAAAAACGTCCGTTCGTACATGAAAATGTCAACACACGTAACAGAATAAAGTATAATTTTATCTCAACATGATCGTTTTATTTGTTTTAATCTTTTTCCTTTTTTAGGCAAAGGAATGCTCAGCTTGGACGTGTTGATGCTCAGTTTTTATCCAGAGATTGATCCAAAGTTTACAACAACGCACGCAGAACTTATCTTCATAGTTGACCGCTCAGGTATGTAAAAAAAACACCGAGTCAAGTTAATCCGAGAACGTAAGGCTCGAAAAAGTAACTAGGTGAAAGAAAAGCATATTTGGGGGGTTAGATAGTTAAATTAAATAACGAAAGGAAGCTCGCACATGTACAAGGTCGGTTAAAAACGAAAATACAGTATGTCGTGTGAGCTCGAAATGTAACTGGTTAAATAAGATCGCATATGTATTGGGTTGAATAATCTAGAAAATGTAACAGGCCGATTCAAGTAGAAAATGCAACAGATAAATGTCAGGGGTTTGTTAAGATCGTAAATAAGCAACGTGGACTTTAACAATTATGTAGCGTGATAGGCAGTTACATTGCATATTGACATCTAAGCTCTTTAAACTGATATGGAATTTATTAAGCATTATAGCACATTTGAGTTATTGGTAGTAATAATTAAGTCAAGAGATTGTTAGGAATTGACTTCCCTTTCGAGAAATACAACAAAAATACTGTCTCGTTAAAATTCACACAAAATCAATTATTTCAGTTTAGATGTCCTTCTATCTTATTTTTTGTTATTGTGAGAAATCGGCAAGTACATGTATGTCATAACTATTATTTGTTTTTATCATTTTTCATTAAAAATTCTAATGAAAGCTATTGGTTGAAGCCAGAAAGCAATACGTAAAGGTTTCATGATTTGGAACTGGTCAACCTTTCTGTGCATGCATGCCTCGTTTATATTCATTCAGAATATAAACATGTACTTGGCGTTCTTTTGAAGTTATATCATATATATAAGAATTTATTGTAGATGAAGGTGCTGTTCTGTAGTATGTCTTTTGTGCAATCATTCACAAGACAGTTAAAATAAAAGGATGTGTAGATTACTGGTACATTCGGTCTAATCATAAGAATGTCTATATTTGTCAAAATACATCTCGGAGGAAAGCATTCTATAGAATAGTATAGAACAATATAGACACATTGAAAATAATTTGTCTAACTTTTCCATTTTAGGATGATTTATTTTTTTAAAAAAGTGACACAAAATCTTTTCAAGTTTGAATTCCATTCTGAAGCAGCACTAATGCTAAGAACAAGAGGCATACCTTTTTGATACATAAAATTTCAGGCAGTATGGAATGGCATGATAATATTGGCAATGCTCGGGATACCCTTCTCCTGATGATCAAAAGTCTACCTGTTGGATGTTTCTTTAATGTTTATAGCTTTGGAAACAACTTTAGCATCTTATTTGACAAGTAAGTATTTCGCATTACCGAAAATATGGAAATATTTTGTTGATCAGTTTCCTTAAACGCCATTTATGTTTGTAATCTGATTAATTTAGGAATATTGCAATTTACAAATGAAATGCTTTGAAATAAGAAATGAGCCCTCGATGACAATAATTGTGATTGAAACACCATTTAGAAGTTTTTTTTATAAGAAACCAATCACGTTTGTACTTACTAACATTTGATAGGGGGTATACAATAGTGTTTGTTGTCTGATTTAACTAAGGTAGCCTATTATTGAAACTTAATGTCCACAGGAATTTAGCCAGCAGTGTGGAATATAACGAGGAAAACATGAACTACGCCTTAGATTATGTACAGAAGATGAAGGCAGATATGGGTGGTACAGAAATTTTGAAACCACTTCAGGATATGTATTCGAAACCCGGCCTTCCCGGCTACCCCCGACAGGTACTTACAACTATACAACTAAAAGAACAAACTAATATGCTATGGGGATGTCAATTTCCATGTCTACTCTTTCTCGTGTCACATTCAACCGGTAATCTCAACTGTGAATAAACTTAGTCACAGTAGGATCGTTTGGGAACAAATCAACATTAAGACAATCAAGTCTTAAATTACGTAATGTGAAGGTTTTCATATATGGTAAAAGGTCTTGAAATAAGAAAGTTTTGAATTTGCGTAAATTACTAAAAAAAATCATATAATTTCATTGAGCTGAAATTTCCAAAAGTATTATAGTTAACTTCATATCTGTTTATTGTTTCGTGGATATTTCAATTCATTCAATAAAATCGTGAATTCAATTAAATCGAATCCACCACCACAAGTAACGATTTTACAGGATGGAATTGATCACCCTGTTGTTATTATATCCTTGAAAATAGTGACAAATAACACATCTAAATCAGAAATTCTTTACCATTAACATCATAATCTGGCGTTGAACTTTGTTTTCCGTTGTTTTGTCAAGATGAAATATATATTGCTTCTAACATAACTGAGGATACTGACATTTGTATTGAATTTTAAGTAGTTTAACATATATACATAGGTACGTGTAGGACCATTTTGATGAAAATTATGTGGAAGTGTTATGGTCGCAATGATCTCATTAGGAAATATTCTATTTATTTGTGTGAAACTCAATGTATTTGCTTTTTAGTTTGCCTGCTGATTCTGTTGTTGTGTTACCGGCTCGCTTGGCTGTGGTCCATATGGATTACAAAAATAGATTTCTTCAACACGGGTTTTATTTTTTTATTTTCTCTCTTCCGGAAAATCTCTACTGCTAACCAAAATTCAACCCGGCCGCCGTAAAAGACGGAACGGGTACATACTAATACAACAAAATGATACACGGGTTTATAATATCCGGAATGTTATAATTTAATCCGCCTCTACCTGACCAGTAACTATAAACATAACAGTTGTATACCTTGCTTGCATTAGAGAACATGACATTGCTTACTTTGATTGACCAAGTTTACGTGGCGGGTGCCGCCGAGAAGACACTCACTCTTTTGAATCACCTGGTTATATCATCCTTGTACTTTTTCAGGAGTCTCCGTGTAAATCTTTCTTTTGTTCATATTTTGTCCTAGTTGTATGGAAGTTGAGTTTGGATTACGATTATTGTTGATATTATTGTATATGATATAGTTTGTGGTATTAGTTAGTTTCGTTTCATCTGCAATCCGTATGATCATGTAACCATACATATGTGTAATTCCGGTGTAATACAGCATGGCGAGTAACCTAATGCAACGTGTGTTTGTTGTGGCTGTTTAACCAGTTTAGACATTGGTCAACAATTATATATTGACATGTTGGTATTTTCATGATTTTTAATTTTTTTTAGGTGATCCTTCTGACGGATGGACAAGTTTGGAATATTTCTGACGTTCTGGAGATTGTCCGTAAAAACAACCACACCACAAGGTTGACATTGTTTTTTTGTTTTTTTTGCTTTTTTGTTTTTTGTTTTTTGTAAAGCGGCTATAAAACTATAAGACATTGAAAGACTGAAAATTGAGGGTGGGGAGACTCTGAAATGCTTAATAACATTTTAAAATATAACGTTTGTCCACATGTGATCAGGTTGTTTCTAAATTGATATTTTATGTATACCGTGTCAAACTTACCAACTGGTCATTGTATGGAGGACGTTTGACGTGAAACCATTCAGGATACAAAATGTTGGCATGTTATGAGGTTATTTAGAAGATCAGATTATCAAGCTGGTCTTTCTTGATTTGGTCAGTTTGACTGATAATGGAGTAAATTGAACATAAATAAAGCCAATAGTTCAATAGAATACACATCAGTCTTAGAAAAGAAACATGGAAAAAAGTTCAGAAACAGGGGTTGTTTGAGACTTGTGTTTATCTATTAATTGTTTGAATTCCTTTCCAATATATTTCAGGATGTTCTCTGTTGGAATCGGTGATGGTGCATCTACAGCCCTGGTGAAAGGACTAGCAAGAGCCGGGAAAGGACGTGCTGAGTTTGTTAAGGGAACTGACAGATTGCAAACAAAGGTTGTACATGAGCAATGAGTATGTTTTTCCACTGTTATTGAGATTGGATTCGTAATACATATTAACAAGTATCTATGTTTGCAAAATGAAAACAACAAAAAAAAAAAAAAAAAAAAACACGCATATATGCAATTATAGGACGACAAATTAGCATGCTGTTGAAATACAAACATATAGAAGGTTCTTTTCGCGGGGATGGTGTTCGCTGTTTCGCTGTTAAGAAATCGTGAAAATATGAAAATGCTAATGCAACAAACAAGCAATATGACAAGAGATATCGTGTTTGGCATAAACCTCCACAAAATTTGTGATTTTACTTCAGAATTACTGACTAGGAATATCTTTACCGCCGTATATATGTAAACGGTTTACAAACACAAATATTACTCTATTTAAGAGGACATCGTTGAAACCAAAAAAGAATATTTTACAAAACAATAATTAATTCCGCTATTTTAAATTCTGCTCGAGGAATTTTACAAATGCATTATAACTTCTAACTTTCGTCCACAGGTAGTGTCACTTCTAAAGAGTGCCATGCAGGCAGCCGTTACCAACGTGCAAATGGAACTAGAGCTTCCGCCGGACGTTATTGGAACGATTGTCCCACATGATTGTCAGTCGATATTTAGCGGAGAGGAGCTGATTATGTACGCTGTGTTAAAAGGATCCGAGTCTATGGTGTGTTAACCGAAGACGGAAGATCACTTTTATTTCGTTATGTCAAATAGACCATGTTTGCGACATTGCTTCTATATTCTTTCTGTGATGTGCTATTATACCAAATATGTTCTTGAAACTATTCTTTGTTATTATTATTCAAAATTATCGATTATTTATTTTTCTGTGATATTGATATGAAGGACCATCTAATATCACAAAATAAACAAATTCTACTTATAGTTGAATAATTCGTATTATTATTTGTTGTTTTTTTTTAACTTTGAGGTCGTTGTCTTAGATGGGATCATATAATTTGCTGTTCCTCTTTTTCATTTGGCACCCTTATATTTGGAATTGCGTCAACAAATGATAATGTTGTGCATTTGTAATAGGACTGGACATACGGGAATATTGTTTTACGAGGCAACATCGAAAACCACACATTTGAGCACAAACTAGCTTTCCGGGGACAACACCAGGAGCAAAATGTGGATACATCGCTTCCGGTTCACAGGCTTGCAGCCAAAGCTCTCATACAGGAACTTGAGGATGAGGAATCGGCACCAGGTATATGAACATTCATTCAAATCTTGAGCAATTGGTTTGTGTCAGTCTAAGTGAAGAGTGTATTTAAAATGTTATTGATTAACACATGCAATTAATCTACATTGTGTTGTACAATTTTGCATAGTTATCAATTTAATAGTTATATTGTGTTGCTAACTCATAGATGTACATTTCCAATGAACGCAAATACAGAGTTAAATGAATAATGTTATTCCTTTTGACATAATAGACGTTTGTAAAACGCACACTATTGACTCTTGATTGGCTCTCTATCCATATAGTAATAAGGCTGTGATGTTCATAATAATTTTATTTACTTCAGCCTTCAACAAATATAGATAAATATCGCCCGTGTCGAGAATGTAAATCTATTTCTCATGATAAAATCATAGGGTAATCGCAATATAATTAAATCAAATGAAACATGCTTCCAGTTTTTTTTATTTCTCCACTCGAAACTTGTTTAGCATAATAAGAACAAATTTAACCTCCATTACATTACATCAATAGCCTGCGATGCATCTTTAGATAGTGTGTCATGTACATCAATTTTGATCGTGTGATCAGTTTACAAACCAAAATAAAAGAAATTTATTTAATTACGTCATTTGGAATTGTTCTTGACATGGACTCATTCAGCAAACGCTAACAACAAAAAGAAGATCATACTCGCAAGCATAGCAACAAATGTCATGTCCAAGTACACATCCTTCGTCGGGGTCGACAAGCTCAGCAAGGTTCTTCAACCCTCACATGTAAGTACCGAAGATAGTACAAAATACACACAAGGGAATAGCACCGTTTAATACAAATATAGATATGACACATTAGAGTAAAACGATCAATTGAATTGCACTAAAACTGTTTAATTGATAGAAAAATAGGAATCGCTTGAAATGTCTATCATTTTGTATCATTTACAGAATATCACACCAATATAAAGGATCAGTTATGCAATATTGCATCTTTAACAAAGGACTATCACGTCATATAAGAAAGAATCAGTTGGATTTGTATTGTGCACCTGTTAGGTTAAACGACGTCACTGACAGAAAAAAATTCATTTGGACTGATGCCAATTTTGGCTTGAAATTGAAACAAAGATTTTATATAGTATAGCATTTGTTAGCCCACCATCATCCGTCCGTCCGTAAACAAATGCTGTTATCGCTATTTTTTGAGAATTACGTGATGGATCTTTCTCAAATTGCATAAGAAGGTTCCCTTTGGTCCCTAGTTGTGCCCATGTAATCTAGGGACTGATCAGAGAAACAAAATAGCTCACAAGCGGCCATGCTGGATTTTTACTTTGAAAGTTTGTTACCACTATTTCCTGTGAACTACTTATAAATCTTTCTTAGATTCCTTTTGGTCCCTTGTTATGCCTGTTTGAGTTTGAGACTCATCCATCTTGGATTTTGCCAAGTAAAGATTGTTATTTCTTAAGAAGTACTGATTGACTATCTCTCAAATTTCATACGTATGTTCCCTTTGGTCTCTCCTTGTGCTCGTTTGATTTTTTGACTGACCAAAAAAATAAAAACAAACAAAATGGCTTCCAGGCGGCCAGTTTGTATTTGGCAGGTAAAGATTATTACCACTATTTATGCAAAAGAATTTTCGAAACTATTATCATTAAGAGCAAAAACAGAGAAGAGAAAAGAAGGCAAAAGATCAAACATTCAAAGAGCATATAATGAACGTACAATGGTGGGCGCCAAAATTTTTCTCTGATCTCTTGTTAAACTTTTTGGGTCTCCGCTTGAGATGTTATTATGCACATCGCTTCAAATACCAACGGACATCGGTTTCACTGCACTGCTACTTGTATGACGTGTATGTTGGCCTGATAATTTCATCATAATTTTCGTTTGGTAACCAAATTTGTAATAATCGGTTTTGTCATAAATCATGATTGCAATCAAATATTTTAAACTCAATATCGATCAAATGTAAAATATGAATAAAGGAACGATTTACTCGAATACCCACATAAATAGGAATGGAAGTGATAAATCAGTTATTCACCCGAAGACACCAGACATACATATAAGAGACATGTCAAATAAATACCTCTCTTTTGCAGAGTTATGTTAAAAAAAACCCAGTCGCCGTCGGAATGTTTGGTGCTAGAGGTGGGACAAGCAATCTTCAAACATTTTGTGGAAGTATGAATAATACCCAGTTATTAGGAATTGGTATGAACATGTTCAGCGCAAGACCAGGAGGTATGTTCTGTGCAAAGAAAGTTATGGGAACTTTCGGGGCAGCATCGGACCGACATTCACAAATGGGTGGTTTAGGTGAAGGTAACACATTTGGGGGTCAGTCAGTGAATCCGTTTCCAGCGCCCACAACATTTGGATTTGGAGGAGGACCTGAACAAGCAGCAAATATGTTTGGAGGTAAACATGATTTCTGCCTTCATTTTAATAACAAAATTGAAATGTCCAAATAATATCGTTTGCAAAATTACACATGTTTTTTCTCCTATTGTGTAACATTGTCTAGGTGACATTTTCTTTTGTTTTTATTTGTACTGTAATACTTATTTTTGTTATGGTATCTGTTAGCAGTGATTTGAGGCAATATCGTAGATTTAGTCTACTTATCCTCATGAATTTGTTACTATGCAATTTCTCGTTATGTATGTATGTATGTATGTATGTATGTATGTATGTATGTATGTATGTATGTATGTATGTATGTATGTATGTATTTGTATATGTATGTATGTATGTATGTATGTATGTATGTATGTATGTATGTATTTGTATATGTATGTATGTATGTATGTATGTATGTATGTATGTATGTATGTATGTATGTATGTATGTAAGTATGTATTTGTATATGTATGCATGTATGCATGCATGCATGTATGTATGTATGTATGTATGTATGTATGTATGTATGTATGTATGTATGTATGTATGTATGTATGTATGTATGTATGTATGTATTTGTATATGGATGTATGTATGTATGTATGTATGTATGTATGTATGTATGTATGTATGTATGTATGTATGTATTATGTATGAATTATGTATGTATGTATGTATGTATGTATGTATGTATGTATTTATGTATGTATGTATGTATGATATGTATGTATGTATGTATGTATGTATGTATGTATGTATGTATGTATGTATGTATGTATGTATGTATGTATGTATGTATGTATGTATGTATGTATGTACGTATGTATGTATGTATACATGCATGCATGCATCCATGCATGCATGTATGTATGTATGTATGTATGTATGTATGTATGTATGTATGTATGTATGTATGTATGTATGTATGTATTTGTATATGTATGTATGTATGTATGTATGTATGTATGTATGTATGTATGTATTTTTGTATTTGTATGTATGTATGTATGTATGTATGTATGTATGTATGTATGTATGTATGTATGTATGTATGTATGTATGTATTTGTATGTATGTATGTATGTATGTATGTATGTATTTGTATATGTATGTATGTATTTGTTTATTATGTATGTATGTATGTATGTATGTATGTATGTATGTATGTATGTATGTATGTATGTATGTATTTGTATATGTATGTATGTATGTATGTATGTATGTATGTATGTATGTATGCATGCATGCATGCATGCATGCATGTATGTATGTATGTATGTATGTATGTATGTATGTATGTATGTATGTATGTATGTATGTATGTATGTATGTATGTATGTATGTATTTATGTATGTATGTATGTATGTATGTATTTGTTTATGTATGTATGTATGTATTTGTATATGTATGTATGTATGTATGTATGTATGTATTTGTATATGTATGTATGTATGTATGTATGTATGTATGTATGTATGTATGTATGTATGTATGTATGTATGTATGTATGTATGTATGTATACATGCATGCATGCATCCATGCATGCATGTATGTATGTATGTATGTATGTATGTATGTATGTATGTATGTATGTATGTATGTATGTATGTATTTGTATATGTATGTATGTATTTGTTTATGTATGTATGTATGTATGTATGTATGTATGTATGTATGTATGTATGTATGTATGTATGTATGTATGTATACATGCATGCATGCATCCATGCATGTATGTATGTATGCATGTATGTATGTATGTATTTGTATATGTATGTATGTATGTATGTATGTATGTATGTATGTATGTATGTATGTATGTATGTATGTATGTATGTATATGTATGTATGTATGTATGTATGTATGTATGTATGTATGTATGTATGTATGTATGTATAAAGAATCAAGTTCGTATATATATTGTTTTATTTTTTTTCAGCAAAACCTCTCCCGCCGACCTCTGTTCCACAGAAGACAAAACTAATCCTTTTACAGGGGTTTGATGGGTCATGGACACTTAATGAGGAACTAGCATCCTTCCTGAAGACAACATGCGCGAATCTCCAGCAAATCGCACCAATTCAGGTAAAAGTTACAATCAGCCTGCATTTATTGTTAACAAATCGTATTCTCTGAAATCTGATAACAATATAAATAAAAATTGCCACAGATGTTCACGGGAAAGAGATATTGCATGCAATTATACGGGAGTCGATTCTATATCTAATTCTAGTTAAAATTCAATTTTATTACTCAAGAAAAACTACAAAATTCCAAGAAAGAAATACTACGCGCAAATAACATTTCCAAAACCATATTGAATTTTAATTAAAAATTGAAATTAAACTAATATATTTCAGAACTACAACGTATGGGCGACCTGTTTAGCACTGGCCTGGCTGCATCTGAATGAATCGCTCAATAAAGACGAATGGGTGTTGATCGAGAGTAAGGCTCTCCAGTGGCTAAAATGTCAGGGCTTAACCGACGATGACGTCAATAATGTGTTTACATTTGCACAACACCAAATGAAAAACTTTTAATTGAAGGTTAGCCATGAAAAAATACTCCATTGACCAAATACACGATTCGAAAGCTAAGACGTTCAATGATTTAAAGTTCACTGTCTTTAAAATAAAATCCGCAACGGTCGTTTTGTTTGCACGTAGGAGCGAAAGATGACAGATATTTGGGCTATATTTTAGCGATTCTTATTTAATGATTATTGACAGAGTCTATGAAAGGTTGCCATTTCTATACATGCCATAGTAAATTTTGTAAAAATCAGTTCCAGTTCACAAAAATCCTTTCCTGGTATATTTATCAATTGTATCGTTTTATCAATAACTGTTATAATTCATTCATGTAGTATAATGATTCAATCTCTCAGATATGATATTAATCATATGGAATTCATTTTGTCAACAAAAAATCATCAACTGCGGAATTTTTTTATTCTCCAATAGTTTTTTTTTATTCTAAAACTTCAAATTTCATATATTTATAATGCAATCATCTTAAAACTATCGATGTCTAAAGTACTATTTTCAAAGGTAATGAATGTTTTTCACACGAAAACATCGCTGTGCGTGGATTATCCGTACACGTTGGTGTATGATGAACAGATTGAAATAAACAGATTGATGCTGATTTATTCAGCTCCAGCATGCACGAACACACTGAAGTACACATGTCAGATATGTGTTTCTGTACGTGCGTGCGTGTCGGTGTGTGCGCATGAAAGGGTATGTTACACTATCATTGCAGAAAAAATGTTCATTCGATTCTTTGAATACCATTTCCTAAATCGAGTAATCGAGTTATGTATTCACGTTATCTGGAGACTATACGAGTAAATATGTCTCCATTTTCACATCAACCTTTTGATTTAATCAATATCATGATGAAACTAGAATTAATGTATATATATTGAAGACTTTTAGAAATCCCAATATCAATATTGAGGAATTGTGTTACAGGCATCATCTTGTGTAAATAGTTATTAATTGTCCTGTGAAAATCACCTGTGTATCACGTAAGTGAGTAGTAGAACAAGTTCTTCAGGTTGTTAAGTATATCTATGATATCTAAATGTGTTATTTGGATAACTTCTTTATCACGTTGATCAGTAGAAAGAACAATGTTTAGCGCATAAGCAATGATGTATAATGCCCAAAACGGCAATGAATCAACATGTATATACCATAATCATTTGTGCACTAAGATCTTATTAGTGATAATAACATAGCAGAAATTATTAGAATTGGTCAATTGTTGGAAACACTGAACTATCGATTTGGGGAGTTTTTTTTATATTACCCAATGACATAAGCGTGTTTTTGGGATAAGCATGTTGGACTATTTGCTTGTTGTGAGCAACAATCAAACACATATTGGCCCTTTGCTCAGCTTGCTGAGAAACACACACTGTCATGAGGAAGCAGAAATATTACATCTTTGTCTATACGAATTAAGGGATATATCTTGGTTTCGTTGTTATTCTCATTATTACGTAATAAAATAAACCCATATGAATATACAGAATTGATATTGCATTCAGTAAATGGAGTGCGACAATAATGTATATATATAAAATTACACATTGCATGTTGAAAATGATAAATTCGTTACGTAAGACGCTTATGAACATATGTGTATTTTTCGTCTTATAATTGTAACATTTTCAAACCTTATGGTAAATTAACAACCGGTTTCAAAACAGGTAATTGTTATTTTCATTATTATGTTGAATATTAAACAATATCATATTCTGCAATATAACAGCAAGAATATACCATTCAACATACCAACATACATACCAACATACCAACATACCAACATAACAACATAACAACATACCAACATACCAACATAACAACATAACAACATACCAACATACCAACATACCAACATACCAACATAACAACATACCAACATACCAACATACCAACATAACAACATACCAACATACCAACATAACAACATACCAACATAACCAACATACCAACATACCAACATACCAACATAACAACATACCAACATAACAACATAACAACATACCAACATACCAACATACCAACATACCAACCAACATACCAACATACCAATATACCAACATACCAACATACCAATATACCAACATACCAATATACCAATATACCAACATACCAATATAACAACATACCAACATAACAACATACCAACATAACAACATAACAACATACCAACATACCAACATACCAACATAACCATAATCCAAACTAAAATACAATAAAACACAAACAAAAGAAAGATTTACACGGAAAAAGTAAGCATTTTCTGCTTCATCGACGACACCTACCATGTAAATCGTGGTGAATCGAATTTTTTTCGATTTTTCTTCGTCATGATCTTCATTTATTGGTGTGTTTTTAAATCCATTTTGATATATTATTGTTTTAGTGAAATATATTCTTTTCGTTTTAATCTTAACATGTTTTATTTTAATCCGTTACCTTTATTCTGTTTCCATCTTCGCTGTAGTTTGACCCAAAATCATGCCCAAGCAAGGGGCAGGATATTGCTCTTTACAGATATCAGTCAGTTATACAAACATATTCTCTTTCTCATTATAAGCTAACCTGGACGGAAGGGTCAAGTGAGTTAAAACCATGGTGTAGTGTCACACATCCGTGCGTCCATCCAGCGTTAACTTTTGACTTCAAACTATTCTTTCTTAGACAAGCAAAGAATCATAATGTTTTGCTGTAATGTTCCCTGGATGACGACCAAATTATCACGGAAAGAAGTTACCTTTATCCCTATACAAGGTCACCGGGGTGAAATTTGTAGAAACCTTCAAACGACATATAATCAGCCAACTGGCCTCGAATTATGATGTTTAGCTAGACGTTGCCTTAAATGATCATGGTTTGCCTAAATAATTGGCCTTGAACCATATCACAGTGGGCAAACTTGTTGAAAACTCCATACAACTTCGACTGGTAGGTCTCTTGGTATGACGGCAATAAAGTTAACGAAATATGGCACCAATAGCAACCACGCAGTGACGGGTTGAAATGTGAATATTATCAAAATTCGATGAAATTGATATTTAGACTTATCAAAAGACATCAAACTCAACTCTTCTATTTTTGTTGTCATAACAACCAGATAAAGAGGTCATGTGACCAAGTACTAAATTGAGATTGCACTCACGCTTCATTTTTTATTCAATAACATGCGTTCTGATTGAAATTTTATATTTGGTACACATATTGTTTTTGACGAAAGATTAAACAAATGTACATTCCAGAAGTCATACGTTACGAAAATGAACGATAGTTTCCGGCACTAAAGAGACGTATCTTCCAATTCTGATGAAATTTTTCATAAGTTATGGTGTAGTTCTGTATGTATATTCTTTATCTTCGTCCAAGGTTGCGTCTATAGCAAATACACTAAGGCTTCAAAATTTTAACATTATGCAAATTCAATGAAGTTTGTATATATCTGTGATAACGACTATAAACGTAATAGTTTTGTTATCATAGCAATGAGTTTCAGGCACCTGATTGGTTGAATTGCCATATCATGGTATACTAAAATAGAAATGATTAAAGTGAGGGAGATATTTCTGTGATTGATGTACTTATTTAACCACAATATCTAGTAATGATATTTATATAATTGTTATCTACAAAATTATCTTTGAATCCTGTCGATTGATCGCTGAATTTGTGTAGGAACGAAGGTCTACAAACCTGATATGATGTTTGCTAATCAGCCGCTTTTGCAAAATATTTGAAAGTGCTTCTGTATTCGTTATTTTACTTCAATGTGTTTTATTAAAAATACTCATTTTTCCTTGTACCTTGATCTGCTATCCATAAACAATATATCCTAAATGTTGTATACTATGTTAGCCTGTGGTCATATTACGAGATGGTTACATATTTTACATATTCAATTTGTTGTACATTAAATCAATTTTATGATAAGTTATTATGTATTCGAAGACTTTTCGTCCTTCATTTGTCAATAAAATCACACGCATCTGGTATTTCTTCTAACTTGTTCCTCTTGATTAGGAGGTAAATGCGATGGATGGGTAATGCAATCAAACTGCTTCAGAATAGCCGGCGCCAAATATGAGAACCAATTAATTTCCAGTTACACCTTTGTTTATATTCATGTTTTTACGTTTTCGCTTCGCTTTTGCCATGATAAAATGATAAAATCCATTCACTTCATTTTACGATGAATTAAGCCGCGTTCATAAAACAAAGTAGCATCGTTTTTAGCTCACCTGGCCCAAAAAGCCAAGTGAGCTTATGCCATAGCGCGGCGTCTGTCGTCCGTCCGTCGTTCGTCCGTCGTCTGTCCGCCCTGCGTCCGTCAACTTTTCATTTAAACAACTTCTTCTGAAATACCGAAAGGCGTAGACCTTGACTCATATTCAAAGTCACAGAGGTCTTAAAAACTTTTAGCGATTTCTTCCAAATAACAGGAGGCCTAGAATCATTATATATGGCTTGTAGGTTCCTTTGATGATGCCCAACAAAGTTTGCGGACCCATATTCAAGGTCACAGAGGTCAAATGTGTTAAAAACTTTAAACGACTTTCCCCAAATACCGAAAGGCCTAAAATCATTATATTAGGCTACTATCTTCCTCTTATGGTGTCCTACAAAATTTGCTAAAAGAAATTACCTTGACCAATCTTCGATGTCACAAGGGTCAAATGTGTTAAAACGTTTAAACAATTTCTTCTGAAATATCGAAATACCTAGAATTATTATATTTGGCCAGTATGTTCCTTTTATGAAGTCCAAGAAAGTTTGCAAAAAGAAGTGACCTTGACCCATAGTCAAGGTCACAGGGGTCAAACCTTTAAATGACATTTTCTGATTATCCAAAACATCTAGGATATTGATATTATTCTAAAATAAGTTCTCAATGATGCACGGTAATATTTGAGAACAGAAATGACCTTGACCCCTATTCAAGGTCACAACAGTCAAATGTGTTAAACCTTTGAACAACTTCTGGTTAACCTAAAGGAATATGATCATAATATTTGGCCAAAAGGTTCCCTTAATGGTGCCCACATAGCGTGTGAAAAAATAGTCATATTGCTTATAGCATCTAGATCTACTGTGAAACCTATGCATAGATATAGTACTGTTGGTCATAAAGATCCAGGTGAGCGATACAGGCCCTCTGGGTCTCTTGTTATCATTGCTTTTCTTCTGTCCACGTGTTCAAACGTAAAACGGTTGTTGTGTATGCCATTGCCACAGCAGACAGTGTAGACAGAAATATTATGATCTGATTAAACATTACCGTCAACAAGTATGCAATACTCGGTAATTTTCCATGTAGATATCTATAGTACAGAATTTATGTGAAATAAAATATACTTGTCGATTCCTTTATTACGAGGAATGTTTTTAAAGCTACACAAGTTACAATTTGACAGTTCAAAAACCAGTTATTGCCGAGATATTATCGAGTGCTGAGCCTTCTAGGCATGATCGTATTGTGATTTGTACCATCTTTAGTTTGTATTCTTGAAACAAGTGCCGTGATGTGAACCTATTTTTTTTCATTAATGTGTATCTTCCTGTCAAAAAGGTACGTCAGATTAGTTCGTGTGACTCACTTGAGGTGGGACCAAATTGCATGTTCGAAGTGACGTCATTTGTGGGGAATAAAGTTAAAGAGTAGCTGTGCACACATGTACGATAACGACAACAATGCTACAAATTGACTTTACATTGAAAGTGTACTCAAGTGAAGGGATAATTCAAACGGGTTTACATTAATGTAGTAGTGCGTTACTTGACTGACGAAGGAAAGCGAATTGTTCATAAACTGTTTGGTAGTTCACATCATTTGCACGAGGACCACCTCCCTCCGTCAGTTCATGTGCAGGTACTGACCTCGTCATTACACTTATTACAATTTTTCGTTGTCAACGTTGAAAGAGGAACATGTAACAGTGAATTAGTAAAGAAGATAATACATTTTCTGTATGAAGTATATCTAAGTTTTCCTTTTATTGATAGAGACATACTTGTTTCCCTAAGATACAGTTTGTACGTTATATACTGTATTGGTAGATTCAGTACTGAAGAGGTTGTTCCCTTTATAGATTCTCCCAAAAAAGACATGGAAGTTTACTCTGGGGTAAGTTCATTATCGAATCGGTTATCTCACTGACGTCCTCACGTGAACTGAAATTTGATGAGGTACATATCTATTGGTTTCATTGTGATTACCCTATCTCTCCTATTGAGAAAATGACGTTGGACTGACAGGATTGCTTCGATGAAGAAGATAAGACTGATTCATCCGAATGAGACTTTAAATATTACTTTTGCAATTCTTCCGCGATGTTCATTAGCACGAGTGTTGTATCTGCATAGTTTTAAGCCTTGGTGTTGCCATATTTAGAACGTATCTAGAATTACCACAGGCTTCCACGGGGAAGATATTGTACGCAAAGAGGCTACAAAAGCCTTCAATTATCAACTAGGGGCCATTTTAAAATAAGAATTGGTTCATTGAAGAAATTAACATATTAAAGCAATCGTTGGGATTTATTCTATTTGAAAACATGTTAACAGTGTCTTAATTGAAACATGAAAACGGCGAAAGTATATAAATATAAACAAATGAAAGATTTACATTGAGATTACTGAAAGAGTACATGGAGAGTCAGACCAGATGTTGCAATGAAGTTAGCATCTTCAACTTCATCGACGACATCTGTCGTAGATGTAAATCTATGTCTGATAGAATGCAACTAAACTAAACAACGGAATCCCCAACATGCATCTTATCGCACAAAGAAATAGATATATTCCTATGAGATCACTATGACAACCGTAAAACTACCCTTTAATCTTCATAAACTGCATATCTCGAAACCTTGGTTAATGAATTGAAGTAAACATTTAAGGGGAAAGGGAGATACATGATCATGTATCTTATATCATTTCCAAGAAGAAGACGAAGGAGAAAAATAAAGAACATTTATTTGCGACACTCTTTATTATTGGTATACATCCATATTTACTTAACTGCCGCCGTCTTAACGCTGTCAGAACTGCAAATAAACAAGAGTCATTTTGATATTTTTTAACTATATATTATTGAAAAGATAATCATTTCATAATAGTGTAATTTTACATTAAAAAACCTTAATTTGTGATATATTTATTCCGTTCATGTAAAGTGTAAGCTGGAATACCCAATCGACGTGCAAATGGAGTTGTTGTTAAAGTATGTATTTGTGAAGAACTACGTGTTAAAAACACCTCTCACAACTGTATCGACGGCCATTTTGCGAGGATGATACTATCGCTATTTTGTGGTACGTTATATAACATGATCTCAAACATTTTGTCCGTGAAATAATAAAACACATGTGTAGTAGATGTCCTATTACATTCAAATCACTAAAGTTTAATTCATTAAAAAATTATTCAATCGTTTTAAAATGTAGTGACAAGCATTTCGCCACATGAAAATTACCAGCTATGCGGCACTCGTATAAGTAAAATGATCTTACCAGCATTTTAGAGCTATTTTCCTATTACTCATCGGTGATGTTTGGGACCTACATAATGGAAATCTGGAAGCTGTATACCGACTACAATACACCTTATCGTTACAATGGGTCATTGAACCAGCCCAGTCACTGTAGTGTCGTAATTAATTTCATATCTGATAACTCTAACACGAATTTTCAAATACATATGTATATTCTGAACCGTGCTTTTACTAAACTATTCATATAAATTAAAAGGTGATATGTGGGATCGAAATTAGATTTGGATTAATGGGCATTTTATATTCCGAAGCTACTGAAATCCCTAGTTCAAACAAACATTCATAATTTATCATATTTACCATATCAGCTGTAGAATAATGTAAACACGAAAATCATACCAAAGGCATATAGATTAAACTGAAGGCAAACAACTCATACTGAAGGCATACAACTCATACTGAAGGCATACAAGTCATACTTAAGGCATACAACTCATACTGAAGGCAAACAACTCATACTGAAGGCAATCAACTCATGCTGAAGGCAAACAACTCATACTGAAGGCAAACAACTCATACTGAAGGCATACAAGTCATACTGAAGGCATACAAGTCATACCTAAGGCATACACTCATACTGAAGGCAAACAACTCATACTGAAGGAAAACAACTCATACTGAAGCGTACAACTCATACTGAAGGCAAACAACTCATATTGAAGCGTACAACTCATACTGAAGGCAAACAACTCATACTGAAGCGTACAACTCATACTGAAGGCATACAACTCATACTGAAGAGTACAACTCATAAGGAGGCATAAAACTCATATTGAAGGCAAACAACTTATACTGAAGGCAAACAGCTCATACTGAAGGCATACAACTCATACTGAAGGTATACAAATCATACTGAAGGCATACAACTCATACTGAAGGTGTGTTTATGAGAAATATACCTACCAGAAATTAAATATTTCCACAGTGGCATACACCATTAACGCAGTGTCGTCGGAATTGTGAACAAGTCCAGCTTTGAATGTTCGCGCAGTCATCTCTACTTGTACAACCTAAAACATAAATCTGTCTATCAAATTCACTCATCCCAAAGAGAGATTAGCCAATAATATTCTTTTTTTACATTTTGAAATTGTTGTGATTCGGTCAAAAAACGAACGTTTAGAAATAAAATCTATACGGAAGTTAAGTTCGGTACATTAATCTCTAAGTATTCATATTTAAATTCTGAGCTAGCGATGGTCTATAGAAAAGGATTCCATACTTCAAAATACTACATACTGTGGCTTGTGTTTACTTCACAGGTGCAAATGCCATGTACGCATGCCTTATGGCTCACGGAATCGCAAGTTGTTGAAACGCATCCAGAAACATTATTTGTTGAGCACGATTCCGAAATCACCAGCACTGTATAGTGACAAAGAGTAAGAAAATTAATCGTACATTTGCAACGATATATTGTGTACGTATTGTTCTGGTATTTATTGTACCATTCATATAACGGGCTATAGCGGATATATGACCTTAATATGACAAAAGGATGAGGGTTTAGCTTTTTGTAACATGAAAGCAAAATTTTGTGTGCTGTAATGCAAAATGGATTGATGTCGTGTTTCTATGGTAATATAATCGTTAAGATAATCTGAGGTGTTGTATGGTATAATCTATATCACAATCAAAAGGATCTAACGTCACATTGTACGACACGATGTCGTGATATCATGTTTTGTGGTATACTGTTGATCACAAGGATCTAACATCACGTTGTATGGTAACAATGTTGACCACAAAGTCCAGATGTCATGCTATGTGATATAATGTTGATCGTAATGTACTGATGTCATGTGATATGGTACAATATTGATCACGATGTTCTGACGTTGTGTTGTATGATTCACCATTGACCACAATGTCATGTTTTGTGGTATAATGTTGATCACAAGGATATCACGTCATGTTGTATACAATGTATGTATGTCTATAAAATACACCATTGAGCAAAAATCACAAGTAAATACCAAGATGAAACCAGAATCATAAATTCATGTTCCGATTCAAAAAGAGTACCGGCATCTTTACGAAATCTCACTTCACATAACATAGCTTTGAACTAGTCGACGGTTTCATCAACTGGAATCTATATCCCAGTAAAGTGAACAGGGAAATAATGTCTTTCAACATTAGCATAAAAAATTCGGGTTTGATTAGCTTAGATTAGACAAAGGATGTCTCCCAAAGGACTCGCAGAAATAATACACTACACCCACAGAAACTATCAAGCAAATATCAATACTCTAGAACACTTATAAAGGTGTTTACAGTTGCATTTCAACACATACACCAAAAACTTAACATTTCTAAACCAATACTGATGCTGACGCTGGGTTAATAACAAAAGCTCCTCCTCTCCTCTAGAGGCGAGGTAAAAAAAACTAGAGCGAAATAAGAAATAAAGGAAGATGTTCACGGAAACTCCTGTAAAGGTCAAGGATAATAAGACATATTAAGCGTCTCATGATTCATCGACGACATCGACCTTGTTAATCGTTGTCATTCTTTGTCATTTCTTTGAGTACGAAGTGTCACGTTTTCAAATGAAAACAATGTATACAACAATAGAACCAACAGACAAAATAACGAGCACCTAACACATCCAGCTTCATATTGCTTAAAGAATTACGATATCTCTCAGTGAGATCACTATGACTTCCATAAGACATTACTTCACCATTATTTTCATCAAACAGCATATTTTTAAATCATTTGCTTTCATTTTGCTGCCAGTTAAAGGGTTTATACATACGGAAATCGGAATGATGGGAACAGGCCCTTGAATATCGAATCAACTGCGACATTATAAGTATATACACCAAATAGTCATCAATATAGCTCCATTTCCTTTTTTAAATCGTATCTGAATGGCATAATCCATCTTGTTTTTTCCCCACAATGACACCAGAACTGCTACAAAATAGTATTTGTCACAACCAATTACTGATGCATATCACCAGTGCACTGATATTTGTTTAATATTATCTTAAAATAAAGGTTAAAACAATCATATGTCAACTAGGAAATTCTGCTGGAATTAAGATATATCTATTTCCAACCCGTTGATAGACCTGCATGTAATTGTGGTCATCCATTGTCCTTATTTCATCTTTCAATGACAGCTCATCCTAAACTGTCTTTCTACTCTAAACGATTCTTTACCTCAAACATTTCTTGAAGGCACGCATATTTGAACAAATATGTTTTCATGTTCATTCAAATATTTATAACCAATAACGGAAGTCTCTCTTCATTTCTGCAATCTACGAATATTTTCTCAAGATTGGGTCTTTTTGTCACATTGAAAGACCAGGCACAGGATGGTGAAAAAGTAAAGACAATTTGAATCTATGCCTGCCTCCATATAAGGGGACATTTTGACTTAATATTGACATCATCATAAGTTTCTTTCATTAGTGATAACTGATGGTAATGCTTCCTTTTCATTTATTTATTTATTCCAATCTATATACTAGATTCTAGCGTTCCTGTCTAATTGTTTTAATACCATTCTGTAATTTATTGACAGTTTGGCTGATGTGTTTGTATACTTGTTTGTTATGGTAAGAATATGTAAACCCCATTGGTCTGGGATGCAGGGAGGTTGCTATCCATAAATGGAAAATTTATAATAAGGAAATTGAAACTATACAGCATGGGGAAAAGATGTCCATGTTGGTTCCGTTGTAAGCAAGGATCGATATAAAAATTTAAGCCGCTGTTGCAGAAGAGACTGTAGCTGATTTTTAATTCTGATGCGTGTATACAGTGGATATGCTCTTGTTACTGAAATACAAGACGTCATCATATATCCTTAAGTGACATTATAGGATATGTATGGTCTTTGTGACCTGCTTCGATAATTTCAGAATCGTATGAAGTCCGCCAACAGAGGAGCACATGTAGTTGCAACATATACGCCAATAGTCTTGCCACCAAACTCGTCCTCCCTAATCTATTCTCTGATTTGGACTTTGTTTCAAGAAATATGCTTCAGTTCACAATAATATGATTATACCATCTTTCGTCTCCCTTAAAAACGTAAGCCAGTAACAAGAGAACAAAGGTTTTCTTTTAGTTTAGCAAGGTGTATGATAGTGTGCAGAGTGGGAAAAATAAAATGTTCTTATAGGAGAAGTATAATTTGGAAGAGGATGTCAAAGATCTGTGTGGTTCTTGAAAGTCCACATGCTGTTAATTCAATTCTTGAGTTAACAGTATCACAAGGCGGCTATAGTATTGATTACTTGACCCTCAAGACGGCGTAAGATGTATCGTAATATTTAACTGCTTTTGAATGCTTGCCATAACAATATATGGAGTGCTTATAATCAAAATCTCCTATACTAATCATTCCAGTTTCTATCACGTATAGCCCATGTTCTCAAAGTGAAGACTATTTCTAAGAATGTCTTTTAAGGTTATATAATAATCATATTCAAGACAATATCATGTATTTGAGCCATAAAACTGACATATAAAGATCTTTTTAAAGTTTTTTTTAACATAGCCACAAAGTATATTATGGTTAATTCATGAAATCAAAATTCCACAATAGTAAATTTTTAATAAATAAAATGTAAAAATAAGTAGATGAATATTTGATTTATAAAGGAAACAGTTGTTTAGTATTTACGGCGCAATAAAAATATACTGTATTACATAAATGAAGTAGATCAATGAGAAAATCATAAAGGAAAACGGAGCAGCTTACCAGTCACAACTGCCAAGCTTAGGAAAAACAATACAGCCTTCATTTTGAATCGTCTTTCGTTGATTAATGACACTACAAAACGATTTCTCTTTTATTGAAGCTATATTTGCTATCTCTAACCTGACCTCAATGATTGTCTCTATCAAAACGTGGCCAAGATCGTGACTAGTTGTACCGGTTCAATCTTATCTTTGAGATATACACTAATGTAGTGCTATTCAAAACAATGAGACAATGCAATCAATACACTAAAAACATGGTTATAATATTCAGCGACTATGGTCTAACATGTTACAAGTTATAAGCAATATGTAAAACATATAATGAATCAACATAACAGAAATTAGTCATTATTTTTAAAAATACAAATACAGTATAACAGACTGGACATGTAAGGAGACTCCTATGTCTGCACACATATGGCACACGGAAATCCTATCTACGCAGTTATATATTGCAAAAGTATGTTCAGTATATGATATGTATAAATATGTTATATAGAATACATCAGAGTGTCAAAGGATGCACTTGCTAAATATATCCTGTCATATTCAAGTTTATGTATTTGATATTGTAAATAGTTTTAAAAAATGAACAGATAAATAAATAAATTGATTAATTAATGAAGATGTTTCATTTGTGGTCTTACCACGAAGTACAATACAGGAAGTACTGTAAAAATATTTCTATTTTTACTTGTGAATAAAGATACTACTGATTTGTCCGCCTACACAAAGATGTAATATTAAAGAGTTATTTTTGTACTTTACATACATTCAATTATCGAGTTTCGGGGAGGAAAAGTGAAATACAAAGGTCATGGAAAGAAGGAAATATTTTTGTCAATCGATTCCCACGTATACACATAAGTAACAATTCTTGGTTGGTAATGTATTGTACTATTCTCGTTCGAAAATATATTGCAACAGTTTTTTGATAGTTGAAAATGGATGAACGCAATATATAGTCTGAAGGGTGAATTGCTGAAGCTGATCAGAATTTCGAAGAAACGTGCTTTAGATTTGTGCCGGAATAAGGATCAATATGTTAAAATACTAATTGGTAGGCATTCAAAAGTATCTATCAGTGATTTTTGGGATATTTCAGTCCTGGACTCGTGCTTTTCTTGTGAGAACACTCTCTAAGTATTACCTATCAATAGTTTTGAATTGGTGGTCTGTACTCACCAAAAGAATCCTACAAAATTTAATGATCTGTAGAAATAGAATGGGGTTTTAGATTGTTCATTCTGCTCTCATACTGGAAACAGTATATCCATGTTAGGACACTTTGGAACGCAATATTTATAGAAAATCAATAATTTCAGCATTCCTGATATCACCATTCACAATTAAAGATTCACTGACGCTGCTTTTTTATCACTTGATAGAAATCTTAACTGATTTTATAGTGATTCTGTAATCATAACTAGAAATTAAATACGAGAGTTGCTATAACTGACATTACGGAAACATCCCAATGTAAAAAGATATAGTTGAATTGGATCAAATAGTAAATACAGTCGTCTTGACTACTTCCTTCTTTCGTCTTCAGTCCCTTGTCAAACTTAATCGCTTTTCAATTAGATGTAATTCTAAAATTCAAATCAGACCATGTGCCAGTCATCAGATAGTCATTATTATGTGATCAAGAACAGGGGCTAGCAAAGTATAAATGTTTGTCTTATAAGATTCAATATTTAGCTCTACTGTATTTGCTTTACATTGATTACAATGCTTTCGAGTCATTTTGAGGAGAATGAAGTTGAATATGTTGCCTTTTTGGTTCCGAAGTGGTTCGTAAGCAAAGAAATGTGAAGATTGTATAGTATTAGCCATTGGTGTCATATTTTATCTGAAGATAAACACGTTTTTCTCTTGAAGGAGTCTCTGATTGCTCGTCTGCTTTTGAACGAATCTGGTTCGAGTTCTTCAAAACTCTATGAAATATTTCGCAAAGTAAAGATTAAAGTCATATGGTGAAGGCTGTCAGTTTTCTTGCTGTTTTGTATTTATCTGCCCTGACATTTCAAGTGTAATAATAAGACATCGACGAGTCCCTTATCGTGATAGTTAGTCACGAGTTATCCTAAAAATACATAGACAAATAAAAAACAATAACAAATCCTACAGCTGTTCTCTTTCGTGAATGTTTCATATTTTTTCTTATTTCATTTCAATAAATTACCTTCGTAAATCGTTCAGACAATTTTAAAATACATAGTGTTACAAAATATCTCTGTCTCTCTATTTTGACGTTCCATTCAACCTGCTCTAATTTTCTTTGGTGTAAATGATATGGGCCTCAACATCATGGACGAGTCTTAGGACAAAACATCTACATGATTATACTTCATTCATTTTTACTATACTATATAACCCTAACCCTATCTCCCGAAGTTCCCAAGTATTAACTTGCACGTGTTACTGACATAACCAAGGCATGCGAACCACATGTAAGGTAAGTGATTATAGGGTATCTAACATTGATCTTCTGTTGTGTTTGTACTATCTTACTGTCTGCAGGAGTGTCTCATCGTGATAAGAATATTAACCAATATGGCTCTGGAAATATACACTGCAATCAATTAATTTGTTCATTAAAATACAACATTCACATTGGTATAAGATTAGACTGTACTATACTTTTAATATTTTCCAAAGGATTTTCAATCACGAGCTAGTTGGTTTACTATGGGTAAATATAACACGTTAAATCAATAAATTAATCAGCTGTTCCTCATACATATATACTTGACGTTTGTTGGAAGCCATCGATATAAAATGTTATTTTGAGGTTTACGCGCCCGTTCTATTTTTCATCCAATTTTAATTGCTATTTCTAAATCTCTATTGAAAGGTGTAATTCAAGTGTGGATCTTATCTGAAATCTTATATTTTCTATTTCAGTTGGATCTAAATCGCTTGTAAAGGAAGTTTACCTCACCGTTGACCTCTTAGTTGACCTCCGCCAAAAGTAGAAATGCTATGGATTATCTTCCCACGCCGTGTCATACAAGTACATCATGTTTCCCGTCCAGCATTGAATGTATTGCAAAGAGTTGTCTCCCCATGTAAAACATTTCGATATTCTAACATCTTGATATTACGTTCAAAATCTTGTGTTTTATTTGCAATATCTCGTGATGTATATTGTAAAATTAGTGTTTTATGTTCTAAATCTTCTATTTACAATTTCTTGTTTTTATATTTTTATTTTGAAAATCCTGTATGATGTATATTCAAAAAAGACATATTTATGATGTAAAACTTGTGTATCACAAACTTGACTATGAGTTTGGTACCATCCACATCTTAAGACTGGTGCTAATTTTAAGGGAAATATTTAATGACATCTCAACAGGATATGTATATTTGTTATGATCCAAACCAAACTATACACAGTCGATAGGAACAGAAATGCACAGAAACAGAAACGGAAGTTTGCAAAGTTCGTGCTCAAAAGGAATTCCCTAAGCCAATAAAAGGATTTCACTTTAACTGTCTCTTTTTAACAGGTACATCATCAACCGCCAATACATGTTACTTGATCAAGCAGAGCATCACTCGGGTATAATACGTAATTATCGACTACAGCCACAACACCTCTGGTGCAATTCGTGGGCCAGTCGCCTTATACAGTTGACCTGACGCCAAAGCTTGTTCTAGGAAAGTATCTGCAACTCTGACTCAATGCAGTCCGTAATTTTCCAATTGTTTGGCATTTGATCCCGTTTGCAACCTTTTGTTACTCAGCTTCGTCAGATGAACCTTGAATGCTGGTACAAATTCGAGAATTCGGCACCATGAACACACGATACTGAGAGAGCCAGGTTACATGGCTGACACGTCACGTAAGGATAGCTCTGGGGCTTAATTCAGATTGGCCAAACTTACCAGAATGGATCATATAGCAAATGATAAACTTATCATATCATAAATCAATTATTACAACATTCAAAATGTCCTCTGAATAGATTAAAATTTATTACATCACAAATGAGGACTACTGCTACTATTACTATTTGATAAAGCATACGTCATGTTTCACATTTTGTCAGCAACCTAGTTTGAGAGTCCATCACATCTATACAAATGTAGAGAAACCATTCCCCTCAACTCCAATAAATGTTTTGCATGTATTAGGTTAGTGGGCCAGTTATTTTTTCTGTTACCATGAAAACAGATATTCCTCATCACAAATTTCAGTTTTTCTTGACCAGTGCTATGAAACAGTTCAAGATATTTTTTCTCAAAACTTTTACATTTATTAAACTATTAGTATTTTTGCTATGCTTAAATTCTCCATTTAAATATTTTTTCTGTTACCATAAAAACATTTAGGCAAAATCACATAGTTCAAAGTTTTCAGACAAGTTCCCTTAAACCGTTCTAGGTAATTACCCGAAACTCAAAACATTGTACAGGCATCAAGCTAGTACTCTAGTAGAAGGTTCCCATTTCAATACTCTCCTGAGTGACCGAAGACGTTTTCCTTTTTTAACTATCCGGGAGGTCCTCTGGATTTCCGAATTGTATACCTGTCACTTCATTCACTAGTTTACCTACCTGATCTTCGAAACGACCAACCTTAGCAACTGACCTTACATGTGCCGCCTCAGTCATGAATGCCTTCAAACAAGTTTGTCATTAGCAATTAAATAATACACTCTTGACTTCGGATGCCATGTGCTTTGACTCGAGTATCAATATCTGGATGGTCAATGCGGTTTTTATCATTGCATATCGGGTAAATCCCTTTCACCAAACCTCTGCTCCATTTTCTAGCAAAGTAATTTAAAGTGAGTCTTGACAGAAGGCAAGAGAGCTACAGAATTTTAATACCTTGTCACGGTGACATTCGATAAAGCTATCAGTTCTCTCTTGATTTTCCCAAATGTGTCAATCACCTGGAGAAAGTAATGGAGCCTGTTCCGACTTGCCATCATATGTTGGCATTGTAACAAGGTAATAGCCATCGCGTCAAGTTGAGGAGAGCTGTTTCTGCCACGGCCCGCAGATCGTGACCGAATTCAGTTCCTCTCGCAACGTGTCCACCACTACTTAGCGAATCGTTTTTAATTACGCCTGCACCACCAACGAGATATCGATCGTCGGACCCTGTTTTACATTAGATCCGGTTCGGCACCATTTTGTCCACCCGTAAGTTGACATCTGCTTTACGTTACCAACTATGCCCCAGAATCACTTACTCGCAGGAGTTCTCGATGCGCAATGAGCATATCTTTCTCCATCTACTGATTACATGACTGTATCATCCATTTCCTTACTATGATCCCGCATAGACAGTGAAAAAATTTTTCCCATGGACTAGAGTGTAGCAGACCACTTGTATGGTCTATTTTCTATATGAAATATATTAAAAGTGTTCTCAGTAGGTGGCGTTCCATTTTAGGTAGCATTGCATTTTGGGTAGTGTCACGTTATAGGTATCGAGAGAATATTTGACATTGTTCTGCTTAAATATTTGTCAAGTGTTAAAGGTGATTTCACCTCAGGGTATCATCAATACTTTTAGATCGCCAGCAAACAAAACATCACGGAGCAAATCTACACGGTATATATTTTTTGCCAAATGTTTTCAAAAATAGGGTTTGTGGCATATTTGAAAAAAAAACACATTCACAAGTCAAAAATAAATGCATTTCATTCCTTTATCATCAACCTATGATTTAAATATCAGTGTACAAAAACAACTCTTTTAGAGAAAATTTCCTGATTTCCATTCCTTCCAGTTACAGCATTTTATGTACAATCTTCTTCCCCTTAGGTGGAACTCTTCTATACTGTGAAACCACAAACAAATATCTACTTCCTGTTTAAAAGAGACGACACGTTTGGAAGCTTGATTCGTTAAAATCTTATTTAATTTCTTGTATGGCATAAATTAACAATGGAGAAAGCTTCGATTTTAGAGAGACTGCGTCAATTCGACGCATACCCCAAGACGCTTGAAGACTTCCGAGTGAAAACATTTGGCGGAGCTACAAGTAAGATGGTCGTTTGGTGGTTATAAGATACTGAAAATGAAATAGTGGACCATCTAGATCAAGGCTTGATGGTTATATGGAATAGCAAACATATCCTACGGTTTATTGTAACACGTTCTTTTACTTGTAAATTATAATACACATTCTTATCTTTCGTTATACTTTACAATTTGTTATTAAATTTGTATGAATGTTGACGGTTATTTTTCTTGATTTTCCAACTGCGGTTTTGCATTAGTACTAATATTGATACATGGCCTTCTCAAATATAACAAAATAAAAATAGAATTTACAGGCTGGGATAGAAGAAGCTGCATTGTGCATTTCTGTCAATTTGCAGATGAAAATTGCAATCATAAACAAAGTACTTAGTTTTTACACAAGTCGATAAAGCATACTAAATTTTAATCTTGCAGTTGATAACGATGCCATCTTTACTGGAAATACAGTAGTATGTCAGAGTCATTCACTGTGAATATGTCATTTTGTGTGGTGAGTTAGTAAAAGCGTTTTATCAGGGTTTTGCATAAGAGCCAATTTGATCGGCTACTTTGATCATTTGGCCGCCTACACCAATCCAGTTCTGTAATAATGTTCCGTACAGGACTACACGTACACGGCAGGCCAGCCTCCTTCTTTCACTACACAGCCTACTGCTAACAAAATTATGGAAAACCCTGTTTATGTTTAACAGTACCTGCAGATTAAACACTTCTGATGAAGTTCAGAGGAGAAAAATCCTCTGTTATGAGATCGTGTTGAGATTCCAGTCGGTGCTTTTAAGTTCAAGAATGTAACCAGAGTACATTACATGTAGCTAGTTAGTAACACACATGTATAAGCTGAATCATTGTATCAAAAGATATAATCTGAACTGGTTTTTGAAAACAAAATATGTACAATGTATATGTCTTTGAAACGACCTCAACAAATTTATAGGTAGACATTGGACCTAGTTTTATAGAAATATGGCTTGCAGATGAACTAACTAGACTTTGCTGATCATGAATGCACATGGCTTGAGAGACAGATTATTCATCAAATTATTTATTAAATCACTTGAATGCTTTTCAAAGGAAAGTTTGTTGTTAAATTCACTTTTGTTCTGTTTTAAGTCATATATGCAAACATAAATTTTCAGAAGACCCGTCTGTAGAATCCTGGTGATATTCTTATATATTATGAGTGATTTGTTTTGTTTGTTTTTTCAGTTACAATTCTTAGTGGACTGCTGATGTTTGTCCTGTTCCTGTCAGAGTTCAACTATTATCTGACAAAGGACATTCAACCAGAATTATTTGTTGACACCACTAGAGGCCAGAAACTCAACATCAATATCAATGCAACTTTTGCAAAAATACCATGTGCATGTAAGTTTTGTTCTGGAAAGTTTCTTATCGGTAGCATTTTGTTAAGATGTCTGACAAACATTACAAATGGCAGGATTGCCCTCAACAGCATTTCATTCAGATGTTACTTTTTTACTGTTTGATAGATGTTCACTGAAATTACTGAAGTAATGTATTAACAAGGCAGAGCATGTGTCACATATAAGTTTACTTTTACTTACTCCCTGCTATAGAGAGATTGTCATTTGTTGTTGTGTGAATAGAAACTTTAATTTGGTCTATGTACAGAGCAAAGCTATATAACAAAGGGAAGCAATCCAATGCACAGATAATAGTACTAAAAAAATAGTACATACATAATTGTACATGATATTTTAATAAATTTGTAAGTTACATATATATCAAGTTCACTTGTGATGATGTTAACTATGTGTATAGATATAAATAAACTGCTTTTGATGTAAGCAAATATATATATTACATAATACTTACATTTATCTTATTCTTGTATGACAAAAATGTATGATATAATTCTAAATTTATTTATAGAGGAAGTTATTGCATGTTTTACAAACTCTCAAAAAACAATGAGAAAATGACACTGTCATTAAGTGTTCAGATTAGGGTAAGATTATTTGTTTTCATAAAATCTATAAAGTAATTACTTTTTCTGTTGAAGTTTCTCATCAATATAGAATAAATTCTTCTGTAGAGTTTACCAATAAGCTCTTGGATTTAGCTCCCAAGATAATTGATAATTATTTGCTGAGTATCTAAATAACAATAGTCTTGATAAGTACTGTAGGATATATTTTATAAATATAGTGTGAGTGAAAAATTGTTCCTGCTAAAGATCTGGAGGTAGGCACAAAGTTCAGAACACAAAAAAGCATAATCTGAAATAACTTATCAGACCTGGTAATGAAAATTTATTCCGGTTATTAAGGACAGTCAAATGCTGTAATTTTGGTCTCTATTTGCAGTTGTACTTAAGATGAAATTTCTGTTGGATATATTAATATTTACAAAAATTTGATTTTACAGATCTCAGTATAGATGCCATGGATGTGTCTGGGGAACAGCAACTAGATGTAGACCATCATCTTTTCAAACAACGTCTCGATGAATTTGGCAATATTAAAGATGACCAGCCAGAAAAAGAAAGTAGGAGTTGATTTTGTCAATTAAACTAAAATTCATAGTCTTACAAATAAGAATACAAATAAGCTGAGACATGAAAATCTTTTTATCAATATCTCGCCATCTGTGTGTCATTAACAAAGCACTTCTTAAACATAAATTACAGTCATTTCTTTTATCAGCAAGTTATTGTAATGTACATGGTAGTATTGTTTTTATCTGTCCAAGTAAAGTCAAACCTCATTATCTGGACCTTGATGGGACCATGAGAAATCTTTGAGATAACCAAGTATTCAATTTAAGTGAATTCTCATGTTTTTTGTAAAGTTAGACTTGAATTAAAAAAGGTTTTCAAGTTAGAGGAGTTTTTAGATAACAATGTTTGTCTGTATATGACATAAAACCAATGAAGATTTTAAAATTCTGTATTGAAAGAAAACCCCAGATTGTAATCTGCATTTCAGATCCATTTTAACTGTGGTTGCTGTATAAGATATGTTCTTAGCACATGAACTCTTAAAATGGTCTTGTTGATATTCCTTGCAACTCAAAGCAATATTGGGGCTCTGTTTTGCAGTTTAGGAGGGCAGAGTAAAATCATGAAAATAGATACAAGAAAATTGAGAACTGATTAAGAAGTCTGTAGTTCATCTCAAGACTTCATTTAGCTGTATGGCTTACAGTGAATTGATTGAAAACATTACTTTTAGTTTCAAACTTTTTGTATTGAGGAAAGTATCAGTAAAATTGTAAATTTCATAAAAATTCAGTTTGAGCACATTTGAAATTTCTCTATAAGCTTTTTGTAATTTGATTTGAATTTTCCACAATCGCAGATTTATAAAAACTATATTTACATTTGTACAGAAATATCAGTATGAAAGCTAGTCTGAAAAAATGTGGTTGATACATAATTAGTTGAAAAATATATTTTATATTAAATTATTTCATTTTTTTTCCAGCTTTAGGAGATTCTTCTAAAGATGTAGTGGAGGTAAGTCAATGTAGACCAAAATGCATACCAACAACATTATTAATATGAATATGTATATCAGTATTATGTATTGTATAATTGACAGATTTAATTATTCAATTTCTAATGATTCTTGAAAGTACATGTAGATGTCTCAAACTGACATGAATGTTGCAATACAGAGGAAGTATAAGGAGATTATTTAATTATTTTTTGGTATTTTAAAAGACATATCCCTGAATTTTCAGACTGAATCAGATATTTCCATCCACCACTGAAACATTGAACATAAAATGAAAGTGTTTTAAAACTTTCCAAGTCCAAGGGTCCATGTATATGAAATTTTAGTAAAAGATAATTTGACAGTCAGAAATAGGAAATTTGGCCTTCATCTTCTGGTAATACAACTACACTTCAGTATATTATCTGTATTAAGCACTTACAAAATTAACAAACTTTCAAGGGCAATAACTCTGAAAAAGTGAGAGTGACTGTAACTACAAAAGGCTTTAATCTGCATTTCTCACAATACAGATAAAACAATTTTTTTGCTTTAATATCTCATACCAGTTCAGCAGCAAATTTTTGAAGGGACATAATTCTAAAACAATAAGTTAACCAGAACCAAATAAAAAATTGAAGTAAACAAGATTCTAAAAAAAAAATTGTTCATTAAATGAATGATTTTTTTTCTCAAATATGCACACATATCTGTTAAAGTGTGTCATCAATTAGTCTGTCCAAATTGATAACCAGCAAACCAACAAATACAAATGTAAATACATTTATTTACAATCTAAGAAAAAAAAGCAAAACACAACATATAACAACAACATAACATCTCAATCTCTCATACTCTGAAGATACCGACATCCCAATTTTAAAATTTTCATATTATACCCTAGATTTTCCAAATGTATTTAACTAATAAATCAAATGTGGGATTCCTTTCACAAAAGAGTCTGTATGCATTATGCGATCACTTCCTGTCCAGCAAACATGTCAGTGTCATTCCAGTAAACTGTCAGGGTGACTCAAGGTCACAATTCCTGATGGAGGCAACAATGTCTTCGGGGTCACATAAAGAGATTATATCAACTCCCAGGTAACTTCATTAAAAACCTTATTTGGACATGCAGACATTATTCATAGAAACATGGCACTCAGCCTGAAGAACACACAGTCTGACACACATACATCCCTATGGACACACAGTCTTGGACAAAATACAGCTGTGAAGCACACAGCTTAGAAATTTAATATAACAGGCACACAGCCATTAGCATCCAGCTAATATGATGTCATACTGACAGACACCTTAGCCCATAGTGACCTGACAAGTTACTCTACTCACCAGAGTCAGGACCTAATGATGGCCGCCTAGCGGTCAAAACATGTTGACAAATTAGTCCATAAATAAAACTACAACAAGTGTTACTGGATGTTGAGAATTCTTTATTTTCGTTTTATGTTGATCACATTGTAAGGAACTCTACAGACAACCTCTGGTATCCATTCAGGAACCTAGCCGCAGTCTGAGGCATAGTGTGTTGGTTTTTCAATACTGTTTTCTCTTTTTTCTACTCACCAGAGTAAGGTAATAATGAACATTGTAACAAGGAGTTACCTGACAGCATCAACAAAAAGTATTGCTGGGTATTACTGATGTCACCCTTTTATATTTCATTGTGTTCTGAGAAATCTAGAAAGAGGAATATAAAGTTTTGATATTGAAATAATATTGTATTCCAACTGTATTTAGATTAATGAGTGTTTATGAAATATTTTCATTTACAATGCTATCACAAAATACCTTTTTCTCAGCTGTTTATTGTTTTGTCGTTGTTACAGATGGTTACTCAGTCACTTGATCCAAGTCGATGTGAGTCGTGCTATGGAGCAGAAACAGATGAAAGAAAGTATGTTGGATGCATTGACATTAACACCAAGCTAAACTTGTCTGTAAGACATGAATGTTTGGCATATAAGTAGCATTATTTGATGAATTTGATGGAGGTGTCAAATGTAACTTCTGACATAACATCCTAAGATGCAGAACTTGAAGTTCTGATACAAAAGGATAAATATGAACAGACCTGTCAAGAGTTTTTAAAGATATGACATAGTGATGCAGACAAAATTAATGGAAACAAGTTATTCATTAAGTTCAAAAAGAAGGTATCAGCAAAAGTTAAAAAGTTGTATTTCATTTTTCCCATGAAAATGTGTTAGAAACTTGAAATCATTACTGAAGTCAACTCTTGATGGCATGTAGGGCACTGACCATTTTCCCACAATTTTGAATTAGTTAAGACCTTTTTGTAAGGTCCCAAAGCCTAGAACCAAAGCTGTACTTTCAAGTATACTGTTGGGTGGTTATGAATTGGCCTGCCTTTAGCTTTTCCTTGAAAACACTACCCTTGCTGAACATCTGGCAGATTTCAACCACATTTAGTCAGAAACATAAGTGGCCTTTTGAAATCATTTCTTAAATTCAGAAGGTTGATTCAACCCATAGGGAGCTGGGGTTGGGACCCCGCAATGAGAAGTGAGACAATATTTTGCATCAAAATACTACTTTTCTTGAATGTTTGAATGGATTTCATTTAATTTTTGCCAGAAATATCATTAGGGGTGGGGAATTCATTCTTAATATCAGAAAAAAATTATTTGACCATTTAGTGACTTTGGTGTGGGAGTGCCAAGCAAGGAAGATCAGCAATAACGTTCTTTAAAAGGCTACATATTCTTAATTCTTCAGTGGATTTCACCCATACATCATTAGGGATGGGGAATTATTTAGTAAATTCAAAAAGTTGATTTGACTCCTACAGACAGGGCTTCTGAAGGAGAAGTTAAACAATGTTTTGCTTTAAAATTCTATTCTGCCCTAATGTTTGAATGGATTTCATCCAAATTTGGTGTGGAACATCATTAGGGAGTGGTGATGATGTCAGATTTGCTTGAAGTGATCCTGAAATTGTCCTGGCAAAATCTTTTTTTTGATTTGGTCCAATAGCAGACTTAACGTTTTGCTTTGTTCTGTTCATCCGTCCCTCCCTCGATTTTCAGATGACGGTCAAGGGCCATGGCCTTCTTTAACACACAATGTTTGGACAAATTTTAAGATTAGTGTTCTATCATTGTTGAAACTAGGACCACAGCCTAGCATTAAGATGTAGTGCTGGACCTATTCACATATAAGCTCAAGTTGTTATGATTTTTAACAAATTTAGGGTTACATTTGGGATTGAGATAAAATAAGTATTATTCCTTCATGATGCCTGTATTTGTTAGGTGCTGCAATAACTGTGAGGATGTGAGAGAGGCTTACAGGAAAAAAGGCTGGGCATTCAATAATGCTGAAGGAATTGCTCAGTGTAAACGTGAGGGCTGGTCAGACAAGATGAAGTCCCAGAAAAATGAAGGATGTCAGGTAGGGAAAGTCAGAGTATCATGATGGTAGCATATATAAACATATTCAGAATGGGAGATATGGAAAGTCATAGAGGCCATATGATGATAGCATATATAAACATATTCAGAATGGGAGATATGGAAAGTCATAGAGGCCATATGATGATAGCATATATAAACATATTCAGAATGGGAGATATGGAAAGAGATTATGTAAAATCAACAAACACAGATACTTTTAAACACTGGACAAGAAAATCAAGCTACAAAGCTACTTATTTCATAAGAAACATATCATAATTTTAATGTGTCTGTCCCTAACATTTGATAAATATATTCTTAAACAATTGTCTTTAAAAAAACCTATGTAGTTTTTACCAGTCATCTGCTAGATAGATGTATGTGTCAAAAGACAGTTTCCTTATCATGTATTACATTAAAGAAGTGAGTGAATAGCAAAATAATTAATTTTTTTTAAATGTGAGAAAGAGTTTAATTTTCTTGGTGACATAATGTAACTTTAATATTTTAGGTGTATGGGTATCTAGAGGTCAATAAAGTAGCTGGTAATTTCCATTTTGCTCCAGGAAAAAGTTTTCAGCAACATCATGCTCATGGTAAGTTATTTTTGTGGGTATCTACTATCTGCAAGATACCAATCACTGTGTTGGTTTGGTGCAAATCTACTTACTGCAAGATTATGAATTTTCATGAGGGATTTATTTTCATTGATTTTGCAGATACTTTTAATCCACAAGTTCACATGTTGATGAAATGATACAGAAGTATAAGTGTATTTATTGAGCTGTATATTTATGATGTAAATACACAAGAAATGTCAAAATAGTGTTCAATTATAACATGGATGTGATAACTATATATTATAAGTCCTTTTTCCTTGGTGATACCTCAAAACACCCTGTCAACCTTGATAGGTAGAACTGAAACCATTGTTTCCATCTCCTTTCTGTCACATTACCTCCAGTACTTCCAAGATGACTGTAGTTTTAATGTCTCCATATTTTTGACACCATGTTGGAGTATTAAAAACAAAACACATCCATTTCTGAACAATTATATTGGAAAAATAACCAGACCTGCTTGCAGGTCAATAAAAAATACAAGTACCTATGACATGCAGAATGCACTTCAACTGATATATGCGAACTACATATACAACAGTTAATACTTTATTTATGTTGTCCGTATTATTTTTCAGTTCACGACCCTATTCATCTCTGTCTTATTTATTTATCTTGTCCGTACATTTTTCAGTTCACGACCTTATTTATCTCTGTCTTATTCGTCTGTACATTTTTCAGTTCACGACCTTATTCATCTCTGTCTTATTTATTTATCTTGTTCGTACATTTTTCAGTTCACGACCTTATTTATCTCTGTCTTATTTGTCCGTACATTTTTCAGTTCACGACCTTATTTATCTCTGTCTTATTTATTTATCTTGTCTGTACATTTTAAGTTCATGACCTTATTCATCTCGGTCTTATTTGTCTGTACTTTTTTCAGTTCACGACCTTATTTATCTCTGTCTTATTTATTTATCTTGTCCGTACTTTTTTCAGTTCACGACCTTATTTATCTGTCTTATTTGTCCATACTTTTTTCAGTTCACGACCTTTTTTATCCGTCTTATTTGTCTGTACATTTTTCAGTTCACGACCTTATTTATCTCTGTCTTATTCGTCTGTACATTTTTCAATTCACGACCTTATTTATCTCTGTCTTATTTGTCCGTATATGTTTCAGTTCACGACCTTATTTATCTCTGTCTTATTTATTTATCTTGTCTGTACATTTTAAGTTCATGACCTTATTCATCTGTCTTATTTGTCTGTACTTTTTTCAGTTCACGACCTTATTTATCTCTGTCTTATTTATTTATCTTGTCCGTACTTTTTTCAGTTCACGACCTTATTTATCTGTCTCATTTGTCCATACTTTTTTCAGTTCACAACCTTTTTTATCCGTCTTATTTGTCTGTACATTTTTCAGTTCACGACCTTATTCATCTCTGTCTTATTTGTCTGTACATTTTTCAGTTCACGACCTTATTTATCTGTCTTATTTGTCCGTACATTTTTCAGTTCACGACCTTATTTATCTCTGTCTTAATTGTCCGTACATTTTTCAGTTCACGACCTTATTTATCTCGGTCTTATTTTTCTGTACTTTTTTCAGTTCACGACCTTATTTATCTCTGTCTTATTTATCTTGTCCGTACTTTTTTCAGTTCACGACCTTATTTATCTCTGTCTTATTTATTTATCTTGTCCGTACATTTTTCAGTTCACGACCTTATTTATCTCTGTCTTAATTGTCCGTACATTTTTCAGTTCACGACCTTATTTATCTCGGTCTTATTTGTCTGTACTTTTTTCAGTTCACGACCTTATTTATCTCTGTCTTATTTATTTATCTTGTCCGTACTTTTTTCAGTTCACGACCTTATTTATCTGTCTTATTTGTCCGTACATTTTTCAGTTCACGACCTTATTTATCTCTGTCTTATTTGTCCGTACATTTTTCAGTTCACAACCTTATTTATCTCTGCCTTATTTGTCCGTACATTTTTCAATTCACGACCTTATTCTTCTGTCTTATTTATTTATGTTGTCTGTACATTTTAAGTTCACGACCTTATTTATCTCAGTCTTATTTGTCTGTACATTTTTCAGTTCACGACCTTCAAGCATTCGGTGGACAGAAAGTAAGTACATTACCAGCTTGTGGCAGACTTCAGTCAAACCAACAAATGCATTGATATACCTAGTGAAAATATCAAATTTGTGAAATTTGAGCCTTAATGAAATAAGAACCTAAAGTAAACTTTTGAGGAAGCTACCATTATATGAAAACATTTTTTTATCAAGTAAACATTTTGAGCCAAATAATACAATACCTTTGTCATAAAATAGTGTAACACACTTGTAATAATACTGATGTGATGTCATCAATAAACGCTGTCATGCCTTCGTCTTTCATACTATCTAAGTCAGGATTTTCAAGCTTTACTAAATTTGAGATTTTTATATGCCTGTCAAAAGACATATTATGTTATCATATGAGCTGCCTGCATGTGGGTGGGTGGACACACAAAGTGTGAGCTTGATAAATGAGTAATTTTCAACAGGTCAACTTCAAACTTCATTGAGGTTCATGAAGTAATTTTCACAGTGATTTTGGGATCGTTATGCTTGGAGTTATGGCCTTTTATTTACTTAGTTTCCATTTGATATCGAAAGTAGTTTCCAACAAATCAACTTCTACCTTCACAGGAAACTTAATTACTATGATAGCTCAGACTAGTTAAATCCATATAATTTTTTGGACTGTAATTCATGGAGTTATGGCCTCTTGTTCAATTACCGAAGGTACCTGCCCAATTTCGCAAGTAGATTTCAACAGATCAACTTCACACTTTATAGGTAAGTTCACTACCAGATTAACTTGTACACGTTTGATGGCTGCAATTTTCAGACTAAAATTTACAGCCCTTTATTCAATCACACAGTGTACTTTGATATCCTTAGTAGCTTTTAACGGATCAAATTTAATCTTCATGGGAAATGTTCGCTCAGTATTGTTTTCAACGGATCAGCAACAAACATCAGAGGGCGGTTCATTCATTATCATGATAACTCGCGACAAGTTTGATGGCAGCAATTTTTGGACGGAAAATTATGAAAAAATGGTTCTTAAAAACAAAGTTCTCTGAAACTTGTGGGAGTTGGTAGGTTGTATAACCATCAAGAGAAATTGTTTTCCTCTAAGGCATTAAGATTTTACAACTTTGGGAAGAGCTATTAACTGTATTTTTTCAACATCAGTTTGTAACCAATTTCTTTTAAACTTAGTGGTCTGAAAACCACAACTAGAAATTCTGTTCTCCAGGGCAGCATTTTGATTCAGTAATATTTGAAAAAATCATTTCTCTTTTCAGCATGATCATCTTGTCCACTAGATTTTTTCAATTAAAATGTAATGGTAACACTCTTTTCCCTCTTTATTACCATTTTCATACATTACTTTGGCATGGGATGGGTGTATGTTGTTCCGCCCTACAGATCTCTCGGGTAGCCTGTTTTCTTTTAAATAAATTAGGAGTAAGGTGATGAAAAGAATATCACTCTCACGTCTGTGTCATATTGATCTTAGTAAAATGTAGTTTATTGGTTTGGCTTTGTTGTATCTAATTTTAAATTTGATAAAGGAGTTGTTTTAGGTCATTTATCTATTGCCTGTATGTCATCCATTTTGTAGAGCGATTAAAGAATAGGGACAGACTTATATATGAATATTTACCTGTGGGTCTTCTCCAGTTATAAGGTATTCATTTTGTCAGAGATTCTTTTATAAAACAAGACACTTTTTCATTTCAGTTCAACATCACACATTCAATCCAACACCTTTCATTTGGTAAAGATTATCCAGGTATCATCAACCCACTCGATAACACCAACCAAGTAGCAGAGCAAGGTTAGTAGATATATAGACACCATTAGTCACACTTTTCTCTTGATTTAGACAATCTAGGTATAATCAACCCACTGGTAAACACCAGCCAGGTCAGAGGGCTTCACAAACTTTGTACACTCTTCACCCACAGGATGTTTGGGTACCATAGCACTGGATACACTGTATGATTAAAATACATATATTCACACATTTACTTTGGTTAAGGTCATACCCAGTATCTTTAACCCACTGGACAACACCGACCAGCTGGCCGAGCAAGGTTTGTATAATTAAATATCTATAGTCACTGGACAACACCAACCAGCTGGTCAAGCAAGGTTTGTATAATTAAATCTCTGTAGTCGCAGGACAACACCAACCAGCTGGCCGAGCAAGGTTTGTATAATTAAATATCTATAGTCACTGGACAACACCAACCAGCTGGTCGAGCAAGGTTTGTATAATTAAATATCTATAGTCACTGAACAACACCAACCAGCTGGTCGAGCAAGGTTTGTATAATTAAATATCTATAGTCACTGGACAACACCAACCAGCTGGTCGAGCAAGGTTTGTATAATTAAATATCTATAGTCACTGAACAACACCAACCAGCTGGTCGAGCAAGGTTTGTATAATTAAATATCTATAGTCACTGGACAACACCAACCAGCTGGTCGAGCAAGGTTTGTATAATTAAATATCTATAGTCACTGAACAACACCAACCAGCTGGTCGAGCAAGGTTTGTTTAATTAAATAACACCAACCAGCTGGTCAAGCAAGGTTTGTATAATCAAAGTTTCAGTAAATGTCTATCAGTTTTGGCATTTATCAGTGTATTGGCTATATATTAGGACATTATGAGTTTTGTTTAGAAGATCAATGAATGCACATGCACTTATTTATATAAATGTAGGAAATTTGAATAAATTCAGAGTTAAGAATTTAAAGAAAATATTGAATCTGAGCAAGTTCACTGGATTACTACTACCCGTACATTGAATTTGCTGTTAATCTACATGTACATGATTGATATACATAGAATGTCATGAATATAAATACTAAACAATATCTATGATATGAGTGTTGAAGGAAGGGGAGGTGGACTTATCAAAGAACCTATGGGTGGGTTATTTATAGCTTTTCTCAAGTAAATTAGACAGCTATTCAATACTTAGACACTTAAAACAAACCATATCTACTGCTTTGATTTTTTTATTCACAAATGTTGCTCCCACTTGCTGTCAGTGGAATATAATTTGTAACACAAAATACTTCTATGTATATGTAATTACATACACGTACATGGGAACTCATGTTAAACAAGAGTCCGATGATTCTGAAACCCGTTATATAATTAGTCTAAGAAACTGAAAATATAATGAAAGGCAACTGTAACCAAATGTGTGAGATTAGGAGGTTTTAATTGAACTGTAGGACAAATAATGATAAAGAAGACTTAGTCAAAGAAGGATCATAAATTTTTCCACGTCTTGTGAAAATCAATACCTTGCAGTACAGGAAGTTTAAATTGAATTGTAGGACTAACAATGATTAAGAAGAATTAAACAAAGTAACGCCATGATATTTTTCACATCTTGTGAAAATCCATACCTTGTGGTACAGAATGAAACAAATGTTTTCCAATTTCAGTGCCAATATTGATACTGAAACTTATCTAAATAATACCACTAAATATACATTGACATTCAATGCTTCATTTGTATCAGTGTGCTCTCAGGTGATCCAAATGTAACACATTTCTGCACTCCAGAGATCAGCATTTAATTTTGTTGATACTGCCACTTCAGTTCTCAGCAAGGTGACAGCCCTTGTGATGCCATGATCCTGGTGTGAACATATATTTAATATATTTGTTGTACATTGGATTTAAAGTCCTGGGGATTCATCTCGACTTCTCTTGTAGTAGAGTTCAATTATACAATGAATCACAAAATTTCATTAAATGCCCTAATAGTTGATTGGCTAGCAGCGTATTGCCGTGCCAACAGTCATAAATGTTCCAAACGTCCCACCCCCTTGTAGCATTGTCTTTCCGACTGTTTGAACCAGCTCTCGTCCTCTTAAGCCATATCTGTAACATAAAACATATAAGGTTAAAAATGTCTTGGATCACAAACTAAGCCATGAAAGCCAAGTTCTAGTTTCTGATAATTGATAAAAAAAACATCCTTTTTCCTCTCAAATCTTGCAGTGTCCATATGAGTATCAAAGTAAATCTTTATAAATCGTATGCCTGTCCTTATGTAGGTAGAAGGTATCGGTAACTGACCTCTTAATCTCATGAATCTCTCCACCATTTCTTATGAAATTTAGGAGGACAGTACCAGTAGGTAGTTGGAGAATAACGATTTTTTTTTTTATCTTCATAATATACCAGGTAGATATGTCCCCTTTTATTGATATGTACTTGTCAATATGTATATATGTATGTGTGGAATAAACTAGGTTCATGAAGATATTAACTCAATTATCATACAAGTGAGACATTCTTTATTTCCTCTTATTACAAGAGATGAAAGTCAGACTATACATATGTGTGTGTGTGTGTGTGTGTGTGTGTGTGTGTGTGTGTGTGTGTGTGTGTGTGGAGGTGTGTGTGTGTGTGTGTGTGTGTGTGTGTGTGTTTTACAATTTCAGTTTACACAAAGGTATCATTCATGAATAAAAAAGACAATGTGCCCATACCACTCGTCATTCGTTTTAGGTTTACTACCCCTGCCATTAAACATCAAAGTCTCACATTTAAACTCCTCCCATTGCAAATTTGATTGATCGCATAATAAAAAATCACACCATTCTTTGTTATTGTGTCGTCTGCAGAGCTGGCGGATACTTTGTCTGTCCAAATGAAATTTGGTAGACAGCTTCTTGTTGGAAGGGTACAGATTAAGTTCGATTTCCAGCTGTCTGTGACTCTTCTTGGCAGAGTTATGCCCCTTTTGAACTTAGGAAATTCTCTGGGAATATTGTTTTCCGGACGTTTTTGGTTTATCCTTTGAGTTATTGAAATGAATTTTGGTATATGGCTTCTTGTTGGAAGGGTACAGATTAAATTTGATTTCCGGCTGTCTGTGACTCTTCTTGGCAGAGTTATGCCCCTTTTGAACTTAGGAAATTCTCTGGGAATATTGTTTTCTGGACTTTCTTTGAGTTATATAAATGAAATTTGGTATTACAACTTTATGGTTGAACGTTGCACATCCAGTTCAAGTTCTGGGTGACTGACACTTTATGCAGGCGACACATACAGTTCCAAGGAACTCTTGTTTAGTACCTAAAAAACATATGGGAGGGACCCTATATTGCATTTACCACACCATCTTTATATCAGGAGATCCGAGCTTGTTTTTCTTGAATTAGAGCTTACTATAAATATAATTTTGACACAGTTATCATCCAAAGTCTTAACCCTCCATCATTGCTAAATTTACCATCCACAGCATAAACTTGCATTAATTGCTAAACTTTAACATCCATAAAGATATATTTCTGTGCTGTACCATCCATAGTTTCAAGTTATTTAATAGTATTACTTTAATTTCTTGATACGTTTGTTGGTAATCTGACACAATTTCTTACCTTAAAGCTGAGAATCCCCCAAATATGATTCCTGATGCCATTCCAACACTGAAGCCCATCAGAAAACCAATCTTCATTTTGTCAAAACAAGATGGACCACTTTGGCCATACCCTATGTTTCCAACCGGCATTTCTAAACAAATATAAACAATAATTATTTATATCATTTTTATATGATATATATCTTTTTCTTGTGACGCTTAATTTTTACATTTTACCTAAAATAGTCCATTTTCACGTCAAGGTACACCTACAACTTTTTCAAAATGTGTGACATGGTCTCCTATAGAGGTGAAACGATTCACCGCGGTTCACTGAAAACCTCGGTTTTTTGTTGTTGTTCAGTGTTTTCGGTACGATTGTGTCATTTCAGTTTCGGTTCAGTTTTTAGTATGACTCCAAAATCCGGTGTATAGTGTTACCGCTGGCGCTTGCAAATGGCGACATGGATACACATGTCGGGCGGATCTAGTGTGGCTAGTGAGCGCGTTTTTAGTACGGCAGGTGATGTAGTGACAGCCCAAAGGGCTTGCCTATCTAGTGATCAGGTGGATATGTTGATATTCATGAAAAAGAATATCAAAATTGCTGATGATTTGGTACTTTAATCAGAATCTTGAATTGGAATTTAGGCAGTAGGCAGTAGACATTGGTACATAAAATTTTATTCAGTTTACTTATCTGACAGGTGTCAGTTTGGCAGCAGAAATTAGGCTGTGATTATCTAGTGGTTGTGAATGTGTGAAAAACTCATGTTGACTCAATCTTGTTCATTGTTATAATCTGCAGTATGAAGGTTGTGATCACTAATAATATCCATTCCAGAGCAGGCTATTACTGATTGAGCTATAGTGGTTTAATTTTCTAGTCATGATTTATGAATATTAGTTCTTAAATACTCTTAAATACTTAAATATCCTAGTCCCAAATGACATTTTGCAACTGTTGACACTTATTTAAGTGATATTATAAGATGACTATATTAAAAATAAAAAAACATGTTTGTTACTGCTTAGTATTCAGAGTTGATTGATAATAAAACAAATTCAATTCATCTATTGCTTGCTTTTTTGTATCTAATGATTCAGAAGTAAAATGAAAGATGAAAAAAATGTACCATTATATACCATACCTATGTTAGACAAATCTTTCAAGGTGTTCACATGTCATAATAACTAAACCGAAAAAACCAAAACCGAACTGAAAGGATTGTGTATCGTTGCAGCCCTGGTCTCCTACAGTAAATGATCATCAAATGATTCATGAAGAGTTGCAAGTCACAGTCAAAAAGATAAAAGTTGACAAGTCATAAAGTTGATGCCTTTTTAATTGGAAGAGTAATTAAAATCCTTTGCTCCTAATGGGATTTGAAGTACCATAGTGTCCCTGTCTGCTAATGCTTTACTAAACAGCTAAAAGGAAACTACTACTAACCAAGGCCAGTAAGGTGATTTCTACTATTTAGAATATTAACTGACAATGGCCATTGAAACAAGATGTCACTGTCCTTAATATCCTCTGCTCAAAGTACTACAATTTGCAGTTTTCTGACATCGCACATATTTCAATATCCGGTAGTGATTTGGAAGTACAATACTATAGTTACATGAACTCGGACAAGTTTCAAAGATATGCGTAAGACTGAGCCATTCTTCTTAAACCAATTTTGAAATAAGATACAGCATGGACGACATGTAATTTTACAACATGCATTATATAGAACAAGCATTTGTGTACGGCCGAGGAGATCCGTCAAAATAGGAGACCACACTAAAAATATTTCAAGCTTTTGAGTTCAGATACTTTCTTAATACAATGTTATATTCACGAATGATTTTCATTATCTTAAAATGAAATGACAAATACAGCTGCACCAACATGGTTGATTTCGTCAGCATTATATAAAGATATTTACTGTGTAAAATTCACGACCTTGCCGTGAAGCATGGTTGAACTTGATGGCCATCCCCATCGCAACGTGATATCAGAATGAATGCACAGCTGGATTTCCTAGTTCATACTTGAGTGTTTATTTAATTAAACAACAGGGAGTATCATGCCAATGTTATATGCTATTGTTTAGTATCAGTCCATTTCATATTACCTGCACAACTGAAAATAAGTCCACCACTGGCAGCAAGTCAAGACCGGAAGTAACTTTTCACTACCGATTACTTCCGGTTGATAATTGCCACGTAAGAACCGTGAATGAATGAATCAATTGAAGACACAGAAATGTCACCGTATTATTGTATATGCCAAAAACGACCACAATGTTGCACGATGAAAGAATTTCCAATAAAGGTACAGGATATGGTGTTCCATCATTATATCAAATTTATTTGTGCATTTTGTGGCATGGCTAAGTGGTCTAGGGGTATGATTCGCGCTTCGGGTGCGCGAGGTCCCGGGTTCGAATCCCGGCTTAGCCCAATTTTTGTCATTTTATTTTTTATTGTTATTTAATATTTGTTTATTTGATTTTTATTTCTGTTTTTCAGAACAAATGATGTATCAATACTTTGTAAAAGTAGTTCCAACTACTTATGTTAAAGCCACTGGCAAGGTAAGAAAATATCTTAACTGATATTGCACTGATGAATATACAATGTATGTGTTTCAACAAAGATATCAGAATACAACAGGCCAGAATCTTGCATTTTGTGTTAAAGTCAGTACAGTTTAATGGATATTCATAATGTGATATCGGCAGACACTAAAATTTCAACTTTTTATATGTGTATCTCAGCAGCGCATCACAGTTTATTTTAGAATTATAAAATGTAGTCAAAAACTTTCACATCTTGAATAAAACTTGCTTTTATTAAATATTTCGCCTTTTTTTAGACACTATATACCAACCAGTATTCTGTGACAAAACATTCCAAAGTGGTGGGAGCTAGCACAGGCGAATCGGGTCTTCCCGGTGTATTTGTGATGTACGAATTATCTCCAATGATGGTAAAATATACAGAAAAACATCGGTAAGTAAAATATACAAGTACACATGTATAGGACTGTTCATGGTAGAGGAAGTTCTTGTGTTGTCCAGAATTAAACTGGTCCATTATGGTCAGTACTTGGATGAATGATTACAATATTTACTCCAGTTCCCCTTCTCCCATCAGTCCAGTGCATTATAAACATAGGTACCGGTAAATACTAAACTTTTTTATACAACAATTGTGAAACACATTATCACTTTATTTGAATGACTTTTGTTGGCCCAAGATGAAGCATATGAGAGGTCATACAATGGGATGAAACCAGAGTACCAAGAGGAAACTAACACGGTTGGGTAGACTTGTAGGTATACACTATACCTCTCCATCTCAGTTCTGGGACTCAAACCGCAGATGACAAGGTTGAAAAAAAAAGTGTTACCACTGTGCCACACAACCATCCATATAGCGTTAAGTTATAAAGTATGTCCTTACTTGTATGGAGAACATACAGGTTCACAAATTTCTCAAAGAGAGTGATAGCAATGGAAGAGTATTACAGGTAAAAAAATAAATCACAATTTGGCTTGAATACTGTACTTGTTTGACTTGAACAATTGTCAAATGGGCGAGACCACAAACCATCCTTGTGAAAACCAATGAGAAAAGCCATGGTTTCTTCAGCTCTTTATTGTTCAGAGTATTTTTATATGTGTTTTCATCAACTTTTTATTGCCTGACCAGGAAATAGTGAGGCATCATAGTGTTGCATTTGTCGGTCATTTTGTCGTAATTGTTTTCTCCTCTTTATGGATACAAATATAGAATTGACAATATTGACATGTAACACTGTAATAATTCTTTTATTTGGTTATGGTCAGGTTGATTTTTGTGGAGTTATGGCCATTAAATCTTAAAAAATCTAATACAAAATTTTCACAAAAACAAAAGACCAATATTAGAGGCTACCGTATCTTCTGTTAGAATTTTTTTTTCAAATCTTTTTAACTAATGAACATACCTCTTCAACAAATCCAGTAACTAAAAAGTTCACCATGATTGCCAGTGGGAGCATTCATACCACTAAACACACGTCTAGTTTTCTCATTGTGTTTATATATCTGAAGAGCATATATACAACAGGACTTAACTTAGAGGTCCTGAATCTGTTCTCAACCAGTGGTTCTCTCGCTGCAACAGGCACCTTATAAAATTGCCACAATAACATCAGATAATACATCGATCAACCAGCTGCCTCTAACCAAGATGTCACAGGAATAGGAGCACAGCAGCAGATCCCTAAAGGGTCACTGAAATATTATCAGTTACTCCTAAGAAACCATCAGATGTTTATGAAAGATTTGAATTATCTGTCTGTGATGAGGATCAGAATCCATAACCAAGAGGGGACTTATATCACAAGCTACCTCAATAAGGGGGCTGAGGGGTAGGAAAAATACAGATCATTGAGTTCCTTCCAAATGTTCACCTTCGTAGGAGTCTGTTGTTTGTTTGTCTCTAGTAATTACCAGCCTTTGAGTAAGAACAGAAAGTATCTAGGGATTACCATGGTACTTAGAAGTATAAGGCCCATTAGCTGTTAAGATAAAGAAAGCTTTTGACTCAGAACTCTGGTTTTGTGTGGATGTAACTTTTGACTGGATAAACATATGTTAAATGTGATGCATTTTTTTGTTTTCAGCAATATTGACTTAGTGTTTTCACTCTATGCAGAATCCAACATATAATGTTTTCATTTCCTCTGGCTTCAGGCAACAGTTTGTTTACTAGGGTTGTCCATCAGCCCAAAGGAACTCTTTAGCTTTCATACTCTTCCTTGTATATATAAACAATAGCAGTGTATTCTTCTTCACTTAAAGAGCCAGATCAATGCCTCGACCGATATTATTTTATATTAAAAAAAATTCATGATTTTCTATTTTTCTCAGGTAGCAAAAGTTCTGACTAACCCTGTAATACCACAATTTTAAAGTAAAACACTACCAATCTAGCATAAAAGATATTTTTTAAAAAGAATTTGAAATGACTCAGTACTAATTCATAATTATGCGGGAAGTCCTGCCCTCTGACACATGCGCAAAGAACTGTAAATAAATCTGCCGTCTTCCAACATGGCAGAAAGCGTGCGAGGGAAGCGGGGAAGAAATGTGTTTTGACGGACTCTGAGGCGAAAAGAAGGAAGATAGCTGTTCATACTCTGTGTTGCTCTCTGTTTGGCTTTCTTGTGTAGTATCACTCTAAAATCATATTCACAAATACTCTTATCATGGAATATTCTCTTTAGATCCATTTCGCGATGTTCTATATGTTCATTATTGTATCATAGCCCCCATTTGAGGGCCTCTTTGCAATTAATTGTAGTTTTTCTCGTAATCTGCACGTTTTTGTGTCATATCTAAGCATTGAAAGATGTGATCAATACATACGTTAGATGATTTCCATGCAGGATATGTAGAGTATTGATATCATTTATCAGTAAAATGTCTAAAAGCGATGTCTCATGGACGTACTACTCACCTCTTCCTGAATGTATCACATGACTTTTCCTCATTAATATTCATATCCTGGTGTTGATAAATGAGACTAATTCCGATATCTCCGGTACCCTTTCAATTTCAAGTTCGAAACTTAATGCAAGTCTTTATTTATATCTTATTATTAGTATCCAATATTTCCAGTCAATAAGATATGAAACAATATCTATTATGAAGTGGGTCTGGCTCTTTAACATATCCCTTTGTCAAACTTTTCTTTCTTCATGTACTGAATATGATGTTTATGCTGTTTCAGATCATTCATGCACTTTTTGACCGGAGTTTGTGCCATTGTTGGAGGCGTGTTTACTGGTAGGTTTATTTAGAACGTCTCTTTGACATCACTTAAACAGAGATAAAGGATGTATTTATAATCTATTATGTGAGAAATGAAAAACCATATTTATGTACTAACAAACCCATCCACATTCATACCAAATAACAAGAAGAGGAGCATTTGTGTTTCTTAGGAAGCTAAGAAATGGACTGTTTTGTGTTACCAGAATATTGTATTCTTCGACAAGGCACTGTAACTTAATTGTTATCTCTCTCTCTCAAGAAAAGTAGAAGCTAATATGGAGTATATCTTCCTTTTTGCTTGTTCAGTAATTCTCTTATTTCATTTGTGCATTTATTTGCTCTGCCTATTGGAAGGAAGAGAAATGAAGGAAAAAAGATTTGATAAATAAAGTATTAATAAATAAAAACAAACAACAGTGGTCGCTAAGGTTACACAAGGATATATTGTCAGATATGTGAACAGATGCTGTAGTATTCACCTGTAATAAACAATCTCTCTTTTTGAACCATGGGCTTTGTGTTAGACACTTAGTGTTTTTGCAGGATAGATATCATATTCTTTGAATAATTGCTTGAGATATGAGGTATTAAGGTTACAAGGTACTATTTATGTGTAATGTTTTACATTTTCCAAGTGACATTTCAAAATATTTCTTTTCCTTTTTATTTCAGTTGCTGGTCTTATTGATTCAATGGTGTACCACTCAGCAAGAGCTATTCAGAAAAAAATTGATTTGGGAAAAGCCACATGATAGTGAAGTTATTGTGATTTGTTTTTGTAAATGTTGAGGGGGAAATGTGGTGTGAAAAAATGAGTGTAAAGTAAAATTGATAGGAATTGTTCACAACTCAGTAAAGTAAATTGTTCTCAACTGAATAAACTATTCATGATTAATTTTCACAACTTAGTAAAGTATTCATGATAAAGTATGTATTATTGAAAGAATCCTCTTAATTGTAAGACTATCTTATATATGAAAATACCCTTTTTTGTTTGAATTGGAGAAAATATCTTTCCACACAATGCTTAATAATCTGAGAAAAGAAATCTGTTTGTCAAATGCAGTAACAACCCAATGGAGTAACGAGAAGGTTTTATTTTTTGTCAGCTGGCTTTTATACAATGATAGAATTTTTATGATATTCACAAGATGGTACTTAAGATCCACATGACAGGTAGTTTTGACTTCATACAACTTATGATGTATGTTTTGTAGGATTCATATAAACATTCTGTTGTCTTGTTATGTAAAACCAACTTCATATAATAACCTTCAATGCGACAATTTGCATTTTTTATTATTTTGGATGTTATTTGTATAATGAACATTGTATGAATTTTGTATATTGTAAGTATGATGCAGCATGTTTTGTGTATTTGAAGAGGAAGGCTGTAGTTTATTCAAAACGTGAACATGGGTTTGAATGACTTGTTTGTTTTTATATTAATATAATAGAAAGTATGTATAGATATACTGTGAATGTTGCCTGTGAATTTTGTATTTGCAGTAATATCAGATAGGAGTTTATATAGAGTTTTTACCGTAGCTATAAATTTTATGGGTAAGATTAGATAATATTGGACAATGTAACCTAATCAATTGTCCTATATGAAATAATCAGTTAATTTGTTTTGAGTCGTAAAAGGCAATTTTGTTTAAATGTTGAAATGTTTACTTTTTAGTCTGAAAAATTATTTATATTTCTTTGACAATTTGTCATCAACATACACTTAAAGTGTATTGAATATGGTTTCCATTACTGTTAAGTTATTCACTATAACTCATTTTATGGTTTTGTGCTTAATCATATCCCTGACTGATACAAGACATGTGATAGTCATTCCTTTTCTAAAAATATTATATGTTTCACATGCAGTGAAAACTGAGGGTGTAAAGCAAACATTTTACAGAAAAACATTGAGCAAATTTATCACCTAGGTGCATTCAGAGACCTGTGGTATTGCTTTGTAAAAGAAATTTGAAATCTTTCATAGCAAACAAAAGTATTGGTCTTGAGAGTCTCGGCACTTGACTTGGGTTTCACAGTGTAACATATATGTTTATGTACTTTAAGTAAATAATTTCATTAAAATTTCATTAAAATTGAAGAGACTGATGGAATAGAAAAACAAGGTATGACATAATAATTGAGCGCTGATTTTCTAATACATGATTACATGAGTGTTGCCGTTCACCTCAAAAACCTTTAAAAAACAAAATAAACTTTCGATAGGTTACTATAGAGGCTTTAAAGCACTTTTTTTTATTGCATATACTTGCTTTGTGGGTAGGTGCATTTTGATTCTTCATCACAATTTTGAAATCCATATTTATTGAAGAAGCTTAGAGCCTCAGACTTAAACACATCAGATTTTATTACAAGAAGAAACAGATTTTCACAATTTTTGCTTAAACTTTAATATTTGTATTATGTTATTACAAGGTCCTGGTATAATTTTCAATATGTATTATTTTATCAAACCTAAATCATTGTAAACACTTGACATCTTTACTTTGGCAATGATTTTCAGAGACACAAATTTTCAATGCTTTCATGCTGTTTAATACAAATTATTATTTATATAATTTTCAGCTGAATTTGTTTTAATGTATTATTTTCTTGTCAGAATTTTAAAATGATTATTTGAAGTTTGTTGGTTGAAAAGGACACACCATTTATTTGTTGCTCAATGATATAATGCATCTTAAGTTTAATTTGAAAATAAATGATTGAAACACATATTCAAAACAAATTCTTGACTTTTATTACTGCTGAGCATTCAACTGAAATATATTGTTCTGGGATACCTATAATCATTAACTTGTAAGATGATTAAATAATATCTTTATTGTCACTGAATGTTATGTTGTTTGTTATTTTTAATTGATAAATATTATTTTTTGGCTTACCTGATCTGAAGAGTATAGTGAGCTTACAACATACCGCACTGTCTGTTGTCTGTCAACTTTTTCCTGAAAATCGCTACTTGTCAAAAAGGACTTTAATGGTTTTGGCCAAATTGGTCTGCAGCATTCATAAGTGAAGTGGAATCAATTTTGTATCAGCCTTGGGTCTCCAGTGGGTGGGAGGGGTGGGGGAGGTGCTAGGGCCAGAAGTGTGGAGCCCAATAATGGTCAAAAATATGGAACAAAAACGAATTAACACTCCTTATAGGTCAGCCATTACCATAGAGACTTTAAAGCATGTCTTCCCTTTTTGTTAAATATCACTGTGTTGTGGGTAGGTACATTTTAATTCTTCATCACAATTTTGAAATCCATATTTATTGAAGAAGCTTAGAGCCTCAGACTTAAACACATCAGATTTTATTACAAGAAGAAACAGATTTTCAAAATTTTTGCTTAAGCTTTAATATTTGTATTATGTTATTACAAGGTCCTGGTATAATTTTCAATATGTATTATTTTATCAAACCTAAATCATTGTAAACACTTGACATCTTTGCTTTGGCAATGATTTTAAGAGACACAAATTTTCAATGCATTCTTGCTGTTTAATACAAATTATTATTTATATAATTTTCAGCAGAGTTTGTTATAGTATATTTTTTCTTTTTTGATTTTAAAAGTTTGATGGCTGGAAGGCCATATCATTTATTTGTTTCTCAATTATGTAATGTATCTTAATTTTATTTTGAAAATGCACTGTTGAAACAAAAAGAGCAAATGAGTAAATTCTTTAAATGCTACTACTCCTGTAGTAACGACTGAATTTTGCCCAGTTAGGTCTGTATATTCTTAGGTGGAGGGGAATCAATTTTGTATAAATGGTGGGTCTCCCTCGAGGACACCCAATGGGGATATGAGGCAAATTCTTTAAAATCATACTTCTGCTGTAGGAGTGATATGATTTTGCCCAAATATGATCTGAATATTTTTTGGAGAAGAAGAATCTGTTATAAATCATGGGGCTCACCCCTTTTGGTCGGGCCACAACAGAGCAAATTCTTTAAAATCCTATTCCTCATGTAGGAATGATTGGATTATGACCAAATTTTGCCTGAAACATTCTTCGATGAAGATGAATGAATTTTACCAGGTGATCAATACAGGTCATGTGGGCCTCTTGTTAAAATGAAAATTGTGTTAACAAAGTGGTATTTTTCAGAATACATGAACGTGGTTTATATGTACTGTATCTTTATGTTTGCACAAATAATATCACAGATGTGTAAACATGAAAGAAGTCAGTTACTACTTGCAGACATTTGTGTAAGCATATCTAATGACAAATAAAATATGTGGATTATTGTGGTTGTTTTTTTTGTTTTTAACATTATGCTTACTCGTATTGCTGATACCAGAATAGATAGGGTACCATGCATATCACCATGTAATTTTAACAAAAGGTCCAAGGGGTGGATTTCGCTCACCTGGTTTGTCTGGTGATGATTGCCTGATACAATCAGAATGAGAAGGATTTTAGATATTTTCCTCACGGGAATCAGACCTGTTACAAAATCCCTCAATCCAATAATGATAGAAAAACAAAAACAAAAAAAACAAAGGTAAAAATGAGCCTTTCGTCAGAAGACAGACTTTCCTGTTTTTTCCCCCTTTTTCACCTACTTGACCCCACCATTCTGGTCAAGGATTATCTGACTCTTCATTTACACGCAACACCGAGTTTCTTTTAACCACCAGGTAAGTTTTATCAAAATCCTGTCATTTCCAAAGAAGGAGTGATTTGAACAAGTGCTATGTATCCTCTTTATTAGCCCCGGTTCTCAAGTTATCTGCTCGTTAGTAAAAAGTATAATTTTCTGTTTCTGTTATTCTGTACATTTTGGCCAATAAACCTTGTGTCCCTGTGTGGTCAGATATTGCCTTCGTCTAGATGTACTCAGGTTAGTTGTGGAACAGTGATTACGGACGTTAACATTAAAATCAGTATTATTATTCAAGTAATTGTTATTTCTTCCACTTCCTTCCGCCGTTTAGGTTTCCGACAAATTTCTCTAAACATCATGAATAGAATTCAAAGGAACTTTAAATTATTCTTCGTGTATGCGAGGCGGTGTGCAAGAGCTTTTACGTTTTGACCGGTCAACTGCGGCACCTGAATGGTCAAAAGTTCAAAAGCCAATTTTATAGGTATCGTTCAATGTCCTTGAACATCGATGCATTGCTGTGATTTCACAACTGATATACAATGGTGACATCCATTTTCTAATTGGACAAGATAATCGCCATGTACGTGTCCAATTTGCAGCACTATGTACAGTCTGACCTTAGGAATATAATGATAGGGTCAATTCTCGGATTTAGCAAACTGGCTGTCAAGGAGAGCTTTTCATTGGTCGATTTTTTTCTAGGTGTTGTGTGACACGAAAAATACAAATACAAAAAGTATGTTTCTTTTCTCGCAGAATAAGATGGTTCCACCTACTAAGATAATTAATGTGATGAAATTAAAATGTTGTTCAATATCTATCACATTTCTCATCAATCCTAATTTAACAGCAAGTGTGTCTTGGGGACATATGTAACAGTTCCCGGTACAGTTAGTACTTGTATCTCAACTTGTAATGAGACATAATGTATTAGTGTTGGTTCCGTGGACTCCACTAATATTATCTTGCTCGGTCCATAATTGGTAAATGGCCAGAGACTGGACATGAAACAAATAACTTCCCCCGACGCCGCGTGATGAATTCAGGTCAATATGACATTTACCAAGTCAACAGTGCAAACTATTTAATACATTTCTGTACGACCTTTGAAATGCTTGAGAAATCCAGGTGAAACTCGTTGAAAGATACCTGCATAATTCCTAGCTCAGTGCACTGAAATTAGGATATGGAACCATCAACTACAATGTCATTTAATCTGTCCATAGGGTTTAAACTGTAATTCGTAAACTGTAAGACGTAAAGAAGTACCTTCCATCACCATGGCTTAGTTTAATGTCGTTTAATGTTTTGTCAGAACTCAACTTATAATCCATGAAATATATGGATATAACATGAAAGTCACCTAATAATATGTCAGTGTGGTTGATCAGTAGTCATGTCAGATTTTAAATAAAACAACATTGGCTTATATCGTCACTTTCTGAAGTAAAGATGATCAGTACCCATGACAAAACACGAATAATAGACATGGTTAAGATATGTTAATAAATAAAGCAATACAGATTACTCATTGCAAAAACGATTTATAAAAGGATTGATTTGAAACGAAATACAGAATAAATCATTTTTTGATCAAGGAGTTCCACGAAGATTGATCACATTTCCGACGTACTTGCAACGTCCTGATCCATCGATGTCTATAACGACCCCATTGAAACAGTCAACTTTCATAATATCACATCCGTCTCCGACGTTCATCACTCCAGCATGCATTCCGTATCTGTGAAATATTAATTATGTTCGCATAATTTTATCATCGTCTGATGTCAAACGTTGTTCACTTCTTCATCTACACAATGTAAATTGAAATTACTTTGAATGATTGAAAACGCTGTTATACTGACTGTTGGTGAAGCTTTCAGAGATACACAGACAACGAAAGACTTCTTACAAAGTTGTAACACAGTTATTTGTAACAGGTGGTGGGTGAAAGTCTGAAACAGTGGCTTTTCCGAAACTGCTTGTCAAGCTGGTGCGAGAGCTGTTTAGTTCTCACCGAAGCTTGGACTTTTGACTGTGGGTAGCTAGCTATAGGGTTAGGTTAGAACCCGAGCTAGGAACACGGGCAAGGGTTGACTTAGTTGGTAGGACAACCTAGTGCTTAGTCAGGACCGACTAAGTGGTATTGCTCGGCGACTAGTTCAGTAGTTGGAACTAGGGTTAGGTGAAGTCACTGGGTGTCGAGCTTGCACTCACGCTCACATGCTAGTCAGAACAGTCTGTGTCGGGACAGCAGTCCATGTGAACACTAGTTCGTTCGTTAGTTTTATTGTTAATTCAGGTAGAGTTTGCTGTTCCACGCTATATGTATATATCGGCATTTGTTAGCTAGTGTCTCTGCAAGGAATCAGAGACTTACCCACCGTGTGCAAAGCTAGGCTGCACGTTACAAATGCATGTATTCTCTTTCAACACAGACTAGTCCTTCTCTTAACTTCATGAGAAACAAGGAAATGGAGTGTCGAACCACAGATCTCGCACCAGAGGACTTGAAGGTCAACGATCTCGCACGAACTTATTGTCTTTCAATACTACATTTTTCAACATTTTTTCAGGTTAACAGTGTCCTACAAAGAACTCGTTTTACACTTCTGATAAATATTTTATACTTAATACTCTAATGTTTAATGCAATATTTTGGAATACTTTTTTTTTCATTTCTGATCAATACTTTTCGCTTCTTCTATTTGAACATGATATGACTAACTCTCACCCGCAGCATTCGTACTGTCCGAATTGTGAACATTCACATTCCTCACAATTGCCTGTGTCCCATGTTTCCCCTTCATCGTAGGTCTTGCCTGTAGGCTCAAAGACGCAAAACTGACCAGCTTGAGAGTCTGGAACAAAGCAATACATGTCAAAATACTCGAAATCGTATCCTTCAAATTGATATGAATTTGTCACACATTAACTGTCACAAGATGACACCCTTCTATATATAATCGTAACATGAAACGTATTTATTGCCACTTTTATTTCTCCTAATGACAATAAACAACTCGAACATGCCATCATCATTATAATAATCCCAACTAAGAAAATAAATATGATCCACAGTGAGGTTTCACTGTACAGAATGATAAGACCAGGTGTAAACATCTTTTGTTTCATCTACAACACCCACCATGTCAATATGGTCAATTCAAGTTAATAATGTTATGATCTCAAATGATGTAAACAACAGTGGAACCATAAGGCAAATTAATGAGCGTCAAACACTTCATGCTTCAAATCGTACAGAGACATAGATCACCAAAACAGATCACGATATACGATCGACCGATATTCATTGTTTCTCGGGTTTGAAGCGATTAGATATTCCAATGAAATAGAAAATAAGAGATTGTATCAAAAGAGGAAACCAATTAAACAAAGCAATTCTAATTGATATACACTCAAATTTACCACCAGGTAGTTGCTGAGCTTGCCCGCCATAGAAACAGTAGGCTGCAATCTGACTGGCTGACAACAGGATGACGGTAACAAACAGGATAATACCTTTCATGGTCGACAATGATTGATCAATGCTGGAATCTGAATTAGAATAAAAGATTTAAATCAATAATAAATATTCTGTATTATGGAAATTAATCTCTATTTGAAAAGGCAATAACCATTATTTAACAGAAAATTAAGTTTTAGATGAAATCCAGTCGGATGTAGTTTTATGTTGTTTACAGTGAGCTAGGTCTGGGTTAATATCATTTCCAGAGATAGTGTTTCCAGGCTGTCATCTTCAGTTATTGTATAACATTTGAAATTTAAAACAAAAACATCGAAGTTTCAGATAACAAGCTTATTTAGAGACTGTATCTTTGCTTGAATGAATCCATCATATATCCTATCGTGGATTACCTATGTCAATGGCAGATATTTGTATTGTGTTACTTTACTGCTTTTCGAATGTTCATATTTTACGTTATTGATCTTACGTTAACCATAGCGTATCCATAACGTTTTCAACTAAAATTGCATTATATTAATGTATGAAAAGAACAAAACAATACCAAAATTTCAGCATAATCATAATCCCAAATAAAAATCGCCTTGTGCAAAATATGAATGAAGAAAGATTTACACGAGGACTCCTGAACACGTACTAGGGGAATAAGAACAACACACGCCATGCAAACCTTTGTCAGTTAAAGTAAGTAATGTCACCTTTTCAAATGAGAATAATGTATACAACAGCAGATCCAACAGGCAAATTAACGAGTATCAAACAGTTTTGATGTTGTTGTATTTTTTTCAAATTACCAGATGCTTATAAAAATAGTGTTTAAGTGCAGATGAAAATAATAAATTCGTTTAAACGAATTTGGATTACAATGTATGTGGACAAGATTGAATAGCAAATTTATAATCGGACAGATTTGAGTCAAGTAAGGATGTTACACACCTGTCTTATCCATCTAAGTCTCATCAGTGATGCTAAGGGTGTAGGCTTTGAAAGAACAGTTTCAAACAATAACGTGGATGCACACAACGTTATATTAATACAGGTGCATATGATTGATTGTTCTATTTATGAATGCAATAATTAAGAGCATGGTACAGTGCTGGATAAAACGTTTATGAATATCATTTATACTATATGAGAGCAAAACTGTAATTGCTATGAGAGCAAAACTGATAGACTACTTACCAGTGATGTGGGCGTTCTGAAGGCCTAGAGGTGTATAGCAGTGACGTGCTCTGCTCCTATCCCCTTTTATATATCACCAGGATACATGGAATTACATTAATTGATTTAAGTTGATAACAAGTGGGAACCTTTCATATAATGAAAATAATTTTATAAATCAACTCTTAACGACATTTGAGGGTTGGTGAGCATATCATATATTATTTATGAATAATCGTTTATATCCTGGTAGGGTTCCATTAGGGGTAATCCACGCATTTGAGACAGTATATTTATCACAGAAACAAAATGGATTTCACAAGAAATGACATGTTTTCATTGCAATGCAATAGAAAATCTTTTCTTGATAACAAAGACATATTTTCAGAGAAACAGTACATGGACAATTGGCAATGGTATTTTCATTCGTTTAAATAGGCATAGAGGGATGAATTTGTCTACACAAGTGTATTCGAAATAAACACATAATTTGGTACATGATAATTTCGTTTCAGTTATCTTATATACAATGTTATTTAAAGGACATAAACAGATATCATAGGAATAGGAATGCTACTTTGTCTTGGTGTTGATTTGGAGTTATTTGTTCTGTTTGAAGTAAGAGGGAATATTACAAGAATGTTTGATTACAATTGAACACGTAAAACATGACTTCTGTCACCATCACATGTATGCTTTCCATGTAGAAAAAATAGGGAAATGAAGTTTTATACGAAAGAGAGACACGGATATAAGCAAGGATCTATATATGCAGCTGTCTTATTAACATTTCCGACTGGAATTTCCTTCTTGCTGTGCTACTATGATTTTTACTAATGTTTGCCAATGATATCTTAAAGAATTAAATGATTACGCAAGAGGACCAGGCTGATTAATCATATATGCACATAAACATAGAGAGTATTAAAAAATGAAAAAGCGGGAAAAAGCCAAAACTGCGTCAAAAGAATAAGCTAGTACTACTTTGGACATGGTGAAACTGATATCGCTTGATATAAATCATATCAAATATTTAAAAAGAATAATCCAACACTCAAATTTATTAAGCCTAAGGCAAAACAACAACATATTAACACGATGACTTTTGAAAAAGATAATAAGTATAGGTGTATCGGAAGAGATAGCGTCTCATGCTTAAACAACGACACCCGCCATGTAAATCTATGTCAATTCAAGTAATGTCACGTTTGCAATTTAGAACAATGTATATAACAACAAAGACACAAGCCAAATAAACGAGCATCTTACATGTCCAGCTTCATATCCCACAATGAAATCTAATGTTTCTCAACGAGATCATAATGACGACCGTGAAACTTAATTTTCATCAACCGGCATCTTCTGAAACTTTGTGTTGTGAGTTTATCGACGACTTCTTACTCAAATATCGTGAATATGTGAACAGGCCCTTGAATATCTAATCAACTGTGATATGTAAGCATCATAAGTTGGTGATGCAGGGTTGCTGCTATAAAAAAGGGAAATTGGAACCATCATGCTTATCATACAGCTGTCTATTTGAGTTTCGTTGTAGGAAAAGATCGAGATAAGCGAATGGTGTAGAATAATCTGTCGCTATTGGTGCACTCTAAATGGAAGTACATGCTTCAGTTCTTTAGCTGATAAATGTTTTAAAAATTTTAAACTATATGATTTTTTTTTTCATTTTGCAATATTTGATTTACCACCATATTGTCAAACTGAACCCAGTTCATCAATTTGGTAATATACGCTGTGGTTTCAATACTTTTTCATATGAAAAACTGGGTCGTAGCACAGGCCCTATTAACCTTTGGAATTTTTAAAAATCTTATTCCCTGGGTACTCACTCAAAGTGCTACAAATACGATCCATTTTTATTTAATTTGGCGCGTGGACAAAACTCCATTGTTCTTGAAAGAGATCCTTTGCTATGTATTCGACTGCCCAACACTTAAATTGCATTTGGGTTTGCCATCATAAGGTAGAGCAAGTATCATTACAAATGACATAAGACTAATATGCTGAAATGTCAGCCGGTGCAAATTAAGCCCACATGTATACGTGACATCATTGGAATGTTGATATTACAACAAGGTATCATATTTGACACTAATGAACCGCTGTAAGCAAATATCTCCTTCTATGCGCTAGACAGTATTAAAATATGGAGAGGGAATGCATTTGCTTTTCAATTAATCTAATTTTGTAAATTTTTGATACTGCAGATATTCAAAAAACAACTTTCTGAAGAAATAAAGTACTCGCACAACAGGGTTCTAAATGAGCACCAAAATAGCTTAACAGCTAAACATTTTAAATAAGACAATTCAACAAGCAAAGCTGAAATCACAGCTTTATAGAGCCGTTTATTTTCATAATTGAATAATAGGGTAAATAAAATAACGACAATATAACACATATACAAACAGATACAAAATTTTGTCATTTCATAGAGCCGCTTGATATGTCGTTTGATGGCGCAAGCGTAGTGGTGACAGTGTTAGTCTTCAAAATATGCAGTATTCTGTTAGTCCAGAACCTCATCCGGTCTTCTAGTAAATCGGACTCTGCGGTGATATTGGAATCGATTTTTATATAGTGTCATCCGATTTCGTCAAATTTAGGCCAGTATGGAACCGGACGTCCTTCATATGAACTCCTGAACAATTTGGACCATCGAATAAGACAATAATTATTTTTAAACGTTTTTTTTTAAAAGCATGATACTGTTAACTTCTTTTCTTTCGTAGGTTTCAGTTAAGCTTTGAGCAAAGAGCTTCGGAACCCAGCTTGGAATTCCTTCCGACAAGTTGCCAGCCGGTAAAAATAAGTCTGGAAATAGTGGAATAACCATCAGTAACACGGATCCTTCGGCTGAATTGCAACCGGAAATGACGTCAAGCGATTTGTAGAATGCAAACTCGTGCGATGATTCATTACAACGTAAAAACAGCGGATGTATGGAAATCAGTTCTCCGTCTATGACATGTGCTAAAGGTATATAGAAAATGTTATTAAGTGATGAAAACGAATATGTAATGTGTGACCCAGTTTGTATCATTGTTTTTATTTAAAGAGCCAGACCCACTCTGTTGTAGATATTTTTTATATTTTATTGACTGGAAATGTTGTTGTATACTAATAATAATGTATGAATAAAGACTTGTATCAAGTTTTGAACTTGAAACTGAAAGGGTACCGGAGATATCGGTGCCGGAATTAGTCTCATTTATCAACACCAGGATATGAATATTGATGAGGAAAAGTCACGTGATACGTTCAGACGTGGTCAGAACCAAAACAAAAATGGAGGAAGAAGTGAGTAGTACGTCCATGTGACATCGCTTGTAAAATGATTTTACCGATAAATGAAATCAATACTCTATATATCCTGTATGGAAATTATCTAACGTATGTATTTATCACATCTTTTAATGCTTAGATATCACAAAAACGTGCAGATTACGAGAAAAACTACGATTAATTGCAAACAAATTTTCTTCCCCGCTTCCCGCCATGTTGGAAGACGGCAGATTTAATTACAGTTCTTTGCGCATGCGTCAGAGGGCAGGGCTTCCCGTATACTTATGAAATAGCACCGAGTCGTTTCGAATTCTTTTTAAAAACTATTTATTGTGTTAGAGTGGAAGCGATTTACTTTAAAATTGCGGATTTACAGGGTTAGTCAGAAATTTTGATACCCGAGAAAAATAGAAAATCATAATTTTTTTTATATAAAATAATAACGGTCGAGGAGTGGGTCTGGCTCTTTAATTTGGTGCATGGGCAAAATTCCATTGTTCCTGAAACAGATCCTTTCCTGTTATTTAAAAACAAGACATTACAATATATCTTAAAGTGAAACTAAAGGATTTTGCAACGTTTTGTGGCCTGTTTTGATAAGATACGTACGAAAACAAAACATAGGAAACAATTAGTTACCATATGCCAACAGTCTGTTGGAAGATGTTACCTTCAAATTCGATGAAAGTTGTTGTCAACTAGACATTCAATCATTCTTGTCATTTTCATTTCGTCCTTCGTATAATTCTCCTTTGATTTGGAAGTATTTTCATGAAATACATTTCAGTATAGTTCACAAACATATATTTGTACTGTCTATCACTTTTATTGGAAAAGAAAACTCTTACAGAGAACCAAGGCGTTCTTTCAATTGATAATGGGGAAAGGTGATGTATTGAGCGGAAAAAATCAAATGTTCTTAGAGAAGAAATACTTTGGAGTTGTTAAAGTTTGGCCAAAAGCTTTTGGGAGTTATTTTATATCCAAAATTAATCATACCATTTCTTGAATAAACAGTATCACTATAAAACTTTAATCCAGATTGGGTAGTGCTTAGAATACTGGTTAGTAGCTTTGAAGACGGTTTGATTAAACAGCTTGACGAGCCAATAATATAACGTTGTTCTATGGATTCTTGTGACGTATATGTATCCAATATAAACGAGGGGAGTCCATATCCATATCATTAATGGGTAATCTAGAAAATTGCATAAAGTGTATGCAATGTTTCCTTGTTTTCAAGCAAGCCTTATCCTTTTTGTACCGTGGAAATTTTCGCCGGTGGTGGGTTATTTAGCGATTTCAATGAGTAAACTATACGCGTGGGGGTTATTTTCACGATCAATTTTCCTTTCACTTCGTCTATACAATTTAAGTCTATCAGAAAATATTGCGCGCAGGGAACATTTTTCGCGTTCTAATGGCCACCGCGCAATTAGCGTTAATTTTCCCTTTGCTTTACAATGATTTTTGGAGACAAGAAAAAATTTATTGGACACCCTACGTGCCGGCAAAATAGAAATGTTCTATAAATCATGAAGTGTGAATTCAACATTTGGATCGAGGAATTTTCTTCCATTTGCTTAGTTTTCAACGGAATCCATAAGTATATTGAAATTCATATTCCGGTCAAATGACGAGATTTTACGATATTTCCGGCCCATCAGGAAAATTCGCATGGCTTTAAATTTGTATAAGAATAATGTTTAAATCACCTGTTACTATGTGCCCATTGGGACCAAGCTGACGGGGGATAAATCTTGTTTGCATCTAAAAGGTTGGATTGAGTAACTCTAGGAAATGCAGGGATATATCTGCTGGGAAATAATGGTTAAATGTTTGTTAAAACTTCTAGGGCAAAGTATTACTGATAAACTGATATACAATGAAAATTAGATTTTTCCGTGACAGGCGCCATTACGGTCGCATGGGAAACATACTGAAAATCGAAAGTCGTCTAGCGTGAATAGAGGCTCATAGTCATCCACTCCCTTATTTGCTTGACCCGGGCCTATCAGAACATTTCTCGATTTATTTAGGATTTTCTTAAATTTCATTTGGCCTTTTTACCCTTAAAGGTATGCTGTCAACTGTGTGTATGGAAAAGTATTTCAAAGTTTAAAAAAAAAAACATAAAGGAATTAATATATACCGCTATTAATATAAATTGAGAAAAGTATTTCAGTATATATATTGTATAAACGTTTATTGCTATTAGTAAGATTCTATAGCTTTGTCTATTTCTCGTTGATTAAATAACTTGTACTCAGACACATATAGAAATAACCGAGTTCTCTTATTTCATAGATACCAACACCAGCTGTTGTAATTATGCACATATATTTGGTGTTTGCTTCAAATCAATTACACTTCATTTCAAATTCATAAATCAACTCGGATATATAATTGCTTTTCTGTATACTCATACATATTTACCCTTAGGGTATTGGATGATTCAACAAAAATCAATATGTTTGTAAAAGCAATCATTGAAATGTAATAGATATATATTTACTAAGGACCTGCTTGCAAGTCCGTTTTTACATAATTGGCTTTTTATTTTGCTAGTATATTTTCCATGATACGTACATATAATATTAGGAAGAGACCTGGTGTAGTTCTGTATTTGAAATTGTTGAGAACAATCGTAAGGATTTAAGAGAATCAAAATGAATTGAAATCCTATTTATAGAACTTCTGAAACTATCAGGGATGTGGAAAATCAGAGGAGTACATTGTATCCAATAATAATGAATCTTACTGTTGAATATTTTCTGCGGACTGGTAAAAACAATAGAATAGAGTTCTTACTGCACAACTATTGGAAGATTTGAGTGTGAGGTTACGTTGATTACATGGTCACCTTCTTCAAAGAAATGACCAGTGAAAGCATGGTAGCAGTGACGAGATGGCAAGAAATCGACCAGCTGTTTCGGCGGTACTATAGTCCTGTATACACTAAGGTCAAAATAGTGTGACGAAATGTTAAACATTATAGAGAAAAAAGATTGCAAGATGGTAACAATGTGCTGTTGTCAATTCTAATAATAGCTCGTGTACCTGTGTGATTCATAAAGGAAGTTTTTTTCATAATGCGCGCTGACGTCACCCAAGCAATTAGAAATGGATACTGGCTGATGACAGTGACCTCCTGGGGAAAAGTCCATCTAAAGAAAACGTCAGTGGCTGTTTTTCAAAACATAACTTACCTCCAACTATAACATTGAGGCAATCGTTAGAAAAGTAACAGTCTATATCATTGTAATCCGAAGTCCGATATATATTAGAACACAAGAGCGAGACGCAAAGGATGATAATGACTACAAGATCTGGATCTACCGGCACTCACGAGACATTGCACGATGTCAGATCCACCCGGGGCATTAGAGCGATGAAAGACAATGTTTGGATCCAGCATAATAGCTCCGACGCCATTAATCCCATAAAGGATTATCATTATTATTATTGTCCTACTATGGGGGTATGTGCCCACGCAGCCAGTATCATGTACTATTTAGGATACTATATGCATTTGGAGACCAGTAAGCCGTTGAATCCAAAATTTAAAAGGTTTAAGACAAACCTCAAGTAATGTAGATTTCGCTACCAAACGTCATCTTCAAGGCATTAGGTTTGGTCGACCATGACAATTTGAACTACAGTACGATGTAGACTAACACTGACATTGCCTATCATATTTTAGGAAGAAGATGCCTTATTGGATTTCAAATTAGGTGGTTTAATGTGTTAATCAACTTATATCTATCATTCAGCATTCTTGTTAGAATATTGATCAGCAGTTGTAAGAACATTTGATTTGTGTTCCTCCTCCTCCTGTTCCCACTGTATTCAAAACTGTAATTTCTTGCTTATATGATATCTTACACGTCATTATCAGCATATTCGTGTTTAGTTTTCTTTTCAAAAAAACCCCAAGAAATGATATTGTAGCATTTAAAAAAAAACATTTTTTTCGGTTCTGGCACAAAAGGGCGCTATATACTTGCGTATGTTTGGTCTTCAATGCCTTTTTGAAAACGTACGAGTACAAAGGCTACCCATAGTATATACAAGCTGTTGTATTTGTTTGTTGGGCCATTTTGAAACCCACCTTTGCTAAATCATAGGAACTTCCCTATCTGGATTTTGACTTTCCTTTAAATCACTTTGGATTGTCATCAGTTGCCTCCAAGCTTCAAATTTGGGCTCTTCACATCACTGACAATCCTTGAAGGATGAAACAGCTGTATTACACAGTGTAATCTATTGCTTGGCTTTCCTGTATCAGATTAAATTATCGATAGGTGTTTTTTACATGTGTGTCTTTACAATCTTTCAAGTTAAATCTCAAGGGCACTGAATTCGACCTTCAGACTTAAAAATGTCAATGTATTGTATATAAACCTCAAAATTTATCTTCTTTAATGAAAAATTTCATGACTGCAGATAACAAAGACATGCAAAAGGTCAATTTTGAGGGTGTTTATGAATCCGCAGATGGCAGTGCATGTAATCAGCAGCCCAATTCACATTTTCTTGTCTCATACAGTGTTTAATGTTGATAACAACATTTTTTTTGCAGTTTCGACAGTAAAACGTCAAAAAATTTAAAAATAACTACCGGATATTTATATATCTAGTGGTGCATTTTTCTATGGAGGGATTTTTTTTCTTCTTCTTATGCAATGATAGAAATATAGAAATACCTGTACAGTGTATATGTACTATAGATGCTGAAAACAGATCTACCACTGTAACATCAACATCAAACTCATAGTAGAAATATACCAGTAAATTGCTTTATTAGGAAAAGGAAAATACCAACAATTATAAATCAATGATTTGACATTAATACTTCATGAAGCACTCACAAATTACATACAGTAAAAAAATGTATTTAAATTAAATATCAATAATAACAAACACTTCATTTAAATCATCATGAATTTGCATATTTGAATATGTTATGGCTTTCACTTCGGTACCCTGCAAATAGAAACAAAAAAATTCATGTGAGTATTCTGTTCTGTAAGTCAATTCAATTATTACACACATCGTAATTAATACTGATGTTGTATTGTGTCATGCATGTACTTTCAAATCACAATAAATTTGATTGTTCGGCAGCAGATCTTTTTCATGCCAGGGGTTAGGATTTCTTTTTGGTCTTCTTGTCTTGGTTTAAAGTTGTACTATTGATCAATCTATTACTTACATTGTGATGATGCCAACATATATCAGTTTTGAATTACAACATTAAAACCACAACATAAGCCACTTTCACTAAAAAATATATCTTAAATATCTTATAATAATTTATATGTTAGAACAGATATAATGAAGTTATCTGAGAAATACTCAAGACAATATTGTACCTTGGTATTGCTAGAAAAGTAATTAAAATTCACTATTTGTAGACATATCTCCATTTATGATCGTTGTCACACAGAAATCAGAAAAAAAAGAACCTTTAGACAACGTTTCTATGTCTATAACATGTACACGTCAAGGTTTATACTACAAACCAAGACCTAGAATGACTACAAACTCCCCCTCCTTTCAATTCTACTGTGAAATTGCATCACTGAAAACATGCAGCACAAGCAGTTAACTAGTAAAAACACCTACTACACTTGAACGCTTTCCTTGTTATGCCGCAAATGCAGATTAGTCACGTTTTATCTCGTAGCCGCCTTCAAATATTATTTCTTCTTGTAAGTTGCACAAAGCCATTCATATCGTAAACAAGCATGGCAATCGTTCTAGAATTTGTCTTATGACCCGATGACCTATTGATCCAAGGATGTAAAAGGCAATTGTAAACTTCCGCTATAGCTTCAAAGTAACCGTGAAAGTCAAAATAATACTGACTTGTATTTACCGTCTTTTATCAATTTTTATTTGTTTCGATATCTCCGCAAAGCGTTTCCTTGTAGATACCACTCAGCTTTTAAGTATGTTTTAATGTTATCTTTGTATAATTATCAAGCTTTCATCAAAACTTTCTGAACGACATTAATTTAACAAATGATCCAATGACTGGTGTTGAAATGTAATAAAAACAAAGAATTATTGTTTTTAACAAGGTCATTCACGTCTTATCCAAATCTTAAGAGCCATTCTCAAAAAATCACTTGATGCCAAGAATACTGATAAAATAACAATACATGTGAAATTTTTCAATTTGCTAATTCCAATAGGTGTGGATTTAAGTAAAATCTTGATGTTAAATCTCAAGGTTAAATTTCAAGGGCAATGGCTTTGATCCAACTTGTTACATCCATTTTGTTGTCATATCGTTCAATGCCACATGTTGCCTTCCGACTTTTCCAGTTACAAAATATCAACAGGAAATTGTTTATAAATTGCCCTATCAATTTTCTTAATTTAATAACAAATCCCATGATTTGACATACCATATTTATTCCAATAAACGCCCTGGGGGCGTGAAATTTTTCAGACAGGGGGCGATTAATAGAACACAAAATTTCATAATTTGTTGGTCGTGACATGCCATGGCGGACACTTAAAAAAATTGTTTAACAAACTAACGAATTACTCAGCAAAGAATGTATTTGAAAATTGCAGTAATTCCAACATCGTTGTAGCTTTAATCATTGTTGTCAATTGCATTCTGATAACCTGAATTCTTGTATGAAATGACACGATGTCAATCGTGTCAGCTTCAGTCAAAAACATACAATGTTCATCATCGCTTGTAGGCCTAGTTTGCATAACACAATAAAAAACACAGCGGTATATAAGCCAGTCTGTTTCTTAATAAATCCCACATACCTGATAACAATGTCTGGGACAAAACAAAATTACGACACTGCTTTCAAGCTTAAAGTAATCGCCTTCGCAGAGGAGAAGGGTAAACATGCCGCCGCGAAAGTGTTTCGTGTTGACAGAAAAAAAGTGCGGGACTGGTGTCAAAACAAAGAAAAATTTTTAAATCTTTCTAAAACATCTAAATGCTGTAAAGGAGGTGGGAGGCATGTCAGATATAAAGATATTGACAAAAATCTGATGAGATGGCTACAGGACAGACAGGAGGCTGGAATACGAGTGACTGGGAAAGCATTGCGGTTTGAGGCCCTGCGTATGCATAAGGCAAATGGTAGTCAATCGTTCAAAGCCTCCTATGGATGGTTTTCTAAATTCAAAAAGAGACATAACATTTCGTTCAGGCGATCTACGCATGTGGCACAACATGAAGTTTCATTAATTGATGATCTTATTGACAGTTTTTTTTAATTTCGTGTTAAGAATGCGTCGGCTACCAGAATTCCTCGATGGCCATATCGCTAACATGGACGAAACCCCGGTGTGGTTTGACATGCCAGGAAAATCGACATTGGCAATAAAGGGGGAAAAGCATATGCCAATGGGACTAAAATCGCCCCCCCCCCCCCTTGTGCACATGCCAGGCATTCGTCCTCTTCCGAAAGATGACATACCATTGGTTAAAAAAAACTCTGGGGTGTGAATAATACAGCTAGGCGGTTATTAGTATGGGACGCTTTACGTGGTCATCTTACTGAAGATGTAAAAAAAACTGGTTCGTCATAAATATAATTCAGACATCTGTGTTATACCCGGAGGATGTACATGTAAGCTACAGCCAGCCGATGTGTCGTGGAATAAACCCTTCAAACAAAAACTTGGAGAGTTGTATGACGAATGGTGTTTCAGTGGCCCCATTGAGAAAACCAAAGCAGGGAATCGTAAAGCCCCATCTAAAGCTGTAATGTTGTCTTCGGTCAAGACAGCAGGGGATAGCATTAGCCCGGACACAGTCAGAAGATCGTTTAAAAAATGCGGTATCAGAAATTCGCTGGACGGTAGTGAGGATCATATTTTCCAGCATGATTCTGACGATGAGAAATTCCAGGGGTTTAGTGAAAAGGATGTCCAAGCTGCAGATGACGTTTTGCAAAATTTAATGGGTGATGTGAACGCACCTTCTAATCCACAAATAGAACTGAGTGAAAGCGAGACTGGCGAAAGTGAAAGTGAAAGTGAAGACAGTAGTTCGACGGCAGTCCCGGCCGTTAGGCCTGCAGTATATTGAAATGAACCGTGGATTAAATTGATATTACTTGTGTACACGTCATAACAGTGTAATTTTCTTGTGCCAAAATTCATTTGTTCATGTTCATGGATACCAGGAATTTAAAATTTATTAAAAGGTAAGCTTTGTAAGCTGACTCCTGAGTTGTTGAAATTTACTGAGACAACAGGTGGGGGGCGTTTATTAGAGACGGGGCGTTTATTGGAATAAATACATAAAACAATTGTGTTTTTTATGAATCCTAAACTAACAGCAATCAGCAGCCTTACATCAATTACGTAATGCTTTATCGCACCCAGTCATGCCTTCCTCCTTATTTTGAATTTGATATGTGGTTGACCATACAAATAACAGCAGCGTTTCATTAAGAACATAATGGCTTTAACAAGTAATGAATAATGCAATAAATGCAGCAATTATTCTTCTTTCTTTCTTTCTGTCAGCAACCAACCAGCTTCAACTCTAAATCTCTACTGTATCTAACTCTAAATCTGTGTGTCTTTTGTACAATCTTTGACAATGGAGATGGTAGACACTGCCAAACCTGCACGCCACATTTTAATCTATTCGAATAATGGCATGCTTCAGAACATACATATTTACATGATGATGTCTATAACCAATCATATGTAAGAGAATTATGACACATGAAATTATTGGGTCTGTGCAACTCCTGATAAAGATCTTTAATCTTCTTTTAATCACTCTGGATTTACCTCTTCTTAACAATGACACTGATGAACGTTTACGACTGTATGTTTGTTAGGATGACACTGATAAATGAGTATGTTTGTTAGGACGACACTGATAAATGAGTATGTTTGTTAGGATGACAATGATAAATGAGTATGTTTGTTACGATGACAATGATAAATGAGTATGTTTGTTACGATGACAATGATAAATGAGTATGTTTGTTAGGACGACACTGATAAATGAGTATGTTTGTTAGGACGACACTGATAAATGAGTATGTTTGTTAGGATGACAATAATAAATGAGTATGTTTGTTAGGATGACACTGATAAATGAGTATGTTTGTTACGATGACAATGATAAATGAGTATGTTTGTTACGATGACAATGATAAATGAGTATGTTTGTTAGGATGACACTGATAAATGAGTATGTTTGTTAGGATGACACTGATAAATGAGTATGTTTGTTAGGATGACAATGATGAATGAGTATGTTTGTTAGGATGACAATGATGAATGAGTATGTTTGTTAGGATGACACTGACAAATGAGTATGTTTACAACAATAACAAAGGTGAATGAGAACAATTTTGATGTTAGTAACGATGACATTGATATATGGGTACATGTATGTGTGTCCATGACAGGGCAGTTACTGAAGTACAGTTCTGACATCGTTCATATAACAACTTCAAACATTGATCAGACCAGTAGTATCTATTGTCTTATACAATGACAATGATAAAGTTGTTTGGCACAATGAAACGATGATGTTGTAGGTTTGTAAAAATAATAGCATTAATTTGTATGTTTGTAACAATGACAACAAAGAAGAAATGACAACCACATTGCTGTAGGATGATAATAATGACAAGAGGCCCATGGGCCTTAACAGTCATCTGACATAAAATACAAGATTTCAAATTTTGAACTTGAGAAGAAGTCGAAAATGTGTTTTCAAGATGGCGACCATGGCGGCCATCTTGGATTTCGGACCAACCCTAAATTAACAAACTTTGGTCAAGATCATGTCACGATCACGTCAATAATTTTCAGCTCAATGAGACATGTAGAACTTGAGAAGAAGTTGAAAATGTTTACGACGGACGACGTATGATGGACGACGCCAGACAAAAGGCGATCGTAATAGGTCATCAGACCCTTCGGTCAGATGACCTAAAAATGGTGATGTTGCCTGTTAGTAACACAGACAACAGTGATTTGTGCTATTTCAGAAAATCAATAAACAGAATGAAAAATTACCAACCTGAGGGTGTTTTCCGATGACAAATTCCTCACCAAACCTAAAAATAAGCAATAGAAATGTATTAACTATATTTCAAAATATCAGAACACATCAAATTAATATTCACAGATTAAGAATATTTTTTTTCAGAATATGATTTGCTGTCTTCAAATTATCAACATGGTGTGTAACATCAGATCCATAAAAAGTGCAAAGTGTTGATAAAAATGAATTCTTGATCTGGGTTAAAAGCGAGGAATTACAATGTTTTCCATTCACATATACATTTTTTTTTTTTAATTTATAATTTTATTCAGGTTTTTTCACAAGACACAAGCACATGACAAAGATACAATATAAATATCTAGTGAGACATCTCGCAGAAAACAATCGTGATCATTCTATTGTTCAAAAATGCCAAATGTATACTCTCTGACAGAAACATTACATACCGGTACATACAAAAAATAAGTTAGACTCATGTGATGTGCTTCAAAAAAAAGCCGAAAGAAAGAAGAAGTATGGACAGACAGGCAATACATAAGCAGACAGACGCAATACATATAGACAGACAGACAGACAGACAGACAGACATATATAGACAGACAGACAGATACAGATATAGACATATACATATATATACATATATATATATATATATATATATATATACATATATATATATATATATATATACATACATATATACAGACAGACAGACAGACAGACAGACAGACAGACAGACAGACAGACATACAGACAGACAGACAGACAGACAGACAGACAGACAGACAGACAGACAGACAGACAGACAGACAGACAGACAGACAGACAGACAGACAGACAGACAGACAGACAGACAGACAGACACAGACAGACAGACAGACACTAAGACAGACAGACAATAAGACAGACAGACAATAAGACAGACGGACAGACAATAAGACAGACAAACAGACAATAAGACAGATAGACCTTCTTTGGAAGAAACAGAAAACGAATTGTGGTCATAATAAAATTTACTATATTTAAGTTTCGTTCGTGCCAGCTGCTCATGCCTATGTGACAATTGTTTAAATGATGTATACATATTTGCACTATAGTTGTAATACAGGTATAAATGAAAAATTATATAGATAGAATCTGTTTCCACTTTAGCCATCCTCTATTAAAATTGGTGAGAAAAGCACCACCTTTTTTTGTTGCTATATATTTTTTCACATTATAATGGTCTTTAATAGAGTTGATGAGAGAATTTATGTTTAATGTGGTGTCAAGACACCTAGTTTTATAAATGTAATGTTTTATGATAATATTTACTTCATTATCTATTTTGCTGAATTCATTTTGATGCGGCCAAATGCCAAATATAACAGATTGTTTATTGATAGTGAAAGGAATTAAAAGAGCATCTAAAACTACTTCTAGGGTCTGAAATAAGTCTTGAACCTTAGGACATTCCCAGAAAATGTGAGATATTGTTTCAGACTCTATTTTACAGAAAGTACACATTGGGCTTACAGCTAGCTTTGCCTTGAATAGTAGTGAATTAGTTGTCAGAATTTTATGTAATATCCGATACTGAAACCACTGGAGTTTCGAGTCCTTAACTATTTTAAAAGGTAGTGAAAAAATGTTTGCCCAATCCCCAATATCAAAATCAAAGTCATTTGCCCATTTTTTTCTACCTGTTGGAATTTCATCATTTTTAGACAAAAGTTGATATTGATATTTTGTTCCCTTTGTGTTACTGAAAAATGGTTCTATGTTAATGGGAATGGACGGGTGTAAAAGTTGTGTATCTGGGTCTATCGGTGTACAGCTAGTTATATAAAATTTAGCAGAGTTTACAAGGCCTTGAAAATGGAGGAAATTTGTAGTTAAACCATAAGTCCTTAAGAAATCAGGATAGGAATAGAAAGTAACTGGACTAGTATTTTCCAGTATGTCATTTATTACTCTAACACCCTTGGAATACCAGTTATTGTAAAAAATAGACTTACCACCTATAGTTATATTAGGATTATACCACAATGGGGATTTTAGTATAGAGAGTTGTCTGCCCTTTAGTGAGTCAGAATTCAATAATCTTTCCCAAGCCTTCAGGACATCACACCAAAAAGTATTTTTGCAGGATTTCTGACATTTCTGTAAGTAATCATTGCCACAATTCATAATGTAATCCATATTAATAATATTCTTAAGTATGATTTGCCATTTTCTGGATTGTGAACTAAGGAAGAATCTTTTTAACCATCCTAGTTTTAAAGCATCTATAAAAGAAATAATATTAATCATTTTTAGACCCCCCTCAAAGTAATCTTTAGTTATGACATTTCTTTTTACTTTGTCTATTTTACCATTCCATAAGAAATTGTATAGAATTTTATTCAACTTTTTAAGGAAAGCACAGCTTGGATTAGGAAGTGATATGAAGAGGTGATTAAACTGTGATATTAGTAGTGATTTAATAACATGTATTTTACCAATAGGTGTAAGTTTTCTCCTATTCCATGATTTAATTAAAGACTTAAGTTTTACCAATTTCTTGTCATAATTCAATCTAGCTATTTCATGTAAATTTACACTAAAATCCAAACCCAAGAGTGTAAATTTATCCCTGCCCCATTGTAAACCTAGTTCTGGTAAAAAAAGTGTCAGTACTGTATTTTTTACTACCTATCCATATTACCTGAGTTTTGTGTACATTAATTTTTAATCCAGAGATATCAGCAAAAATATTTAATTCGAGGATTGAATTTTGTAAAGATTTTTCTGACCCATCAAGTATTAATGAGGTGTCGTCTGCATATTGAGAGAGAAGGATAGGAAAATTGTTTACATTTACACCAGTTATGTCATTATTATTTCTTAACCTTATAGCTAATATTTCAGCACACAGGATAAAGATATACGGGGAGACAGGGTCCCCTTGACGGCAGCCGCGCTTTACCTTGAAAAAAGAAGAGAGATTTCCACCTTGAATTATAGCAGAATTGGCATTATAATGAAATGTTTTTATCCACTTTTTAATACTGTCTCCAAAACCGAAAAAAGAAAGAGTTTTATCTATAAATTTCCATGAAACAGAGTCAAAGGCTTTTTGAAAGTCAACCATAAGAAGCATCCCAGGAATATCATTAAGTTCAGTATAATTCATAATATCGTATATGATTCTAGTATTTTCCCCAATATAACGTCCTTCCAAAAACCCAGTTTGATCATTATTTACAAGTTTTCCTAAAACTGTTTTTAGCCTACCAGCAATAACTCCAGCTGCAATTTTATACACAATGTTTAAAAGAGATATTGGTCGCCAATTCTGAATAAAATGTCTTGGTTTACTACCTTTAGGAATGCAAGTGATAATACCCTGTTTTTGTGTAACCGAAAGTTCATTATTATGGTAACCAAAATTTAAGGATCTTACTACAAAAGTGCCAAGCTGTTTCCAAAAGCATTTAAAAAACTCTGTCGTAAAACCATCTGAACCTGGACTTTTATTATTTTTCATATGACATAAAATTTTTCCAGCTTCCTCCAATGTTATAATACCTTCCAACTTTTCTGAATCAATAAGATCTAACTTTGGAACTTGACAATGAGATAAAAAAATATTTAAATTAACATCATCTGTATCATCGGAATCATCATACAATTTTTCATAAAAATCTTTAACACTATTCAAAATTTCAGTCTGATCAGTTATTATCTCACCGTTTGGTTTCTCTACTTTTGGGATAATTTTGGAGGTAAAATTTCTACTTTCTAATCCTAAAAAATATTTTGTAGGTTTTTCTCCTTCTTCTATCCATTTTGCCCGTGACCTAATAATATTTCCCTTAACTTTATGTTGCCTAATTACCTCAAGCTCTTTCTTCTTATTTTCTAATTCATTTAAATCAACATTATCTTTATCTTCCAAATCTTTTATAGTGCGTTTTAAATTATCTTCTCTAATATGCTGTTGTTTCTTAACATGACTTGAGTATGCTATAGTTTTTCCCCTAATTTCCATCAATAAAACTTCAAAAAATAGTTGGTCATCTATAGTAAATTGTAAATCAGTGTCAGATATTTCATGGAGATTATTTAGGTTATAAACTGGTAAACAATACTGCATTTTAACATCATTAATAAGAGAGTTTATAGTGTTGAGATATTCTATATCTTGGAACAAAGAATTATTTATTTTCCAAAGCCCCTTCCCTCTCTTGAACTTGTTAAATTCTATTAGAATCTTTGGAAAAGAATGATCTGATTTATACCCAGGATCAATTGAAGAGTTTTTAATAGAAGAGAGCATGTTCTCAGAAATAAGAAAAAAATCTAGCCTTGCCTGCTTAATAGGGTTGTTTCTTCTCCAGGTATATCTTCTACTATTCTCATGCTGTTCTCGAAAAAATATCAATAAGACCATAATTTTCAACAATTTCACAAACTTTCTCCCTTGCTTTTGGATTATTAATGTTTTTATAATTACAATCATAATCAACCTCAGGATCTAGAACTAAATTAAAATCTCCACACAAAATAACAGAGCTGTTCTCAAAATCATCAATAGTCTCAGAAATAATATTGTAAAATTCAGGATTATCCTGGTTTGGACCATATACAGTAATAAGAGTTAACCTTGTCCCTTCAATCGTAATATCAAGATTCACATATACATTATATAGGGACCATTTGGTGTGTCAGCCAGCCCACAGACATATATACATTATATAGGGACCATTTAGTGTATCCGCCAGCCCACATACATATATACATTATATAGGAACCATTTAGTGTATCAGCCAGCCCACAGCCATATATACATTATATACGGACCATTTAGTGTATCAGCCAGCCCACAGCCATATATACATTATATAGGGACCATTTAGTGTATCAGCCAGCCCACATACATATATACATTATACAGGACACATTTAGTGTATCAGCCAGCCCACATACATATATACATTATATACAGACCATTTAGTGTATCAGCCAGCCCACAGCCATATATACATTATATAGGGACCATTTAGTGTATCAGCCAGCCCACATTTATATATACGTTATATAGGGACCATTTAGTGTATCAGCCAGCCCACATTCATATATACATTATATACGGACCATTTAGTGTATCAGCCAGCCCACAGCCATATATACATTATATAGGAACCATTTAGTGTATCAGACAGCCCACATTCATATATACGTTATATAGGGACCATTTGGTGTATCAGTCAGCCCACAGCCATATATACATTATACAGAACACATTTAGTGTATCAGCCAGCCCACATACATATATACATTATATAGGACCCATTTAGTGTATCAGCCAGCCCACATACATATATACATTATATACGGACCATTTAGTGTATCAGCCAGCCCACAGCCATATAGACATTATATAGGGACCATTTAGTGTATCAGCCAGCCCACATTCATATATATATCTTATATAGGGACCATTTGGTGTATCAGCCAGCCCACATACATATATACATTATATAGGACCCATTTAGTGTATCAGCCAGCCCACAGCCATATATGCATTATATAGGGACCATTTAGTGTATCAGCCAGCCCACAGCCATATATACATTATATAGGGACAATTTAGTGTATCAGCCAGCCCACAGCCATATATATATATCTTATATAGGGACCATTTGGTGTATCAGCCAGCCCACATACATATATACATTATATAGGACCCATTTAGTGTATCAGCCAGCCCACAGCCATATATGCATTATATAGGGACCATTTAGTGTATCAGCCAGCCCACAGCCATATATGCATTATATAGGGACCATTTAGTGTATCAGCCAGCCCACATTCATATATATATCTTATATAGGGACCATTTGGTGTATCAGCCAGCCCACATACATATATACATTATATAGGACCCATTTAGTGTATCAGCCAGCCCACAGCCATATATACATTATATAGGGACCATTTAGTGTATCAGCCAGCCCACATTCATATATACGTTATATAGGGACCATTTAGTGTATCAGCCAGCCCACATTCATATATACATTATATACGGACCATTTAGTGTATCAGCCAGCCCACAGCCATATATACATTATATAGGGACCATTTAGTGTATCAGCCAGCCCACATTCATATATACATTATATAGGGACCATTTAGTGTATCAGCCAGCCCACATTCATATATATATCTTATATAGGGACCATTTGGTGTATCAGCCAGCCCACATTCATATATACGTTATATAGGGACCATTTAGTGTATCAGCCAGCCCACATTCATATATATATCTTATATATATAGCCAGCCCACATTCATATATACGTTATATAGGGACCATTTATCAGCCAGCCCACATTCATATATACATTATATACGCCATATATACCAGCCCACAGCCATATATACATTATATAGGGACCATTTAGTGTATCAGCCAGCCCACATTCATATATACATTATATACAGACCATTTAGTGTATCAGCCAGCCCACAGCCATATATATATCTTATATAGGGACCATTTGGTGTATCAGCCAGCCCACATACATATATACATTATATAGGACCCATTTAGTGTATCAGCCAGCCCACAGCCATATATACATTATATAGGGGCCATTTAGTGTATCAGCCAGCCCACATTCATATATACATTATATACGGACCATTTAGTGTATCAGCCAGCCCACAGCCATATATACATTATATACGGACCATTTAGTGTATCAGCCAGCCCACATTCATATATATATCTTATATAGGGACCATTTGGTGTATCAGCCAGCCCACATATATATATACATTATATACGGACCATTTAGTGTATTAGCCAGCCCACATACATATATACATTATATAGGACCCATTTAGTGTATCAGCCAGCCCACATTCATATATATATCTTATATAGGGACCATTTGGTGTATCAATACTAGAAATTATTAAATCACCATCACAATTATTACAGATACCTTACTTTCTATACAGAATTTATCTCCTAAACAAACCCTTGTTATGACTGGTTGATGTTGCGTGATCAGCTGAGTTTGTTAAGGATGGCCTTCCAGTGTATACATGATATATGTTTTGAATACTTGTGTTTTTAGAGGGGCTTCAATATGTTCTTGAAAGTCTCCTTGTGATCGAATAAAACTGAAATTAAAACCAACTTTTAATGCTACTCCACTGACACACAATGTCAAACACCCAATCTGAGACATTACAATGATAACGGGTAACCAGTTGCTACAGACACTTCCAAAATGTTGAATATTAAAAGGAAGTGGCAACTACCATGGGACAGAACCTGAAGACTTCATCACCGAGGAGAATGCGCTACGAAAAGTCAAATGTTAGGAAGTGTCAAGAAAGACATCTGTGATAAGAAAGATCTTTAGAAACGAGAGAAAATATATAGATCCCAACTTTAGTTGCTCCTGGCAACATTCTTACATCTTACCTGCAGGGCAAGTCATGATAAACCAATGAGAAAACAGAACATTATATTATCAACATGTAATGTTCACCTGTCTGTTTGCAAATCACAGATCATATCACTTTTCCCTTAACATCACAAAACAACTTTCACTTCATCTCAAGTTTTCCTTTGACATTAGAAACATGATCCAAACAGAAATGTACAGAACTGAACACCTATAAACAATTTCTTTTTAAACATACCCTTTTGACTTTATTTTGAAGTTTTCTCTGTCAAATTCTGTTATCACAATTTTCTGAAAAAAAAAATATGAATAGTTATAATGATCAGATAACTGTGACAATGATTTTCTACAACAGTAAAATGATACACAGAGAAAACAGACACCAGAAGGAGAAGCATGATTAGTTTGTAATCAGTCCACAGCACAAGTCGAAGCTAACATTATAAGTATTTTTTATGTAAATAATGATAAACGTTAATTTAAGTCTGTTATTGTTTTCCTTTCCAGTATTCAATGATTATCAATCGAGCAATTAAATAACAATGTGTCTTCAGTTTAATGTAAATCAGCTGCATTTTGAACTTATTCAAATCTTGTCAAAGAAAATTTATCTTTTATGAGAAAAGGAATCCAAGCCCTGAGATTTTGAATTCCCTAAGGAATATTTTGAAAACCTTCTATACTAAACATCAAACCAATAAAATTTTGAAAGTCGTTCAAGTCTTATCAGAAGATAAAGAATGTCCTACAGAAATCACCATTTATATCCACAAATTATTTTTCTTCCAAAAGACTAATCATGGATATCTGCTTGTTATAGGGTCAATTTAGACTTCGCGAACATACCCTTGGGATGAAAAATGGCTCAGCACAAAACACGAACAACCATTCATCTAGAAAGTGAAACAGGAGCTGGTGCATATCTTCACCTATAAGAAACAGACATGGAAAACAAATAAAGTGAACAGACACTCTACATCCACTCGTCAGTCAGGAAATCGGGAACGAATATAGACGTAAACAACGTATCACACATAATACAAATATCATCCACTCCTCAGTCAGGAAATCGGGAACGAATATAGACGTAAACAACGTATCACACATAATACAAATATCATCCACTCCTCAGTCAGGAAATCGGGAATGAATATAGACGTAAACAACGTATCACACATAATACAAATATCATCCACTCCTCAGTCAGGAAATCGGGAACGAATATAGACGTAAACAACGTATCACACATAATACAAATATCATCCACTCCTCAGTCAGGAAATCGGGAACGAATATAGACTTAAACAACGTATCACACATAATACAAATATCATCCACTCCTCAGTCAGGAAATCGGGAACGAATATAGACGTAAACAACGTATTACACATAATACAAATATCATCCACTCCTCAGTCAGGAAATCGGGAACGAATATAGACGTAAACAACGTATTACACATAATACAAACATAATACAAATCCACCACTCCTCAGTCAGGACATAATACAAATATCATCCACGGGAACGAATATAGACTTAAACAACGTATCACACATAATACAAATATCATCCACTCCTCAGTCAGGAAATCGGGAACGAATATAGACGTAAACAACGTATCACACATAATACAAATATCATCCACTCCTCAGTCAGGAAATCGGGAACGAATATAGACATAAACAACGTATCACACATAATACAAATATCATCCACTCCTCAGTCAGGAAATCGGGAACGAATATAGACTTAAACAACGTATCACACATAATACAAATATCATCCACTCCTCAGTCAGGAAATCGGGAACGAATATAGACTTAAACAACGTATCACACATAATACAAATATCATCCACTCCTCAGTCAGGAAATCGGGAATGAATATAGACGTAAACAACGTATCACACATAATACAAATATCATCCACTCCTCAGTCAGGAAATCGGGAACGAATATAGACGTAAACAACGTATCACACATAATACAAATATCATCCACTCCTCAGTCAGGAAATCGGGAACGAATATAGACGTAAACAACGTATCACACATAATACAAATAAGCTCACAACTCCAAATTGTATGACATGATCAGTATAAATGGAAACCTACACACGTTCACTAACATCACCTTTTCTAAAAGTTTGCATTTGTACCTTCTTCTGTGCAAATGTAGGTCATGGTTACTATAAATAAGTAAAATTGTGTACCATTTATATAAGTATTTAAATGCTGGATAAACAGTAATGTGGTCAGTGATGGTGACCTATCAGATGACAAGAATGTCTCTGTTGTAGATAAGGTCCAACAACTACCAAAATGATGGGTAGGTAGGTGACTTGATATGCTGCTGGTAAATGTTTTTATGAATGACAATACATTTGTTGTTTTGTTAATGTTACAACTGAAGTCACCTGGTGGTCAAATTGCCGTCTGTAAAGCGATGGCATCCTCATTTCAGCCAATTTCTATCTATTGTAAAGTTGACCTAGATTTCTAACATCTAAAGGTCAAAACGTGAACTCGTACATAAGGCAATTTTTGTGAATATACGTGTAAAAAATGACATACAAATCAGTTTGGAAATGTATCCTACCAGAGCAGTGACACAAAAATTTTAGTTAATTTCTATTTATAGTAACAGGGAACTAGTTTTTGAGGTTGAAAGTCGAACATATACAAGGAGTGTTGTTTTGACCATGTGTGTGGAGATTTGTGATATCTGGATGAGAATTACTGCCTGTAGAGCGAAGACGCCATATTTCACATACGAGCATACATGTGTACAAGGGGTATTCTTATAGACTCTCCAGGACTCGTCACAAGTGTAAATTTAAGAGATTGATATCGCTGATATAACATCCATCCCTGATCATCATATGGAAAAAAACCTTATGTATTCAATTTAAAAAAATTACTAAGGACTGTTACATATGTATATTTCAGATTTAATGATAATTGAGTCCATACCTTCTGCTTCTGTTTCTTGTTCATCAGTCATTTCCACTGTGTTATAATCTGTAGTCATGTACCCAAACATCGCTGTAGCAACTTGCTCAAAAGCTTCCTTCATGTTATCTCCCCCTTTGAGAAGTTAAGTTCACTTTCCATTACAGTTGTATATTGCGTTTTAGAGCATTTTAGTCAATACTTCTAACTTTGATCTAGTAATTTCAAATGCCAAAGACTGCTCCTTATGCCCCACACATACCCCGAGATCGCACAGTTGATCATAACAAACAAGAGATCCCTGAGAGATCTTGGCACCCACCATTGTTTGATCTTTATATGATCTTTGAAAGTTGGATCATTTCCCTTCTTTTCTCTTCTCTGTTTTTGCTCTTATTGATAAGACATCTGAACATTCCTTTGCAGACATAAATGGTAATCTTTACCTGCCAAATCCAAAATGGCCATCTGGAAGCCATTTTGTTTCTTTTGATCAGTCCCGAAAGCAAATAAGCACAAGGAGAGACCAAAGGGATCATATATATGAAATTTGAGAGATTTCCATTCAGAACTTCTTCAGAAATAGCAATAACAATCTTTACTAGGTAAAATTCAAGATGGCTGCGTGTAGGCCATATCATTTTTCTAATCAGTCCCAATATCAAGGCACAACAAGGGACCTAGGGGAACATACATATGCAATTTGAGAAAGATCCATTCAAGACTTCTCAAGAAATAGCGATAACAAAAATTGTTTACGGATGGACGGATGATGGACTACGGACGCAGAGTGATTTGAATAGCCCACTATCTCATGATGGTGGACTAAAAATGTGATTTAGTTTCTTTCAGCAAGCAAAATAATTTAAGTGATGTCAATGAATGCTTTGATAATTTTCTCTGAAAAGTTAAACTGAACTTGACTCTGGCCTTGAACCCTCACCACAACTTTGAGTAAGGTGAAATACCTCACTTAAAGTTAACTTTTGCACAACATTTGATTAAAATCCCTTCATGATTGAACTATAGATCATCATCTTTCGACACTGACTGGGCACAATATGGACATAACCCAGTCACTACCTCTCCCTCTATATACAAGTATGTTAAACACTGGGGCATTAATACAATATTGGTAAGCCTGTGTAATATAAAAACTTGTCAAATCAGTTAACCTGTAATTTTTTATAGATTTATCTCCCCTGGAACAGCAAGAGTTATTTTGAGGCAGGGGCTCCATGAAGTAGCTTGTGACTACTTCATTGAACAACAGGGGGAGGCTCATCTTATGCTGTCCATTGTTAACAATCCTTGTATTTATATCTCCAAAAGGATACATGCATGTAACCTGAAACAAGAAAACAAGAATTATTCATAAGAGAAGCATAGACAAAACTAATGTCCGTCAAAGAGCTTTTAAATATTTTGTTCTCAACAAAGTGTAACTTAATAGCATGAACAAATACTGACAATGCTGTATTCTCATTTGATTGAGATCATAATAAAGAAAGTTAAACTTATTTGTTCTATTGAAACATGTTTCCATCGGAGTTTCTATTCAAATCATTATAAAGTAATCTTACTTACTGTACATCTGCAGTGTGGTCAAGATCTGCAAAGCAAATTGAAATTTACTGTGAATTAAACTTAAATGAAATACAAATAGGACATAATTTATTTTCAGTGGAACATATCCTGGGTTATACATAACAGGCAGCAGGACAGTGATCTGATTTTTTTTCAATTTATCTGCTCAAATCAACTTCACCTTATACATCTGTAACAGGTATAAGTTAAGTTTATTGTCTTATCAACAGCCAGGGTCATTTAAGGACATACAAAATTTGGATGGTGGAGGAAAGTGCCTGGTGACTGCCCCACACAGACCTTGAACCTGTGGGCTAGTGATAAAGACAGTCAAATGTGTTAACCAATCAGCCACTGCTGCCCCTTTGTACCAGACATAATTTACATATGGAATATACATTAATTACACTTTGTTGTGTGTATACTAGCTAGCTGTTCTGGTAAAAAAGACAAACCCTGCATACAATGTGTTTCTATCATTATTCCGCATCAATACCCAAAGAAATTTAAAGACAATCTGCAACAGACTTATTCTGTAAAATCATATATTTTTGTGGGTCTAGAATTGTGTAGCTTTCCAAAATATATTTATTTTTATAGGCACTTAATTTTGTGGATAAATCTTGCTAACAAACACTGCTAGTACTATAATCCATGTCAAGCTTTATCTGTTTATTGTTTTGCTGACATGTAAATTGATGATTTTTGAATACCTACAAATAAGAAATAAATCCATTACGAAAATTTATGATTCTACAGTAATAGACAGGTAAGTATTTAAGACAAAACACTTTAACATTTGACCTCAATTTGAGATACAGTCACACTACAGTGTTTTGACAAATTGACTGTATAGCATCAATATATAACTTTAGGCTATATGATTTATGTATTAAATGTTATTGACATTGCTGATACAACAAAGGATAAATGTGTAATCAAAGTATATATACTATATAATACAACCAATGATAATATTAAATCATTGTCCTGATACAGTTTTCTGTAAATAGCATGCTTTCAGTGGATATTCTTATATAAGTCATATTTATGTTCTTTCTTTCGTTCTCCTCATATTGTTTAGAATTGAAGATGCAGTGAATGGTTGGGCAAAAGTGTGACCTTTCTGTGTTAATTATTGATTTTTATTTTTATTTTAGTTTATATTTAGATTCTCAAAATAATACACATGAATTTCATACCTGTCTTTGATTACAGAATTGAGAAAAAAAAATTGGATCACTTGACTTTTTTAATTTATTTATTTATCAGATACCAGATGGATGTTTTCCCTTCTTCTCTCTTTTTTCTAAACATAATTAGTTCCATGATAAATATACACTTATATATTTGAGATCAATGGGAATCTAATAATGAAATCTGATAAGAATAATTTGAATGGTACCTCTTCAGAAACTTAATAATAAAACTTAACTATCAAAATCCAAGATGTCCACCTGTCAGTCATCTTGTTTTCTCAATTAGTTCCAAAAGAGACAAAGCACAAGGGGCAAAGGGAAATTTAATATCCCGTACATCTCAAGAAATAGCTGAAGCGAACTATAAGTGTCAAAATCAATTGCTGGCCATTTTGATTGTGCCAATCAGTCACAAAACACAACTACAGACCAAGGGGTATCTACAAGTGAAATGTCAGAACGGTCCATATATAACTTTCAGGATATCATGAAAGCAAACGGTGACAATCTAAATCCAAGATGACTGTCTTTTGGCCATTTTGTTGTTCTGTTCAGTCCTAAAAGGACAATGTTGATGCACAGCTATAGACTACGGGGAACTCACAAAAAAATTTGAGAATGATTGATTGGGTACTTCACACAAAGAAAATGCAGTAACCTGTAACAAATGGCAAGGTTCAAGATAGTTGCCAAGAGGCAATTTTGCTTTTCCAATCAGTCCCAAAACTGACAATGCATAGGAATCATAGGGAACCTACATTTGAAATTTGAGAATGATCAAATCCAGTACTTCTCACTAAGATATTGCAGTAACAAGCTATAACTGTTAAAATCAAGATTGACACCTCACTTGCTGGCCATTTTGATATCCCGATCAGTCTGAAAGTGAATAATGTTAGAGACCATGTGGAACCTAAAAAGGAAAACTGAGAATGATCCATCCATATTGTATTTCATAAGGGAGTAAGTGATAACAAGTATTGTAAAACTTTATACATTAAAAGTGTAAGTTGGATGGAATCAAACCTTTTCTGTGTCAATTACTGTTTTATTTTGAAGTTAAATAATCAATGTCTACATCATGTATATATAACCATTATGACTATAACTAACAAAAACATAATACACTAAAATATTTTCATTCATTTTAGTTTACAGTGGCAGAATCCATCTTCTTCTTTATAAATTTGTTCACCTTGCTTTCTTGGCATAGAAAATTACCTGGAATATGTGGAAGACACAAAATAATCGAAGGGAAGGTTGAAGGATTGTACATAAAACTATGTACATAGGTGCAGGAGAGGTTTGAGAACACTGCCTACAACGACTGCAGGAACTGTGCATGGAAAGAAAGACCATTTGAAGGTGTCATTTGTTTCAGATCTATGTCTGAAATTTTGATTGTTTGATTTTCAGGTTCTGCTGTCATTAGGAAAGAGGATATCAGTTGTTGAATAATTATGAGACATTGGACAATTTTATAGTAGACTATTAGACAGGTGTTTAGAGAAACTAAGCTAGGAGTGGCTTATATAGATTTTCTATCATTCGACACATTGCTTGTACTGTGTTAGTTATTGCTTATGTATCATATTGTTGAGCTATTTTAATATTTTTTGTATTTTGCTGTGTGTGGGGATCCCATACAAAAGTACCATACTCAAGACTGGGTTACACATGTTACTGGTAAGTTTAATTTTGCCTTGAAATCGGTTTTGAAATCTCAATTTTTCTCTTAAGAAAACCAATGGCTTTGTTGCCTTTTGATATTATAATGTCAAAGTGGATGTTCCACTCGAGGTTTGACTGAAGTGGCATCCCAGGTAAATGGCAGATGATTCCAACACATCGTTATGTTGAGCATAGTTATACTTACAAGGATTTCTCTGTAGGTACAGACTTAGATATAGAAAGCAATTATATCAGTAGCCAATTTGGAGTATGTAGATAAAGCTATTGCCAGTGAGTTAGGTGCAATGAACGTATCTGGAAAGTCATTAAAATAATTAAGGCATGAGACCAGTAAGAGGACTTTGCATTGTTGAACCCGTGATGTAACTAGGGCTCCATCAGGAGAGTCACCATCTACAGTATCACTATTGATTGTGAATAATTACTGCCTTTCTCTTACATTCTAACTATGATGATCTCGATCTGACAACGAGACGATTATGTTACGTTGCATCCGGCCGGAGCAGAGGAGGTTGGATATTAATATTAATGTATATTAGATCTACAAGTTTGTGTGTGTGTTAATATATCTTCCTACGCCCCTCGAGCTCCACCATGTCGATTTCACCATCAACAGACATCAAGAACGTGTTCTTTTACAATAGACACTGTTTATCAATATCGTTTACTTGAAACTATAAAGCAGAATATGGATCTCCAATAGTCGTTAACATTTCCGTTTGATTGCGGATTCAACTTACATTCATATTTGATCGGTGGAATTTCTTCGTTGAAATGACATGCACCTGCCATGCTTTTTGTGTTCCGAAGTGTCCCGATTCCAAAACATTCCTGACCGAGAAACGCTTAAGCTTTCACATTCAATTCAAACATTTTTAACGCCGATTTTCGGAACTCCCTTGAATTCATCATAGAAAAATCAACCAATCAAGTCTTGGATACCCAACTTGTTTCAATATGGCGATGGCGGGCAAAGGCTTTCATAGCGGTGGAGAAGAGATTGATGACCACTATGTAACACAGTTACAGGTATTACGAATATGTTTGCTGAACACGTCAAATTATATACTGGCAAATATATCCATTATTGTAGAGTAAAATCCCCACAGCATGCATCGTCATTAAGTTATACAAAATATTGAATGAACAGAATAGGCTCTTTACACAACAATTACAAACACGAAAGGCAACAGCAAAAGAACTTTAAGATACTACAATTACACATGAGATATTTAGTTGACGAGTGTTGGATACATAGAACATAAATACGGTACTGTGGTCGAAGCTCCCAACCTGAACATTTTCAAAAGTCAGTTAAAATGGTATAAACAGCCGCTGGAACAACGCACCCTTTTAAGTTTTACCCTGATTTCTGTAGTGTAAAACTGGATAACTGTGAGTTATCATTACAAAACCTATCAAAATTAACTGACACCAGAAAACTATTGACATTGTCAAAGAAACATGTACATGCTAAATGTAACACATCAGTTGATGTCTAGCACTCTTTTTATCGTCAGTTGGTGGAGCACTGGGAGCTCTTCATTACTATATATATACTATTCGTATATTGGGCTTATGTAAACATGTTAAGTCTGGCCACCTTTCTTGTGTATATGAAAGGTGGATGACCATTTAATTAGTAACTCAATTAAATGAATGTTTTTGACCAATTTGCTCAACTTCAGTTACATAATTATTTATCCCCCCAGGGGCCTGCGGGATGGGCCCAATCGGGAAAATAGACAAAATTCTTTAAACTCTTACTCCTCCTGCAGGAATGATTGGACTTTGTCCAAATTTGGTCTGAAGCATTCTTTGGTAAGGGGAAATCAAATTTGTATAAATGGTGGGTGTCAGATCTCCTGGGCAGTTTCATTAGGGCAGAACCCAATAGGAAAAATAAAGCACATTCTTTAAAATTCTTCTCTTCCTTCAGAAGCTTTCTTGAGTGAAAGGGAATCATTTTGTTCAAATGGTGTGTCTTGGCCACCTGGGGAGGAGTGGTGGGCCTGATAATGGAAATAGATACAAGTGATTTAAACACTTTTCCTTTAGTTGAAATTTAAGCAAACTTAACCAGATGCGCAATACAAGCCCTATGGGTTCCTTGTTTCAGGATCCACTTACATCCATATCCAGTAACAAAATATAGCAGCGAACGATGCAGAAGTAAAATTTTCAGATTCTCTAAAGAAAATTGGAATGTTGTAAAAGTACCAAGGCGTTCAAAGCATCCCTCGAAATATAGAATGGCTATTATCCTAAAAGTGCATTTTCCGCACTGCAACTATACCTGTTTTGGGTTTCTAACAGCTTAACCACAGAGGTAACGAAGTGTGACAATTCAATATGGTATCTTTGCAATGTTTGCAGATAAGCATCTCCTTGATTTGGGCCATAAGTGTGCTTAGCATTCAGCATTACATTTCCATGCAGAAAATAAAAATGTAAAAAGAATATGATTTGTACAGGAGATTAGTAAGACTAAGGTGAGAAATTTACATGATGTTTCAATAATGAAATAAAAGCACCATTGGAAATTGGCTGTAAAGGGATGTAAGTACCCAAAAAATGCAACAATAAAATTCAACCTGAACTCACATTGAATTAGTGTATTCTTTGGAAAAAAATATTTCCTTCACTAACTGGACACTATTTTTTTTCAATGTGCATACAATTATTGCCACCAGGTATGGCAAAATATATATCTATATATATATATATTTGCCCTACCTACATATAGTTAGATTTGACTATTTATCAAAATCTGTCAGTTTAGCAAGATTTGTCTGTGCTCCAGTGCCTGTATTTCATAAAGTCACAATTGATATACTGCATCTCCTGATGTACAGCATACGCATGGTAACAAGTGATATAGTTAAAATGTGTCAAAGTCTTTGCTAAATGAAATAAAACATATTAAAGCTGTGTTTAGCTAATTAAGATGAGAACCAAAGTCTATTTGAAAAATCACGAAATACATAGAATACTTGAATAGTGCTAGTGAATCAAAGAGGGAGTTATTTTTTGGGGGTGATGGAGAGTAGTGGTGGCTATTTAAAATGAGTCTAGTGTTGGTCTCATCACTACTCCTTGTTGCTTGGATAATCTGAAAAGCTTCTCGTCTCATTAAGAATGTTAGTCTGACAAAGATATTTATAATTTACAAATTTTAAAAGGATTTCTTTATATTTTGTGTTTTTACAGTCATTAATGCGAGGATATTTGACAAGGAGAAATCTTCAGATTGCGAGAGAGGAATACGAACATATTTTTTCTGAAATTGAAGGAAGTGAGAAAATATTTGTTTGCTGGCCTCTCAACAGTCTTTGTTTGCCAAAGACACAGAAAGATCGTCCAGTAAAGAAAGAATGTCATGGATCTTTAGTAGTTTTGAGTAATGAGACACCAGTGGAAAAGGACAAAACTCAAAAGTTTGAGGAAATTGTGCCACTTGTTCCAAACAATAATTTTGATTTTTCTATATCAAAAGAAACAAACAGTCAAGAAAAATGTACTGCAGAAACACAGACAAGTTTTATAGAAGATCATAATCTGAAATTATCATTAGGTTCTAGTCTTATTTCACAAAAAACAGATATAGAAGATGGAGATCAGAGTGTACAAGTCCAGGACGATATGTACACATTCAGCAGAGAGAACAGTTTTACAGATCATTCTGATGCAGATAGGCTTCCTCACCTTGTCGAGCCATCTTGTGATGCATTCAGCTTAAGGCATATTCATCCATCAAGTAACTATGATGACAAAAGTGGTCTTCCTCTAAAGTCTCCTGATTCATCAGGTGGCTTTGAACATTCAGAAAAGAATTCTGGAAGTCATTCGAGCTCTGGAAGATCTCAGGTTAAAAGTTCAAGGACCTATTCTGAAAGAAAGGATGGAAGTAGATCAGCAGTGAATACAAAAAGATCAAACACTGATTATGAAAAGTCAGCTGTCATTACTACACAATCTAATGAGAAGTCTTATATGTCAAATGACAGTTCTGATCAATCAGAGCCAAAATCTAATAGGTCAGAGGTCAAATCTTATAGATCCAATGTCAGTTCAGGTCAATCAGAGCTCAAATCTGATAGGTCAGAGATCAAATCCAATAGATCTAATGTTAGTTCTAGATCAGGTCGGTCAGGGATCAAATCCGATATGTCAGAGGTCAAATCTTGTCGATCAGGAGTAAAATCTGATTGGTCAGACATCAAATCTAATCATTCAGTAATCAAATCTGACAGGTCAGAGGTCAGTCTGCCGAACAAAGAACAGGAAGACTTGATAGATAAAGAACCAGACTTGATGACACCAGGAAGGTACATGCGTGAATCGTCTGTTATAACCAATGTCACTTCAGTGTGGGACAGTTTTTCTTCCACAACAGGTAAGCAATTATATGAATATCATTTTATCTTACAGCTGGTGTTCGGTCCTGTGTTTGAGGCCTATATGAGGCAATCATGTGAGAACTTCAGCTTTTCTCTACCACCCAAATTTGATTTGTCCTTAAATGACCCTGGCTGTCAGCAACAGCAATAAACTAAATAAAAATTTAAAACAAAGGTATATATACTTTTCAGTGCTTAAAAAATCTAAAAGAAAAAAATAATAATATTTAATAATTATACATGTACCATGTGTAATAACAAGAATATAAATGGTAGGTTTGGACATAGGACATGATACTGTACCATTATGGCACTTTGTTTCAATTAATATGAGAATTTATGAAGCAAAGATAACCATAATTGATAAAAGAAAATGTCATAACTTCATTACATTTCTCTATCAAAACCAGAGGGCAGAATTCAGAAGTATATATGAGTGGGCTAATTATCAGACATGACCTTATGGCTGGATTTATACTGTAAGATCTTTCACATATCTTGCAGTAGAATTACAGGTAGATATTGACGAACCTCATTTTCTCGAAGTCAGTGAGTTACCTGCGTATTTGATTTAAACAAGTTTGAATGTTTGATCAGAAGTTTGGCCCAGAGCGATGAAATACATCAGATTAAGCAAGGTCTCTGAGTTATAGGAGTTCTGAGATAACAAGGTCCAAACGTAAATGTTTATTGTCCTGTAATAAGCCTATTTATACTGTCTTTGCATAACAGTTTGAAGGTTGACCCTCAGGTTGTGTAATAAGCCCTTCCTCATCTTTCAATTATGAAAAGTATTTTGATCCCCTGGGCTTATTGCCAGACAAATACGGTACAAAGGCGATAATGACCATAAGCATCTACAGACAATACAATGAGATTAGTTATTTAAAAGGCTACTTTATGTCACATATTCTTTTCAAATTAAAACTTATGTTATGCTTTGATACCTTATTTCCTTCCCTTTGAGGTCAAAGATTAAAAAAGGTGTCAGTTTTTTTATTGGTTTAAACAATATTTTATTTTCAAATTTTCATTTCCAACATACACAAATTATAAAACTGAAAATGGATCTGGCAACAAGATTATAAATCTTACATTGAGCCATCTCCAAAAAATTGATCAGAATGTTTAAACAGTAAAATATACAGATAAACAGTTAACTTTTACATCTGATGGCAATGAAATGAAGCTTATGAGTTAGACGCTGAAATCATTACAACATTCAAAAACGAAAAAATAGTAAGAGTGGGTCCCACTGTAAATACAAATCATTTTCATAAAGGTTGCCATGGAGAAACCTTGTAACCAGTCTTAAATACTCTTAAGTCATACTTATCAACAAACTCGTAATGAAATCTGCAGGTGTGGTAGGCACAGGAGAGGTACAATGTTGCATGTGGTGCATGCTTCTCATGACATCATGCCACAGGTAGAATGTAGATTATAGTTATTGAAGAGTTCACTGTGTAATCAGAATAGTACTGTAAGACATAGATAGAAAGAATGATAATTGTAATTTACAATTGTGAGTGATATGATAATATTTTACATATTTTTTTTTGCGTTTCAGGTTATATTCCCTCTCCAGGGACCATCACAGATGATCCACAATCTCTGATGGAAATGAGGAAAAATATTGCTATGGAGTTACTATGGGTTCAGCAAGCCATTAATAGTCGGAAAAATGTATGTGGAAATTGATTGTTTTGACTGTTATTGTTCAGATGTTGTTTTACATATTAAATACCAACTAATATAACAACATATAATGCTAATGAAAGACTTGTTCTTTAATCCCACACTACTTTAATTTAATTTAGTGGTACTGTCCAAAGTTGACTTGATACTAAATGTAGCTCTTTTGAATTCCTTTACTTTGATGAACGAAGCTTGTCAAGCATCTGTCACATTTATTTTGTCCCCTCTATTTTATTTGGGGGTATATACATGTGTAGTGTTACCGATTCATCCTGTCATTTCCTGTCGCACTCCTTCTCACTTTGAATCAGTGTCATATCTTGAGAGCTTCTCAACAGATCTGGTTAATATTATACCCCTTAGAATTATAGTTTCATATTCTTCACTTTTGACAATTTTTGCAAATTCATCAAAAAAATACTGATATCCTTATTACATGTACTTAGATAAGATTTCTTGTTCAGTACACTGACATCCACTGTACAAGCAATCTCTCATTGTGGTGTGTTGCAACCCTAGCTTAGTATACTCTGGAGACTGTACAGTTCTTGGTAGTCACAAGGACCATACATTTGCATCTCTCTTCATGTTTATGTATAACAGAGCTTGTTATTTTATAACCTCCATGTGGAATCAAAACTGTGACCTATGGCTTACTATGTTTATGCTGAACTAATCAAGCTAAAGAGAAGTTTTCTCTAGCAAAGTGGTATTCTGCAGCCAGTATTTTACCAGGTTTACAAAACTCCTTCTCCAGGAAATAGCTGGTCCTTGGTGCCTCTCCACATTTCAACAGATATATTAGTAGGTACGCTGATCAGAAGAGACACCAGTATGATAAAGTAAAAGGGACAAAAAACAGCATTGATCCTTCTGATCTTCAGTTTTCATGGGTTACAGGAATACTTGTGATAGTAATGCTAAGTATTACTCCAGTATTGATAACTAGCCATCAATGCTACAGAGGTCATTAGCTGTTTCAATGCCTCTGCGAGGATTTGATCGTGGAACCTCTGGCTTACAAATCTTATTCCCAACCTATTAAGCAAAAGAGAAGTTCCTCTAGCCAAGCGGTATATTACAACTGTCTTTTCCCTGTGATGCATTTATACCTTGCTATGTTTTTGCCTAAGAATAAGTAACTTTTGAACTGTCTTTATTCCATTACAGTACCTGAAGTTGAAGGACCAAATGAAGACACCTGTGTGCAGTACATGATTGCTTACTCAGGATAATTTAACTACATGGTGTGAAAAATGAAACAGATACTACTAGTTCTAGGGCTATTTTAGTGTGAGGTAGTTATATTGGGGAGTAGGGCGGGGGCACGTATGAAAGTAGATCATAAGGATGATAGATTGAGAGGTGTGAATTAAATGTTGAAATTTATTTAAGTAGTTACTAGGGTAAAAATTAATTTGTAGGTAATGTCAGAATTACCACTGCATTCTTCGATCATTCATGTACATGTAGTTAACCAACTTTTGTATAATTAATTGGTTCATATATTCTGTATGTTTACCTTAAGATCTAGTATACATATATCAAAATGGTTTTATGTGAATGTACATATGAAAAATGACAACAGCTCTTAGTAAACTTACTTTGAATAATAATGCAGATGTTTTATAACAAATTATTCACAACATGTTAGAAGCTGATACAGAGCTATAGAAATGAATATGTGTTAATAATTTGAATGTTATTTATTTATCAAATAAAAATATGTTATTTATAGTACAAACTTTTTTTTCTGTGAAATTGTATGCTGATGCAACTTTAAGTAAGTCTGTTTTGATTTCTTACATATATCTATAACAAAAGAAAAGGTAAATATATTGTTCATACTTAAGCATAATATGCTGTGTCATACTGTATGCTGGAGGACTAAGCATAACATGGTGTGTCATACTGTATGCTGGAGGACTAAGCATAACATGGTGTGTCATACTGTATGCTGGAGGACTAAGCATAACATGGTTTTTCATACTGTATGCTGGAGGACTAAGCATAACATGGTGTGTCATACTGTATGCTGGAGGACTAAGCATAACATGGTGTGTCATACTGTATGCTGGAGGACTAAGCATAACATGGTGTGTCATACTGTATGCTGGAGGACTAAGCATAACATGGTGTGTCATACTGTGTGCTGGAGGACCATGCAACATATATTAAGGTCATTAGCATTCCATAGGTTCTTACAAAGTAAAACATCTAAAACAAGGGATCCGAAGAGGATCAAAGAGGGACCCTGGGAGATCCTCGGTGGATCTTAGAGGGATCCTATTGAGATCTTAAGGATCTTAGAGGGATCCTAGAGAGATCTTAGGGGGATCTTAGAGGGATCATAGGGGGATCTTAGAGGGATCATAGGGGGATCTTAGAGGGATCCTAGAGAGATCTTAAGGATCTTAGAGATATCTTAGGGGGGATCTTAGAGGGACCCTATTGAGATCTTAGAGGGATCCTAGAGAGATCATAGGGGGATCTTAGAGGGATCCTAGAGAGATCTTAGGGGGATCATAGAGGGACCCTAGAGAGATCATAGGGGGATCTTAGAGGGATCCTAGAGAGATCTTAGGGGGATCTTAGAGGGACCCTATTGAGATCTTAGAGGGACCCTATTGAGATCTTAGAGGGATCCTAGAGGGATCCTAGAGAGGTCTTAGGGGGATCATAGAGGGATCCTAGAGAGGTCTTAGGGGGATCATAGAGGGATCCTAGAGAGATCATAGGGGGATCTTAGAGGGATCCTAGAGAGGTCTTAGCGGGATCTTAAAGGGACCCTAGAGATATCTTAGGGAGATCATAGAGGGATCCTAGAGAGATATTAAGGGTATCTGAGGGGGATCTTAGAGAGATATTAAGGGATGTTGGCACCCAACACTGATCTTCAATGATTCTGTGTACTTTTTGTAAGGTCAAGATGGTGACTTTCTCAGATCAAAATTTTCAAGGTTTGTTTTCAAAATGAGAGAATAAAATTTTAAATAATTAAAATTTCATCACCTGTATATAAGATGTTATCATGAAAATTGCCCATAATGTCGAGTTATTGATTTATCGAATAAGCTTTATTCATGGTAACACATATATTCCTACCAGGTAATGAATATCATGTATTGTATATATATGTATTGTACAATACATCTGATCCATTCAATCAGTTGTAGTTGTCAGGGTCCTGTTATTATTAGAGATTTAATTAGTGACATTACTGATGAGAGAACAGTCATTCATTTCAGTTTTATTATATTGCAGATAATATTATTTCATGGATCAGGAAATGTGAAATAACAAAAATATATAACAGACTACAGTATTCACATGATGCTTTTGTCCATTGTGCACCTTCCAGAAACAGTTGTTTTAAAATACTACTCTTCCTTAATGTCTGAGGGGATTTATACCTTATTTGGTCTGAAACATCACAGTGAGCTGCAATCATTTCTTAAATAAATTAAGTTGATAAACCCTTTGGGAAAGAGACAGGGCCCTGAAAGGGAAGGTAACTGAAAATTTGCTTTAAAATGATACTCCTCCTTAATGTCTGGACAGATTTCAATTAAAGTATTTCTAAAGCATCATTGGTTAAGTAAATGAGGTTGGTTGGTCTCTTTCAGTTGTTACAATGCAAGAGACTTGTTTTGACCAAGTGTTTCTGCTATATTTCATATTGATACTGTGACTGAATGAATTAGGATGTAGCATGCAGGTCACAGCAAAAGTAATGCATAGACAAAGAGTAACAATCTATCTTCAAAATTCTATGTAACCACTTAACAATGTATTGCCATCTTGAGTATGCATCAATCTAAAAATACCTTATCTTGAAAACCAGATGAATCTTAAGATGTTGCTTGCACAATTAAAACCAGTATTGATGAGCTTATCAATAAAGTTTCAAACAGTCCCGATACAGGGATCTTCAGACAAAGACAAAGCAACTATCCTGAAATATCAAATCCAAAATGGCAGAAAGCAGCCATCTGGAATATCTAATCTCATTGATGTCATTAATTCAAATTATTTCCTTTATTGATTAAATAAATTATTGATCTCACTTATTGTCGGAATAATTTACATCAGTCAAATTATTGATATCAATAAAATATGTTTATTGTTATGATTAAATGTTTGGAATAACTGATATCATTAAATCGTGTGTGGAACCCAAGTTGATAATAATTCATCTCTGTTTCATGTAGGATTGCACTTGAAACTACTGAAATGGATGTTAGATGATTCCAGGATTACAAACCAGCCAGAGAATCTCCATTTTGGGTATTTCTGTCAGGGAACAGTCATTTTTCTCAAAATTTAATGGTGTTGATTGTTCAAATTAATACATTTATAACAAAATGGTACCCCATAATATGCTAACTGAGGAATGCATTTGACATACCTGTATCTATTAATCTCTAACAACTTCTGCTATTAGAGGGATGTATTTCTATCTAAATACGGGGGTACTGAATGTAAACATAGTCTTGACTATATACTGTTAAGGATTTGGTAGGTGCTTGTTCATTAATTTCTGGAGATTATATATGTACTGTACAAACCAAGTTAAGTATGCACACCAAGTACGCCGGACTCCTGATTATGGTGATTATATTGAGAATGTATTGGAAATAGACTGGGTAATTGAGAGATAGGAGAGTTTTGTGCAATGTTTTGTGAGATTTGTAGAAAAATTATAATTTTCTCTAATTTCGTCAATGGGATTATCCTTGTAATATTGCTTAATAAATACAACGACTCTCTTGTTGTATTAAAGGGTAGTCTCCTGATTTTATCTAGGTTGTTAGTGTCGTCCAGACCATCACACACCGCACATCAATACTGAGGAATATGATGGTCTGATGGTCGTCTATTTCTATTAACAAGTATTTAGCTTTTTGAAGAACATTTCACTGTTTCGATACATGATCGTATATATTTTCGACATGGGTACTTCATTTTCAGTTCAATTTCACTCCACAATGCAAACTTAAAACTGAAATCTACCACATAGTCAAATTCCAAGTTTGAGCAATGATTTTTTTTTCAGAATTGAATGTAACAATTAAGCTGCCATTTCCCCCATTTCCCTTATTGTTAAAGGTCGATATATATCTTACTTTCGATAGTATATCCTAGCATAATACGGGGGTTTCCTCTACAAATGGTTTATAAAGAATTCCAAGGTAACATAAGATATATCTTTGATACAGAAAATAAATGATTCGGTACCGAACCTTGAGGGACTCTGGTATTAGCAGATTATATCACAAACATAATAGATTGACAAATTTTTATTTTCTGAACATACCATACTTTGTTCGGAAAATCTACGTAAATACAGTATTGTAAATCAGAAAATTATTTACAGTCGAGCACGTGAGGAAAATTATCGCCAGTCTATACTGACATTTCGTTTTACAACATTCCACATATTTCTGTCTTTCGGTTTCAACCGAATACATCTATTATTTGTAGAGCGGAATTTACGACAGGGACTTGGCACGAATTTCCAACCCACGGCCAACATGTATGTATCTTTAGTGACCATAATGCATAGATATGGCTATTGGGCTGAGAACCCTTGCTAAGTCCCCGTGAAACTTACAAAAAATTGATATCATATGTCTTTGTCACTTCGATATCAAAACCGCCTTTATAAATTCCGCAACAACTCAGTTGCTACGAGCAAATAGACCAGACTCCAGTGACGATTTAACTTCAGAAACGAGCTCTTGATGGTGCTTTCTTGTAACAGGAAAATCGTATGAAATTATTGTACAAATTTTAAAATTCAGTTTTTTTTTTATTTCTTGAGCATATTCTCTCATACGAAATTAATACCTTCAACCAAACATTGGTAATCAACTATGTCAAGTTTTATTGGCTGACTGGGTCTGAAATGAGATGAAACTTATTAAAAATTAACCTTTTAAAACTCTGAAAGAAATTCCATTAAAAAATGCAAAGATCTGTATTTGTACTCTGTAACTTTCTCAAACCACGCCAAGACGAGATTAAAAGACGGTAGCTTGTGACGTCATAATGAATGATGTATCTACGCATGACGTCATAATTGATATCCTGAACATCAACAATCACACGCACGATTTCTCAAAGACTTCAATAATGGGCTGTTTCGCCTTCCTGAAATGTCTTAAACGTCGTAGGAAACCAAAAATCCATCCTTACATGACCGAAGAAGAAATGGAAGGTTTACCACCACAAGTACCTTATGGGAAGAAGTATTACCGACTGAAACTTGCTCCACCTCCACGTGGACTGAAGATCTTATTCACCTTCCCCATCTGCACTAGAGACGTGAGAGGCACTTGTTGGGTCAGGGACAATGACCCAATCTATGCGTGTCCACCACCGCCACCTCCAAGTCCT